CTAGCACAAGCTATTTGCAAGTAGTTGGTCTGTCTGTGTTTTCTTAGGTCCTGCCGTCTGCCCTCGCCGGCTGGGCGTCCATACACCCATCCATCTCGCCATCCATCTTCCATCCAGCACAGTGACCTGTCCACAATTCACTACACGTCTATGTTATTCCACCCATTGTCGGAATTTTGAAGCTGCGGGGCAGGAGACCGAGGCGGGTGACGGAGCAGCTTCGCCGCAAGAAAAACAGCTGATGAATCCCCAAGCAGCAGAGCTCCAAGCCCTTCTGGGAGGTCGAAGGGGAAGCGTTAACCTTTACTTCCGGCATCCTGTGCTGTTGGTTTCGGTTGCGAGCCTACCTTGAGGACGCTGATGCCTCGACGGGCACAGGTGACGACGGAGAGGCAGGAAGCGAAGTGAACTCACCTTCCGCTGTTTTGTCGAAAGGCAAACCGACACAGACGGGGCAGTGCCTCGAAGTGACAGGCCTGTGGCGGGATCTGTGGCGTCTGTGGGTGGTGCTGTCATCGGCGCAAGGACTGCGCCCCGTGATTGCAGGATTCCATAGGATACCTTCGTGGCATTCTGACGATATGTGGTGTAGTACCATTCCGGCTCATGGACGCATGATATTGCATGTCGTAGCTCTGCTTATGTTTCCTCAGGGCCTGCCATCTGCTCGTGCCGTCTGCATGTCCACACATCGATCTGGTCATCCATCTGTTCATACGGCCTTCCATTGCAGATGAAGCCAATGCACATTCGCCTTTGAATCTGTGGGCAGGAGACCGAGGAAGGTGACGGTGAAGGTACCTCGTCCGGCGGTTGGTGTTCGCGCCGCCGCAAGTCAGGTGAGGACGGAGCAGCTTCGCTGCAAGAAGGGCAATCCCTGGGCAGCATAAACCCCAAGTAGTGCGAGACCATCCGTTTTTCTGGTTGTCGTTGTGAGCCTATACCCTTGTCATGCATCCCAGTCCACACCCAAGGACGCTGATGCCGCGCCGGGCACAAGTGACGGCGGAGAGGCAGGAAGCGAAGAACAGAACTCACTTCCTGCTGTTTTGTCGAAAGGCAAACCGAAACAGACGGGGCAGTGCCTCGAAGTGACAGGCCTGTGGCGGGCTCTGTGGCGTCTGTGGGTGGTGCTGTCATCGGCGCAAGGACTGCACCCTGTAGCTGCGCACGTACCCAGCGCAAGTCGGTGCAAGTATGGCCGGGATTCGGTTGCCCTGAATTGGAGTCGGTGGTGCTTTTCATTATCCAGCAACTGGAATTGCCTGCCCGGATTGCCCGCCCCTCTACTGATAGTAGTATGTATATGTATATATTTGAGTATATAGGTATAAGTCTACATCGTATACGTAGTGGCCTCACGCATCATAAGCAGAAACAGTCCCTTACCTGAAAAGTACAGCGGAATGGCATTGCAGGATGCGTTCGTGGCTCTTGGGTTGGATGTATCTATGCGCGATCCACGAACGCATGATATTCGCATGTAGTTGGTCTGTGGTGTCTCCTTTTGTCCTGCCGTTTGCACGCGGTCCATACATCCATCCACCCATCTGGTCACACTCCACCCGAGATCTGCAGCTGTGGGGCAGGAGACCGAGGCGGGTGACGGTGAAGGTACCTCGTCCGGTGGTTGGTGTTCGCGCCGCCGCAAGTCAGGTGAGGACGGAGCAGCTTCGCTGCAAGAAGGGCAACCCCGCACTCACTCCCCGAGCAGCAGAAACCCCAAGTAGTTCGAGACCAAATGAGGTCCGAGGAAAAGCGCCCACCTGTTTTCCGGCATGCCCCAACATCCGTTTTACTGGTTGTCGTTGTGAGCCTACCCTTGTCATGCATCCTAGTCCGCACCCAAGGACGCTGATGCCGCGCCGGGCACAAGTGACGGCGGAGAGGCAGGAAGCGAAGAACAGAACTCACTGCCTGCTGTTTTGAAATTGTCGAAAGGCGAACCGAAACAGACGGGGCAGTGCCTCGAAGTGACAGGCCTGTGGCGGGCTCTGTGGCGTCTGTGGATGGTGCTGCCATCGGCGCAAGGACTGCACCCTGTAACTGCATAGGTACCCAGCGCAAGTCGGTGCAAGTATGGCCGAAATTCTGCTCCCCATTCTCTCCGATTCTTGTAACTGTGAGGTGCCACCTCTGGCGAAGCTAACCCTTATCCACGAACTTGGATTGCCCGCCGCTATACCATATAGCATATAGTACTGTGTATATTGATATTCATAATCCCTTCCCCCTAGTATTAAACGGGCCGTCCCCCCCCCCCCCCCCCCCAATAGAAACTCGAAATGTGTTTTTAATATTAGGGGGAGGTTTTTACCCAAATGTCATGTTTGGGGTCCAAAGGGTTCAGGGTCTAGGCTGCTTCAAGATGTTGGTTGGCTTGAGGTTTTGGGAGCCCTGAACCCCCCCCCCCCCTAAATCGGAATAGGGTGTAAACGGCGGGGTCGGTTTGGGAGGGATTTTCCGGAAAGCGCTTCTATTATTAGGGGTACGTTTGATTATACATACATGTATGGATATAAAATATACAAGTCTACATAGTGTTTGACCGCATCATCCCCAGAAACCATCCCTTACCTGGAAAGTACAGCGGAATAGCTTTGCAAAATTTCGTCGTGGCAGTTCGGTTGTATTCTAACTTATAGGCTTTGTAGGTTGATGGACGCATGCTGTAGCATGTCGCAGCTCTGTGTTTCCTCAAATCCTGCCGTCTGCGCGTGCCGTCTGCATGTCCACACATCCATCGGTCATCCATCTTCCATTCCAGATAAAACCAACGCATATTCGCCTTTGAATCTGTGGGCAGGAGACTGAGGAAGGTGACGGTGAAGGTACCTCGTCCGGCGGTTGGTGCTCGCGCCGCCGCAAGTCAGGTGAGGACGGAGCAGCTTCGCTGCAAGAAGGGTCAGAGGGGAAGCACCCGCCTGTTTTCCGGCAACCCTTGTCACGCACCCTAGTCCACACCCAAGGACGCTGATGCCGCGCCGGGCACAAGTGACGGCGGAGAGGCAGGAAGCGAAGAACAGAACTCACTTCCTGCTGTTTTGTCGAAAGGCAAACCGAAACAAACAGGGCAGTGCCTCGAAGTGACAGGCCTGTGGCGGGATCTGTGGCGTCTGTGGATGGTGCTGCCATCGGCGCAAGGACTGCACCTCTAACTGCAACTGCACAGGTACCCAGAGCAAGTCGGTGCAACTATGGCCGGGACGCGGTTGTCCTGGATTGGAGTCGGTGGTTCTCTCCCTGTTGTAAGTGCGAGGTGCCGAAAGGAGTAACTCAGTGTCGTGGCTAAGCTAGTCACCCCCCAGCAACTTGCATCGCCCGCCGCTTTACCATACATATATATATATATATATATATACACATAGTATAAGTCTGCATAGTGTTTGCCCCCATCGTCACCAGAAACGGTCCCTTACCTGGAAAGTACAGGTGAGTAGCATTGCAGGATACCTGCGCGGCTCTTCGATTGCATCTAACTATGCGGCGTAGTACCATTCCGGCTCACGGACGCAGGCTATTTGCACGTAGTTTTTCTGTCTGTGTTTTCTTACGTCCTGCCATCTGCCCGCGCCGTCTGCCCGTCCACACATCCACCCATCAGGTCATCCATGTGTTCCTGCCGCCTTCCCAGGTCAGTTGCCAGTCCATATTCGCAAAAATCACACACACACACACACACACCCTAAACCCTGAAACCCTAATCCCTAAACCCTAAACTGAAACGGCGGGGCGGCAGGACACCGAATCCTTGGCTGGCGCCGGTGAAGATACTTCGGCCGGCGGTTGGTGCGCGCGCCGCAAGTCTGGCGAGGATGGGGCAGCTTCGCCGCAAGACAGTCAGCCCCTAAAAGCTAAAATCGCGAGCAGCAGAAGCACTGCAGAAAGCCAAAGGTAGCTCAAGATTGAGCTCAGAGGGGAAGCGCCCGCTTTTTTATCCGGCATCTCCCATTCTTGTGTGCTCGTTGAAGTTGTGAGCCCTCACATCATGCAATTTTGTCGCTCAAGGACGCAGATGCCACGACGGACGCAAGTGACGGCGGAGAGGCAGGAAGCGAAGATCTGAACTCACATCCTACTGTTGTATGGAAAAGCAAACCGAAACAGACGGGGCAGTGCCTCGAATCGACAGGCCTGTGGCATCTGCGGGTGGTGCTGTCATCGGCGCAAGGACTGTGCCCTGCGACTCTACAGATTTCCATTGGAAATCAGTGCAAGCATGATGAGATTCTGTTGCCCAGAAGAAGTCTGTGGTTCTCGTCCTAAACCCAATTAGGATGATATGCAAGCTGGGCCTTGCAGTGATTAGCCCTGAACCCGGGTTAGGGCCGTACCTTCGCAAGAACGGAGTCTGCACGCCGTACGCACTGAACCTTGCCGCATGCACCGATCCCCCCCCCCTCTGCTGCACCTAGAAAAGGTCTGTCTAGATTTTATAAGACCGTTTTCAAAAGAAAGCAAGTATGAAATATGATGATTATCACTATCGTTATTTTCTCCTGAAAAAAGCGGGCAGATCATGTGTTCTGCTGTTCTTATCTTTAATTGACACGTTTAGATTGGCAGGTTTGAAGAAGCAAGTCAACTTGCGAGGCTAAACGCTTGGTGCTTCTATTTATCTCACAGCCTAAGCTGTGTTCGTACACTATGCCAATTCGAGACTCAACCCGAGACAGGGAGATCAAGCAGCTCCGGTATGTGGTCGTCAGGCTCCGGGTCCTACAGCCCGTTCCCCAAGAAATCTAAGGTTTGATATAGTTTGGTCCTTTTGGGCTTGATAGAACTCAAGACACTCTTCCGTGCATACGGGGCTGGCAGGGGCCTACCTTAACAACCCCAAAACCAACCTACTTTCTGTTATAGGTTATGACTATACAACCCCTTATAGGATTCTTAGGTTATACCAAAACAAGTAGCAAGTAGGTTTAGCAAGTAGGTTTTGGGTTCGTCACTCCGAGCTTCAGGACGAGAGCGCTGCAGCTGAGGCAGATGAGGAGAACATGGGCCAGGCGGCGATCCTCACTGACATGTATGTATGTATGTATGTATGTATGTATGCATGCATGCATGCATGTATGTACGTGTGTCTGTATATGTACTATACATGAGTATGATTATTTACATACTCATAAAAATGTATATGTGTGTATCGCTTATCATATCTAGTTTATATAAAGTTACATAACTGAACAAATAAATGTATAGATACATAAAGTATATAACGATATTCCTGTATGCATACATATATATATATATATGGGCGCCCAGAAACCAGCTAAGCCTTTATACGAATGCGAAGCTGACCTACATACGCCCTTACGTGAATTTCCGCCGTCTGGAGACATGGAAGACATCACGCCAACAACACATTGCGACCAAGGCCTTCGCTTGTGGATGCTGCAACCGGCGCCGCGATGATCCTGAGGATTCGCCGTGGAGTTTTCGTTGGTTATGATTGTTTCATTCTTGTCATATGAAATTCCTCATGAGGAATACAAAGGATCATTTTAGATACAATCCCAACAAGGGAGCAGTTTTCAGGGCCTCTGTACACTGAGCAATCACGCAGATCAAGCAGGGAGCGCTCCGCACCCCAAAATTTTTCACCAAGTTGCGCGCACAATTCCTGGAGTTGCCACATTGCTTTTTCGAGAGCGACTCCGAATCAGCCCTGGGCGACCCTAAACCCTAAACCCCAAACCCTCAACCCTAAACCCCAAACCCTAAACCCTAAACCCTAAACCCTAAACCCTCCCCCCTACACCATCCTGCGCCTTGCCCGGGCTCTAGAGGAGCTGGACGCCCCGATGATGCCCGCTGCTGATGCTCCAGAGGCTTGCTAGCCCAGTAGTACCCATTACCCTTTTTGGTTCAAGGTTCCCTTATACAGGTAACCAAACCCAAAAAAGGTACGCTTATTGCAATAAGGTTACTGGTACCAAGGAGGCAACTGCAACACCGGTTGCGACATGCCGGCGTAGTCCAGCGTAAGTGTTACGCAAACCCCGAATCCTAAACCATGCAGTAAGCAAGTTCCATTGCGCAAGATCGCTTCAGCCCAGTTTCACTCGCGGCCGAAACAAGCGCAGAGGTTTATGGTTCAGGGTGATCTCGCAGGAGATTTTGCTTCAGATTGCGTGATGTGACTGCTGAGAAATTGTATGGTTGCCGGCAGCCTCAAAGTCCGTTGCCCAAAAGAAGGGTGATCTCGCACGCCGACCTTGAGAGGTCTGGACAGCTTGACCCTCCCGCATGCGCAGAAGTGTAGCTGCTTTTGCTAAATGTGTGGCGCGCCTTGCAGCCCGTCAGCCCCCCATAACTAGACACTCAGACGCCCAACGTGCAGTAGATTTTGCCTCTGAAACGCGAGAGGGTTGAGTCCATTACGCTCGTTTGTTGCTGGACCGGTTCCTTCTTCTCACTTGGCAAGCCCCTTTTAAGCGAGCGAATGTCGCAATGCTCCGCTACACCTTACAGGCCGCATTGCAGCAGTCATCGCATCATCTCCCATGTTAGCACCATGATGAGCAAGATATACATCTCCACCGCTCCAGGGTTTACGGTTTAGGGTTGCCGGTCAGATGTAACAGTTGCTCCTTGTAGGCTCCTAGTAGACAGTTGTGCTCCGACCCTTGCGCTTGCATCTTTCTGCATGTGTAGATCGAGTTGTCAACCCCCAGCTCTCTGCCCCACCCATTCATCCATCCCACCAGTCACTGGTCCAGTTGTTATACATCCCACTCCACCCCCTGCCTCCCCTGCCCCTTCCTCCCTTCACCCTCGAAATTCAGGCGGCGCGCACGCAACGCAGCCTGCCGAGTGAGGACGGAGCAGGGTGCCAGAAACCCTACATGCCCTTCATTTGAAGATCGAGGAAGCCAAGCCTGAAAAACCGTCTTTAAGTGACACGTGCCCTCGTCCCTTGCTGGCCAAAAAAACCGACCAGAAGGTGCAAACTCATGTCAGGTTAGACTACATGGCTGTACTTGGCTATTGATTGTATTTGGGTGCTGTTGTGTATATACGGGGTGTTGTTTTGTGGGGTACCAGCAAGCAAGCGGCTGGCAATCCGACTCCAAAACAAAACTGCGAACTCGAACCCTCGAACCCTATACATCCTACCGAGCCCTTTAACCCTCGAACGCCAATGCCTCACAACGAACTACACGCATGCAGTCCAAAGTCTTAGGACTTCTTGGACCCTAAACCCTAACTCTGGAACCCTGAGCCCTGAAGCCCTTGACAGAACTGCCCGGCTTGCGGCAACATCTACGCGGACGACGCGGTGTTCTGCCGGAAGTGCGGCCGCAAGCGCGACCTGCCAGAGGCGTTTAGGGTCCCCTCTGGGCGGTGGAGGGATCAGGTAGCCCTCCAAAGGTTAAAGCCCCAAGTTCTAGAGGCCCTAAGGATATCTGAGCTAGTTGAAAGCGGGCCGAGTGTAGGAATCTTCTTCAGGTTATTTTTTATTAAGCTGTAAGCAATATCAATTGCTAAGATCTGCTTAAAGTCGAGGTTGGGGCTTTTTTGCGCGAACACCATTGACGGACAAAAGCAAACTAAGCGGAATGCGGAAGAAGGCTAAACGATGCGCGGAACGCTGTAAGCCCGAAGCCCTCACCGAACGGCTGAGGATGCGCCAAAGCATTCGCCGGGCTTTAGGTTGCTCTTGATCGCCCCTTTGGGATCCCCGCGCAGAGGCTGCAAAAACGAAAGATATGGAGGTTGAGCAAACCCGCAATACCCCTACCTGGATGGGCTATTAGGCCTTGTAATCCCCAGAATGAACCCTATAGAGGGCCTTTTGAAGGGGGTTATAGGGTATACTAGCCCATCCTGGTGTGATTGTGGCTGTGCCGACCCGTGAATCTGGAGGTACCCTGCATGTGCAGTTCTCTTTGACCTTGCTCGTTGCACCATCATCCGGGCTTCGCCTCGACGCATCCACCATCCATACATCCGGCTGCTCATCCATCCTCCCATCACAGTAAGTACACCAGGCAGTCCAGTTGTTGTCCTTCCATCCCCAAGCCCAGAAACCCTAAACCCAAAAAACTCAACTCACTGTACTGGGCAGGAGACGGCAGCGGGTGAAGGTCCTCCGGCGGGCCCGAGTGAGGACGGAGCAGCTTGAGCCGCATGCATGGGCTCCCCTAAAAGCCCAAGAGGCAGAAACCATGCAATATAGGGGGGGAGGGGGGGGGGGCGGGAAAAAATTTCCATTCGTGTGTATTCCCTTCTGGTCCTTTGTGCCTATATTTATTGCTTGTAACAGGGTCGTGGCCCAGACACGCGACATACCCCGTTACATAGGGTATGTATCAACGCCCGGGGTTTTGCGACAGACCTGCTTGTTGTTGTCTTGTTTCCCCTTTTGGCTTCCAGTCGTGCATGCGCGCGACAGAGGTTTGTATCAAGACGGGCGTTACATAGGTCTGTAACAGATTGTTTCGCGCGCGGTCCGTGACAACCGGGGGTTTTGGCACACGACCATATACTACAATAACCCCCCAAAAACCCCAATTCAAATTACTAAAGCCCCCGTAAGCGCAAGCCCTTCACTTCAAGACCGTCTTGGGACTGGCATTTGGTTAGTTGAAGTCGCAGTTCCCTTGGGACAACGTGTCAGGCGTGCGATGTGTGCCCCCCCCCTCCCCCCCCACACCCCTCCCCCAACCCCCAAAAAATAGAATCTGGACATACCACCCGAGGAGCTTGATGCTGCGGCGGAGGACGAAGAGGCGCAAAGCCAGTAATACCACGTCCTTTCTAAACCTCAAAGCTCCTCAATTCCTGGTTTTTGAATGGCAGATTTTACACCTTGAGCTGCAGACACTATAGGGAGGACAGTGCCTCGCAGCAGCAACAGGCGTGTGGATGGTGCTGTGACCGGCGAGCGGCCCAGGTGGACTGTGCCTTGCACATGCCCTGTTGTTGGGCACAAGTGCGGTTGTTTGAGATTTGTGTTGCCATGCTTTGCCATGAACAATCATGAGCTGCAAGACCTCTTGTTTTGCAAGCCCGAATTGCTAACGGCAAACGCACTCAGTTTGCAAGAACGTAGACTATGTAGACTTATTTTCGTCTTCCCGTCGCATGGTTTAATGTCCTGCGTTTAATCTCAAACATCTGTTTTTTGTTTTACCTATTTTGTTTTGCCTGCTTTTGAAGGGCTCTGGACGGTGGCCTTTTTTGGACACGAGGTTTTGGGCGGGGGTGGACTGCATGTCTTTGGGCACTTCCCAAGCGAAGGCTTTCTGCACATTCAGGCCTTCAACCTTCGAAGGTGTACTTGAAGCATGTTCAAATGTCAGGAAGCCAAGTTTGGGTCTGCGGAATCGGGTTGGAGGCTAGGGTACAGATCGCGAAGCCGTAGCCCAGTACCCGGTACCCTCAAGCCCTCAGAAGCTATGAGACCTAAACCACAAGCGCGCACATCGAGAAGTGCACCAAGTCGAAACAACAAACCCCTCAGAAGCTAAGCCTTATAAAGCTTATAGCCCTTCGGGGCCTCAGGGTCTTAGAGTTTATTGGGCTTAGGTCTTTCTTGGGGCTGTAGGGTCAAGTCAAAGTAGTGGTTTGTGAGGCTTTATAGGCCTTCGGGTTCAGGGTGTCGGTTCCATGCTTTAGGGTGCAACGTTGAGAGTTTATAGGGTTTAGCTTAGGGTTTAGGGGACGGAACCCCCCCCACCCCCCCCCCCCCCCCCCCCCAAGAGCTGACCGTGAAAAAACCATGCAAAATGTGGGACGGTAATCCATGCAGTAGCTGACAAAGGGTCCAGCTGTCTGCCCATCCATGCATGAATCATCCGCCCATCCACCTTCTACGCCACAAGCCAGTGCATTCCTTGTTCCTTGTCTACCTACTCCCATGCAAGCTTGTTGTTTGGAAGCTGTGGTGCAGGAGGGCGAGGAGGGTGATGGTCCTCCAGCAGGCGGTTGGTGTGCGCGGCGCACCAAGTCGGGAGAGGACGGAGCGGCGCGAGTCGCAGGCAAAACCGCCCTAACACCCGAAAGGAGCAAGAGCTCTGAAAGATCAGGTTGAGCAGAGCAGAGCATTGTCAAGCATTCTTGTCGTCCAATCCCCCTTGCTCTTGTTGCTGCAAATCCGGGGGTGGGGGAGTGGGGAGAGGTCCGAGTCCAAATAGTACTTTAATTGCAGTATTCGGTGCCGAAAAATGGTACAGCCCAGGTGTTGCCGAAGGGAGGAGTGGGTTTGGATGTTGAGCCCTCCACCCACCCCCCCCCCACCTTCTCGCATTTGGGACTGTTTGGGACATGATGCGGAGCACCGCCTCTGCTCAAGGAGCCTGATGCCGCGGCGGAGGGCCATGGCGACGGAGAGGCACGAAGCCAGCAACAGCAACGTCCCTCATAAAGCCGCTAAAAGCTTCTTTTACTCTTGGTAGCCCAGTGGTACCCTTCTCTCTTTTGGGTTCAAGGTTACCATTTTAAAGTAACCAACCCCCAAAAGGCTTCCTGCTTTTGAAAGATTTTGTTCGGAAATCATGAGCTGCAGGCCCTAGGGATAGGGAGGGCCTTGCCTCGCAGCAGCAGGCCTGTGGGTGGTGCTGTCCCCGGCGGGCGGCGCAGGAGGATTGCTGCCCTGGAACGCATGCAGCAAGTGTGAGTTGCAAGATCCTCAGAAGCCGTACAGTTTTTGCACGCCTTACGCGGTGAACGCCCAGCCTTATAGACTTAAGCTTGCACCCCGTCTATCCTAGAATGAAGACCCGACAAGCAGGTTTCGCTGCCGAACGCTCTGGAGCCCCAACTTATCGCAGCATTCGCAGCGACAGAATAGGCAGAGCCAAGACTCGGCGTTAGGCTGGGAGAAGTGGTCGGGAATGGGGATATTTTCATAAGGGGAGGGACTGATTCAAACCTAGACGATGTATCCATGCAGGTACCAAATACTGTCCCTTGTATGTGTCTATTTGCAGACAAAAACACACGCTTCGACCTGGCAGCTTAGGGATTCCCAGCTGTCTGCCCATCTTCTCATTCACCAGCATCCGCCCTCCATCCAACTATAGTCGCTGCATTCCATATCCACCCACTCCCAATCTTGGAGCTTGGAAGCTGTGGTGCAGGAGGGCGAGGCGGGGGATGGTCCTCCAGCAGGCGGTTGGTGTGCGCGGCGCACAAAGTCGGGCGAGGACGGAGCAGCCGCAAGCAAAGCTTCCCCTACAACCCCACACTAAAGATCCAGGTCAAGCGGCAGCACCCCAGCATCCATTGTCAGGCATTCTAGTCGCAGGGCTGACTTGTCAAGCACGATGCTTCTGGTCACATCTACCCTGCTGCACGTGGGGATATGATGCGGAAATGTCGCCTCCGCTCAAGGAGCCTGATGCCGTGACGGAGGGCAGTGGCGCCGGAGAGGCGCGAAGCCGAAAACAGTAGCGCCTCTTATAAAACCTGTGCAAGCTCCTGAGTTCCTGCTTTTGAAAGGCAAGCCGAGAGCTGTAGACTTCCATAGTTAGGTAGGGCACTGCCTCGCAACAACAGGCCGGCGGGTGGTGCTGTGGCCGGCGAGCGGCGCAGGTGGACTGTGCCCAACAAATGCGCAGTTGCCCAGTTCAAGCTTTTTTTGAAGCTATGAACGGCTGCGACGATTGTGAGCTGCAAGATCCCTGCTACAGCACATACTACAACTATAACTTATAACCCTTACAAGTGTGCAAGACCTATACGGGGAACGGCCCGCCTTTTGCGACGCTCGAACGAAGACGATTCGGCTTCAACTTGCCACTTGCGGCCCACCCCCTGTCTTGTCCTAGCAAGGTCCGATCTAGGGGTTAGGGTTTTAGGGTTTAGGGTTTAGGGTTCTCCGCCAAACGACGCTCCGGAGACCCAACTCGATCAACTCGCAGTGCAACAAATCAGGAAGATTCAAGACTCGGCATTTGTAAGGTTTGGAGGTTCCAGCTGTCGGCCCATCAATTCACCCATCATCCGCCTATCCACCAGCCACACAATTCCGTTCGTTCCTTGTCCACCTACAAGCTGTGGCGCAGGAGGGCGATGCGGGCGATGGTCCTTCAGGGGGCGGTTGGTGTGCGCGACGCGCCGAATCGGGCGAGGACGGAGCAGCCGGCAGCCGCAAGCAGAGGGACGCTAAAACGCCACAGAGGCAGAAATCCCTGTAACCCTTCATTGCAAGATCAAGGAGGTCAAAAGGGCAGCACCCCAGCATCCATTTAGTTGAAGTTGTGAGCCCGCCAAATGTTAGTCACTCTAATCGCCGGGCTGACTTGTCAAGCACGCGCTTCTTCTGGTAGACGTGCCCCCTCCCCGTTGCATGCGGGGATACGATTTGCAGCGTCGCTTCCGGTCTAGGATCCTGGTGCCCTGACGGAGGGCAGTGGCGACGGAGAGGCACAAAGCCAGCATGATGTAGCAGTACCGCCTCTGATAAAGCAAAAAACTCAAATCCTGAGTTCTTGCTTTTGAAAGGCACGCGGGGAACTGCAGATTCTATAGTTAAGTTAGGTAGAGGGCATTGCCTCGCAGCAACAGGCCTTCGGGTGGTGCTGTGGCCGGCGAGCGGCGCAGGTGGGCTGTGCCCTGCAAATGCACAATTGCCCAGTGCAAGCGAACGACTGCGACGATTGTGAGCTGCAAGATCCCTACTCTAGACGATTCCCCTTAGCATTGCAGCTAAGCCTTACGGAGAACGGCCTGCCTGTGCGACGCTAGAACGAAGACTATTCAGTACTTGGCTTACAATTGCCACTTGCACCGCGCATCTGTCCTTGTCCTAAGATCTCCGATGTAAGGGTCCTCCTCCAAACGGCGCTTCGGAGACCTTAACTCCATCAACTCGAACTACAACCATCAGTAAGATTAAAGGCTCGGCATTCGTAAGGTTAGGAGGCTCCAGCGGTTTGCCCATTTATTCACTACACACCCATCATCCGCCTATCCACCGGCCACACAATTGCGTCCGTTGTTCCTTGCCCACCTACAAGCTGTGGTGCAGGAGGGTGATGCGGGCGATGGTCCTTCAGGGGGCGGTTGGTGTGCGCGGCGCGCCGAATCGGGCGAGGACGGGGCAGCCGCAAGCCCTTCATTGCAAGATCATGGTGGTCAACAGGGCAGCACCCCAGCATCTATTTCATTGTCCGGCATACTAAGATGTGCCCGTCGCATGCGGGGATACGATGTGCAGCCTCCGTTCTAGGATCCTGGTGCCGTGACGGAGGGCAGTGGCGATGGAGAGGCACGAAGTTCGCACAAGATGTAGCAGCATCACCTCTGATAAAGCCAATAAAATTAAAAGCCCCTGGAGTTCTTGCTTTTGAAAGGCAAGCGGGGAACTGCAGATTCTATAGTCAGGTAGAGGGCATTGCCTCGCAGCAACAGGCCTGCGGGTGGTGCTGTGGCCGGCGAGCGGCGCAGGTGGACTGTGCCCTGCAAATGCACAGTTGCCCAGAGCAAGCACACTCTTATCGTGTTCTTTTTGTGTAGCCATGAACGATTGCGAAATTTGTGAGCTGCAAGATCCCCACAATGCCTTAATGTTGGACCTTCTTTTTTGTCCCCCGCTCTGGAACAGTCGAAGCTGATGTTGACCCTCTTTAAACGTCAACACGGTTGGATGTGCAGTTATACAAGGGATAAGATAAGAGGGGCTGAAGGCTTAGGGACACCCCCCCCCCCCCCCTTCCTCCCCGCAGCAAATCAGGAAGATTCGAGACCACTTGTAAGGTTAGGAGGGTCCAGCTGTCTGCCCATCCATTCGTCCATTATCCGCCCATTCAACTTCTACACCACAAGCCAGTGCATGTCTTGTCCACCAACTCCCAATCTTGGATTGGAAGCTGTGGTGCAGCAGGGCGATGCGGGTGATGGTCCTTCAGCGGGCGGTTGGTGTGCGCGGCGCACCAAGGCGGGCGAGGACGAACGGAGCAGACGGCAGCGCAAGCAAAGTTTCCCCTAAACCCCCCAGGGGAAGACAACCATTCATGAGTAGCATCCAAACGTCCCTTTAGTTGAAGATGTAAGCCTGCATTCTAGTCGCCGGGCTGACTTGTCAAGCACATGATGCTTCTGGTAGATGTGCCCCCTCCCCTGCTGCATCTGGGGATATGATGCGGGAACGTCGCGCCCGCTCAAGGAGCCTGATGCCGCGACGGAGGGCAGTGGCGCCGGAGAGGCACGAAGCCAGAAGCAGTAAGGCCTCCTATAATCAAACCCCAAAACTCTTGCGTTCTTGTTTTTAAATTATTGAAAGGCACGCACGCCGCCGGGAACTCTAGACTAGCTAGGAAGGGCATTGCCTCGCAGCAACAGGCCGGCGGGTGGTGCTGGGGCCGGCGAGCGGCGCAGGTGCAGTTGCCCAGTGCAAGCTCGCTCTTTTTTGTGTATAGCTACGAAGGACGGCGACGACGATTGTGAGCTGCAAGATTCCCGCTTTATACTATCACCCTACAGCTTTTCAAGCCCTACGGAGAGCGGCCTGCCTTTGCTAGAACGAAGAGTATACTCGGCTCGAGCCCTCATCTGTCCTCGTCCTAGCAAGATCTGATACAAGGGTTCTCCGCCAAACGAAGCCACCGCATTCGTTTTCCTTGTCCACCTCCCATGCAATCTTGTATAGTTTGGAAGCCGTGGTGCAGGAGGGCGATGCGGGGGATGCTCCTTCAGCGGGCGGCTGGTGTGCGCGGCGCACCAAGGCGGGCGAGGACGGACGGAGCAGACGGCAGCGCAAGCAAAGTTTCCCCTAAACCCGTACTAAACCCCCTCCATCCCCCCAACAAAAAGACATCAGAAGCCATTAATAGCAAGATCAAGGCGGTCAAGGAGGGCGGGGGGGAGGGGGCTGAAGGGAGAAGGGGAGGGGGGCGAGGGCTTAGGGTTTATAAAGGGTTCATAGGATTCAGGGTTTATAGGGTTTAGGGTTGTCCCACTCGCATTTCGGACATGATGCGGTGAAGGAGCCTGATGCCGCGACAGAGGGCAGTGGCGACGGGGAGGCACGAAGCCAACATCAGATGTAGCAGCAATAATCTTCCCCCAAAAGCTCCTAAACAGTTCCTGTTTTGGAAAAGCAGCCGAAAAAACGGCAGAGTCTACAATTAAGTAGGGCATTGCCTCGCAGCAACAGGCCCGTGGGTGGTGCTGTGGCCGGCGAGCGGCGCAGGACTGTGCCCAGCAAAATGCGCAGTTTAGGGTGTAGGGTTTAGGGTGCTCTTGGAAAAGGGTTTAGGGTTTAGGGTTGCCCGATGACAGCGCGGCTCGTTTTCGTGATGCCATGAACGAGCACGATGATGACTCGTACTTCTTGAAGTATACAGGTAGCCCATGGAATTCAGCACTGGAATTAAGTCCTCCTAGTTTATGAGAACTCCCAGATCCCGAAGATCCTAAAGCTTCTAGCGGCTGGGACGGATTCCGTGAGCCAGGAGATACACGAGTAAACCTTGAGCCCCCCCTCAAGACAAACCCTATAAACCCGACAAATATTTGGACCCTAAACCCTAAATTTATAGGTACTAATTAAAAGGGTCTGCAGATCCATCGCATCGCAGATCCATCCGTTCACCCGTTCAGCCCTCTGTTCGTCCATCCCTCCATCCCAGTGTTGGCAATTTATTACAGAACCCACGCACCTACTACTTGCTTAAGAACACCAAACAATAGAATGAACATACTCGCTACCTTACCCTTGCACAAGGAAGAGCATTCTTGACTTTGTTGGAGGGGGGGGGGTTCTTAAGCACATAGCAGTCGCCCCAATGACTATATCCCCCTTAGGAACATATCTTCTAAATTTTGTTTATATAAAACCCAAGAGGATATTTAAAAAACACACTATTTTTATTAAGTTTCTAAGGGGAGTATAGATAAGGATGGAGTCGTGAAGCTGTAGTGCAGGACGGCGAGGCGGGCGAAGGTCCTCCGGCAGGCGGTTGGTGCGCGCGGCGCGCCAAGTCGGGCGAGGCTGGAGCAGCCCCCGGGTTTAGGGTTTAGGGTTTATGGTTTCGGGTTTAGGGTTTAGTGCCGGAAACCCTGCATGTGAACTTAGCTTGGTCAGGCGTCCTGTATTTTATGTGGTGGTTTTGCTGGCGTGTCACGCGTGCGACACTTCAGGTGTAGATGCACCCCGCCCCTTGTCATGTGGGGATGTGTAGCCTCCATCGGCAGGAGGCTGATGCTGACATGGAGGATGGTGCCGAGGCACGAAGCGAACCGAAGAACCCAAACCTAAAGCTCCTGCTCACCACATCTCACCACTTAATTATATAGTTCTGAAAAAGCAAAAGGGAGCTGAAGACTGTAGACCGGGAAGCACCTCAAAGCAACAGGCCTGTGGCTGGTGCTGTCACCGGCGAGATGAGGAAGAGGACGATTGCCACCCGCATGCTGTGTTTAGGTGTGTTGCTTTCAAGCGTGCTATACGCTTTGCTCCCCTTGAATAATTGAAGTGCCTTGCGCACGGAATGAACTACGTTCAGCAGGGCTTTTTTGAGGGAGGGAGAGCAGTTTACCCTTACTTTTCCTTCCGTGCACCATCAGTTTCATGACACCTTAGCGGCCCACCAGTCCATCCATGAAGGTCACCCGAGAGGTTACCGAGTCTTATTGCGTGATCATGCGAACAGGAAACCGCCCAGGAAAGTGATCTATATAGATCTTGGTACGGGTGTAGCTCTACCTTCACTTTCTCCTTGCCTGGTGGTTACATAGACGGGACATCTGGGTATCTGCTTCCAAGTCCAAGCCACTAGGAACCCACCCTGGGGAACCCACATCAAGAGCCAGATCGCTATCAGAATCATTCTGAATCATGGGTATGCTGTAGAAGGCTTTTCGCATGCGCGTGGCTTACGGTGCGGCGCCGTCGGGGCGGAAGAAGGGTGGCAAGCACCCGAAGAACACGCTTTTCGAGCATCCCCGCTTTGACATCAGGCTTCCTTGTTGGCGTTGTTCTTGTAGCTGTTGCTGTTGCTGCTTGAAACCCTGTAAACTCTAGACATCCATCCATGGGCTCATCTGGGCGCTAATGGTTTGAGCGTGCTCAGGATCATGTGGCCCGCCGAAATCCGATAGTCCGGACCCCTAAATCAAAATCAAATTCGAACCAGCTCGGGATCATTGGGGGGATAAGGAAAGCAGGTCGGATGAAGAAATAATGTCAGGACATAGCACTGTATTGCTAGCAGTCCGGTGTGCTGGTAGGACTAGCCTTTCGCAGCCCTGCATCTTAATGTTCCGAGGAGGAATACATGCTTCTGGAGCCCAGCAACGAGGTGCCATAGCGCGCAAGCGATTCCACGAGCTTGAAGCCCTTCTTAGTTAGCATGTTTCGGCCCCACCAGGGTCAGGTTGAACTCTGAGAACCCTACGCCTTCCCAGTCCGCTGAGATTTTGTGAGGCTCTTAGTCTAAACAGCAACCAAGTGTCACATTCATGGCTGAGGACTTTGGCTTAGGTCAGCGCAAGGATCACAGACTTGCCTGCTCTTCAGTGCTGGTCCTGAAGCCCAGACCTTGCACTGCGTTACAAAAATACCAGGCAAACCGTTCACATCCACTTCTCGATAGTGACCCCCTCCTCCCCAGTGCCCCAGCACTGGATTCTGACGAGCTGCATGTCTTTGTCTTTAGTCTGCCTATTCTTGTCTAGCCTAGCAGGTTTACGGGATGAATGCTGGTGACCCAAGTTTGCCCCGCTCATTTGAGAATGCGCCCGTGGGCAAAGCTAGCACCAACACCCTGCAAACCCCACCATGGCCAGGCAACGCTGGTGCAGGCAAAGTGGGGACTGGGAGGGATATTCACGGCCCTGTTGCAAGTCAGCCGGAAGTTCGTTTAGCAGGAGTATATTGCCGGCGTCAGCACCTGCTACAAATCTGCCTCCTTCTTTGAGGAAGGTGGCTTCCTCAACTTAGTCCAAGACGCTTCCGGTGAGCTCGCATGTACGCGTCTGCTCTCTGCGGCCGTTCCAAGATTTGATCTGGCGTCCCTGATTTCGTGAAGGAGTTCACAGGGCAAATGGAATTCTTTGCGATTTCTGAAGAGGCACCTCCTTGGAAGGCATTTGCAGGAAGCTTTACCCTTCATCCCCTCTACAAGAGCATTGCCTGTCACACATCGCCCCGGAGCAGATCTCCAAAGCATTTCAGGAGGCCTTACACAGAATGAACATGGCCTATGTCAAGCCCGCCCGCTCCAGTGCAAAGTAGATGTGGTCATGAGACCCCGATGTCTGAGCAGAGGGCCTCAGCAGTCCTCAATTTGGAATTTTGCAAACAGGATCCAGGCATGAGACAATGCAAGAGAGCCGTGAGAAAATTTGGAAAGGAACAGCAAACCGAGAGAATGCGAGAGAGGAATGTTCAGAGTGTGCCCTCTACACACCCTCGACTTCACCATGCTTCTGGGTTTAGGGTTTTAAAAAAGGGTTTAGTTAGGGTTTAGTAGACTGCCATTCTTGCTTCAGGAAGAGAGCGCTGCACCTGTGCCGATGGCAGGGGAGCAGGTGCGTGGGCCACGCTGACCCTAACGCAAGCGGGTTGCCTTGGACAGTCGAATCGCAAGCCGGCTCGCATGCCTTGGTTACATGCGTGTATTTCTGGTTGCATGGCGCGCGAGTGCAGTGCTCAGATTGCTTGAGAACCCCGAAGTAGTTCATGCGCGTTTGCAAACTTTGACCAGGGCTTCTTAGAGATGGTGTGCAGCATCATGGCCACGTGTCGGCGCACCAGCTTGGTCATGACCTGGCACACTGGCACACGTTAAAACACATACCCCCAAGCCATCGCAAGCCGCACTTTGAGATCCGCGAACCTCCTATAGCCTCATAGATGAAGTTTGCCTGTAAACCCCCACCCACTGTGGGTCATATCTACTTGGCTATGCTTGACGAAGAGCTTCGGGGCATGTTTAAGTTTAAGGTTTGCCTAAACCCCAAACCTTAAACCCTAAACTTACCTAAACCCTAAGCCCCAAAACCCGTCGGTTGCCGAAGTCTAAGTCCATCCTGGTTGGAGGACGAGGGCAGAATGCCTGACGCCGTCGGGGACCTGCAGGCGCATCAGAATAATTATTTCAGAAGCGTAAACAAATTGCCAAGATTAGCCCTTCGTTTAAAACCCCAAGATACAGTAGCCTATAGCCTACACACATATATAAATATGTATATGTATATATATATATATCCAACCCCGGAATTGCTTGCTGATGTTGGCTGGAGTGACTGGCTGCAAAAGTGGCGGGGAATTAGGTGGAAGACCTGCATGCCTTAGTAACCTCTTGGAGTGACGGCCGGGATGCTTCCGTTCGTCCTCGCAACTGTAGGGCGCGTGGGGCAAACTGTAAAGTAGAAAGCAGTCTACTCAAAACAGCCATGAACTAAACAGCCCCCCCCCCCAGCGGTGTATGGTTTAGGGTTTAGGGGGTGTTTGGCGTAAGGCTATCTTGCTTGTAGGATGTAGATGCATGTGTGGAGATGTACACTCGATGGAGAGGCGAGGCAAATGCCCGGCTTGAAAGGAAAGCCCGCAGGTCCTAGGGGCACAGCTTGCTGGCCGGGACCTACGCTGTCAGCTGGAGGGGCGCTTGCAAGCGGTTTAGGGTTTAGGGTTTGGGGTTTAGGGTTTCGGGTTTAGGGGCTCAAGCATGCGGTACGTGCTGCGCGCTCCTTTTGATTCCATGACCGTGTCGCGGGGACCCATACACAGCGCATCAGCAGTGCCATGGTGCAAGCCTAAACCCTAAACCCTCTGGGATCTGCTAGGCGGGTGGCAAAAAAAACCCTAAACCCTCAAGAGTCTTCCCACTGTCAAGCCCTGGCAGAACTGCCCGGCCTGCGGCTTCGTTTACTTGGGCTCGGTCTGCCCACGATGTGGCTGCGAGAACGTCGACGAGGTGCGGACTGGCATGGTGGAGGTGGTGGTGGAGGTGGTGGTCTCCCTAAACGGGCCAGTGGGTGGTACCTGCACAAGAAGTATATTCCTGGCTTCGATGACTCAGACCAGTCCCGTTTTTTGAATAGAAACGATCATCGCACGTGTTCGCCTTCAAACTCTACTGCTTATTATTAATGGGTTCTTAGTAGATTGTAGCATGTTTCTTGTTTTGCCCGTGGCAACACCAGCATCACCCAAAGATTACAACTTTTGCCCACTGAAAACGTGACTCACAAAAGCCGTGCCGCTTCTGCCGGCGTGCAGTCAATGGAGAAATCCAGACGCTCCAGTACTTGGCTTAAAGCCCCCAAACCTTCGATTCAAAGGCTTGCTTGGGGGTTTAGGGTTTAGGGCGGATGTTTGGAATCTAGGGCTTCTTGTAAGGCCCTTGCGTGCACACTTGGGTGGAGGTTGGTTACCCAAGTCGGCCCTATAGCGTGCTTGTCGCACCTGCAGGACGCGAGCGCTGCGGCCGACGCAGAAGGGGAGAACATGGGCGAGGCGGGCATGGGGATGGGCCTGGAGCTTCTATAGAGCACCGAAGCCAAACAGGTGCGCCCAAATCTACTGTGTGCTTAAAGGACCCCCCAGAAAATTGAACTTTCTTCCTTGTAACGAGAATACAGGGATTTTATCTTGGTTTTTTTTGGGAGTGCTTCAGCAAATAGTAGAAGTTGTGAATTTCTATAAGCTGGCCCCCCCCACATTCTTACGTGCATGCGCGATCTGTGGGTACGCAGTGCCTTCTCAACAAAGCAGCGCGACCGAGGCCTTTGCCTGCGGATGCTGCAATCGTCGCCGCAACACTCCCGAGGACGCCGGACAAGCCTCCTTGCTACGTGTACATGGGTTTGTGTTTATAGGGTTTAGGGTTGCAACAAAGGTGTATGGATGATTTACACTGGGGAAGTATTTACGGTAGCGTGGTGTATGGGGATGTTCTTGGAAGGCGGACGACGAGTTGGTCGAAGGAGAGCCAGAATGCGGCTGGTGTGCTCGCAGACGCGGCTCGACCGAGGACGACAGCCCGCAATTAAAACAAGGGAGACAAAGAGAGAAGTAGAGCGTGTCATATAACAGAAGAAGGAAAAGAAGAGGACGAAGAAGAAGAAGAAGAAGAAGAAGAAGAAGAAGAAGAAGAAGAAGAGGACGACGAAGAAGAAGAAGAAGAAAAGAAGTGTGTCATAGCATTCCTGGTGACCTGGCTGGGGCATGCGACATGCACAGGGGGGGCTTGCCCTCCTCGGCATAGTCCTTGCGCAGCACTATGTATGATTAAGAAGAACCCCTCTGGTCCTCAATTGCTTGTATCGCCTTGCAGAGTCTCTGTTTTGCAAAGTTGAGAAGTTTTTTTTTAAATTTATCCAATGGCTGCTTAAGCTTCCTCTATCTCATCATGGCAGACAAGGATTTCTTCCACTTAGTAGCTGAATGAACTTATGGGATACTATGATCCCCCATAGGGCTGAAAGTGTACACATCTTGGGGGCCTATATATATATATATATATATATGTTAAATATATATATATATGTATATACATATATAAATATATATATATATATATATATATATGTTTTTTTACTCTTTAAGGGATTATATGGGGCACCTGATTCCCCCGTTCCCTACGAACCAACAGTAAGGCTAAGTCCCCTGCTCTGCAGCATCTCTCTCATGCCACCCTCGGAGTCTCTGACCATCCAGGAAGCCAGTGTTTGCTGTGTTTGAGATGCTTGCCCTAAACCCTAAACCCTAAACCCTAAACCCTAAACCCTAAACCCTAAACCCTAAACCCTAAACCCTAAACCCTAAACCCTAAATGCCAACAGGCTTAGGCTTCCTGTACCCTGATCCCACCCGTGCAAAACCGACCTGGCAAAAGACCCCTTAACGTGGGCAGGAGGCCGCTGAAGGTCAGCCAGCGGGTGGCTGGTGTGCGCGCAGACGCAGTGCCACTGAGGACACAGTTTTTTCCGGTGAGGGAGGGTAAGAGCAGGAGAAATGACAGCCATAATCTATTGTGGAAAGAACCCCCGAAATTGAAAACAACATTCCTCCTTATAAGGGCAATATGGGGATTAGTCTTTTTGAGCAGATAGTAGAAATGCGTTGGCTTGAGGGTCCTCCGAGGCTTGTAGGCTCTTGTGCAGTGTTTAAGGTGTCGAGGCTCTCTTGAGTGATGCTGATGTTTTGTTTGAGCATTTGTGTCAAGGGCGTGGCCCAAAAGAACATGCTGTATGTCTGTGCAAACGCGATTTTGGGCTCATTGGGCTCTTCAGCCATGGTTGACTCAGAGCCTTAGGTATGTTGTCAGCCTGAGTTGCTTGTCAAGTGCCCACGTCACAGTTCATCCCTGTGAGTGAGAGGAGGGCGGATCACCTGACCAGGAGGCACAGCAACATGCGCTCGGGATGCAGTCCCTAGACCCTAGACCCTAAACCCTAAACCCTAAACCCTAAACCAGACCGCAATGTGGCCTCTGTGTCAGCTAGGCGGGCGTCAGAAAACGTATGTGTATGGCATGCGCGGGTTGATCTTGGTGCAATAGCTTCTAGGCTGCGACTGCCAGATGTGACTGGAGAGGTACCCCCCTTGCATTGAGGTACATAGGTAGGGTTTATGTATCTGATATTGGCTGGTACGGTTCCTTACAAACTTGGCCTTTTGGGGGCGCTAGAAAATACAAACCCTACCTCAAAAATGGGGCTCGCATGCCGCTACCTGAAATGGAGGTTTACCTGAAATGGAGGAGAACAATCAGCTGAGGATTCCAGATGGGGTACTGTGGCCTCCCTTGTTATCTTTCATCTTTCGTTTTTTGTAATTGCACTTTCAGAGGACCGGGGAGAGGATCGTAAGTGAACAAGGGCCGAGCCATGCCTTTGTGGCAAGCAGTGCGACCCTTCCAGGCTTCCGGCTGCTGTGCCCGTCGGCAGAATGCGCCTGAGGACGCCGCAAGCCTTAGCTTGCATTCAGGGGAAGCCGGTGCGCTTTCTCAGCTTGCATTGGCGAAAGGGCGCCTGGCCCAGCTTCTGCCGTCATGGAATGACTGCCTGACCTGTATCTTCACCATGCCCTTCCACCAGAAGAACATTCTCGTAGGTGCAGATAAAATCAGAAGCAGTGAAAGCTTGTAGTTAGCCCATATAAACAAGCTGAAGGGCGCGTGCGGATGCTTTTTGGGAGGACAACGAAGCAGGCGGAGGTCAGCCAGCAAGTGGCTGGTGTGGGGACAGGCGCAGCTCGACAGAGGACACGGCCCCTGAAGGGGAGAGGAAGGAAATATGTAGGTATACTGTATATATATATATATATATATGTTATGTATGTATATTGTGTGAATATATATATATAAATACAAATATACATAAAATGTAAATAGAGATATAAAAATATGCAAAGAAATATTCATAAATAATCAAATATATATGTATATATATACATAAAGTAATTATCACTTAAGCGCAACGGATCGCCATAGTATTTTGTCGGCACGATCCCCAGGTCCTGACGCGTAGCCCTTTTGCCCTTGCAAGCTAAAAGTAACCTCGGTTCATGGTGGATATTTAAATGTTCTTGAGAAGGACGGCCAAGCGGGCGAAGGTCAGCCAGCAAGCGGCTGGTGTGGGCATAGACGCAGCTCGACAGAGGACGCGGCCCCGGATGAGGGAGAGGAAGACCGAGAGAAATGTATCTTAAGGGCAGTGGATGGTGGTGGCGTTTTGTCGGCACGATGTCAACAGCCTGTACACCCAGGGACCTAGACCTAGCCCTATCAGGCTAAGAGCAACCTCGGTACATGGCGGATGTTTGTGGAAGGACAACGAAGCGAGCGAAGGTCAACCAGCATGCGGCTGGTGTGGGCATAGGCGCAGCTCGACAGAGGACGCGGGCCTTGATGGGGAGAGGAAGGAAAAGAGCGAGAGAGGAATACATCCAGCAGCACTTAAGTGGCGCTGGTATTTTGTCGGCACGATGTCGAAGTCCTGTACCTATAGCCACAAGCTAAGAGCAACCTCGGTTCACGGCGGATGTTTTGAGAAGGACGGCGAAGCGGGCGAAGGTCAGCCAGCAAGCGGCTGGTGTGGGCATAGACGCAGCTCGACGGAGGACGCGGCCCCGGATGAGGGAGAGGAAGACCGAGAGGGAGAGAAATGTATCTTAAGGGCAGTGGATGGTGGTGGTCTTTTGTTGGCACGATGTCGAAAGCCTGTGGAAGGACAACGAAGCGAGCGAAGGTCAACCAGCATGCGGCTGGTGTGGCCGCAGACGCAGCTCGACAGAGGACGCGGCGCCTGATGAGCGAGAGAAATACATGTCAAGCAGCACTTATTGGCGCAGTGCATCACAGCGGTGTTTTGTCCAGCAAACCTAGCCCTTGCCTGCACAAGCTAAGAGTCTGTGCATGCGTGCATGCTTGGCTGGGATCGTTGACTTGATCATTTTTAGGGTTGGGATTGCCTGTCGGGCGCGTCAGTCCCAATCCATCCTGGTGTGAGGAAGACGGCGGATCACCTGATGCTGAGGTGGAGAAGCTTGGGGATGGGGTCTGTGACGTCTTGGCCTTTCATATATGGGCTTGCGGATGTGAGTGCCATCTATGGCTGGAGACAGCGAGACCTTGCACTTTCCATGACAAGCTTATATATGCGAATTCCCGCTCAGGCCATAGAGGTTTAGGGTTGAGAACGGCGCAAGGGCCGAGCCATGCCTTTGTGGCAAGCAGTGCGACCCTTCCAGGCTTCCGGCTGCTGTGCCCGTCGACAAAATGCCCCTGAGGACGCCACAAGCCTTGCGGGACACTATGGCATGCTGGCCCCACAATGAATTCAGGGTAAACCTGGACGACTTCTTAGTTTACCGCTGGCGAAAGAACCCCTCGACCCAGCTTCTGCACAGCTGTAACGGAATGACTGCCTGACCTGCTGTACCTTTATCGCCCCCGTCCACTGATTACCTCAACTACTTGCACATACCGCGAAAGGAAAGCAGTGAAACACTTGTTGCCTGTAGGGAGCTTGCGGATGCTTTTGGAAGGACAACGAATCGGGCGAAGGTCAGCCAGCATGCGGCTGGTGTGGGCGCAGACGCAGCTCCACAGAGGACGCGGCCCTGATGGTGGAGTTAAATTAAGCAGATGCCGATCGGTCATTTTCAGCATGTCGTTTGGGAATGCCCCGAACTGAGAGCGCTTGCTAGGTGATCCGCTCTGTTAGGGTTGCTTCTGCCTGCCCCTCCTTTTCGGTTTAGTTCCCTGCCTGCATTTATGGATTGCTGATGAATCCCAAATCCAGAGTTGGAGACTGACCCATACTACGTGGAGAAGGTTGTGATCGTCAATTTAAGTGTGTGGTTAAGCAGTGGTACACTTTGTCGGCACAATGTCAAGGCCTGTGACAGTAGCCCGTGCAACATGAGACACGCCTCGTGCACTGACCCGCAGATCTTTGGGTGTGTTTAGGGTTGGGGTTGCCTATCGGGTGCTGTAGGTTTAGGGTTTAGGGTTTAGGGTTTATCGGGTTTATAGGGTTTATAGGGTTTAGGGTCCCAATCCATCCTCGTGAGAGGAAGAGAGCAAATCGCCCTTGGATGAGAAGGAGAAACGGGGTCTGTTGGGTTTGTTTGGCCTTTGGTGTGTGCGCCTTAGGATGCGGATGTGGCTGAAGAGGATAAGCGATTGCCGCTTTTGCTTGTTGATGAGCAAAGAAGTGGGCAGTGGGATACCGGCGGCGACTCTTGCACTGTATTTTGGTGTTCTCATTAGTTTACTGGTGTTCGAAGCACATGCGAAAACAAGGGTAGTTGTCCGATACTGGGATGCGGGTACAATGATTGTGCCGTAGACCTACACTATAGCGGAGCAAATGAAGAGCACCAGCCAGGTACGTGCCTATACTTAAATCTAGCCCCGCGCGGACCCAAAAATGCACTGGAATCTTTACCATGGACCCCAGCGTAGTTCCTCATACCTGAAGTTCTTGTATGATAATATTTTAACTCCCGTCCCATTCATGAAATTAAGTACCCCCAAAATGGAACCGCAATTTCGTGGGAAGGTCCAGGCAATTCCTGCGAACCCTCAGCATTCAGCCTTTGCAGGAATGCCCAGCTTGCGGCAACGTTTACATGGACGACTCGCTGTTCTGCCGAAGATGTGGTCGCAAGCGCGGCAAGAAGGAGTGGACTGATGTGGTCGTGGTTCTGGTGGTGTGTGGCTGTGTGACGTGTTGGTGGTTGTGCTTGTGGTTGTTGTACACCCTAGAAACCCTGTAGACCCTATAAACCCTATAAACCTCATCAACCCGATAAACCCCAAAAGCCCCATAATCCCTATAAACCCCGAAAACCCTTTCAACCCCATAAGCCCTATAAACCCTATAGACCCTATAAACCCTATAGACCCTATAATACCCTATAGACCCTATAACCCCTATAAACCCTTTTAACCCCATAAACGCTATAAACCCTATAAACCCACATCCATGTCAGCCAGCACAAGCAGCGCAAACTCTGCAGGACTGGTGCCCCCGTCGGAAGAATGCCTCTGAGGACAGCCGTTGGGACACGAGCCATCTGCCAAATTAGGGGTCGAAATAATCACGAAAGCTAGCTCCTTGGAGCTCGCGAGAGTTGTCGTTTACAAGAATTCTCTCTAGTGTTCAGCTGGGTCAAAAAGCGACTCCGACCCTTAAGTGGTCTGAAAATCAGAGAGATAAAGGGCTGTGGAGGGGGGGGGGGGGGGCCCCCCCCCCCCCCCTTAAAGGATTGACAAAATCAATCTTAAGGTGTCCCCCCCCCCCTCCCCCCCCCCCCCCCCCCTTTTGGCCCCCCCCCCTCCCTTTTCAGGCTTCCCCCTCCGTCTTGGTCAGGCCCTGCGCCTGACTCGAAAGAAGCTTGCTTGTCAGCCGCGTTTCTAGCTTTCGTGGCCCCGATCTCAAGTTTCGAATAGTCCCTATATATATATATATTGAAAAAAAACGCTCAACAACTCTATTCTAATTACTAAGGCCCCCCATATTAGGCATTTGCGTGGCAAGTGCAAACACTGCGTAGGCCTCGTCCCTGGCCTGCAAAAAACCGTCGGTTTCTCACTACGCAGAGGGGCAGTGATGGGTGTTTCTGGAAGGACACCGAAGCTGGGGAAGGTCAGTCAGCATGCGGCTGGTGTGGGCACAGACGTAGCTCGACGGAGGACGCAGCCCCCAATGGGGGAGAGGAGGGGGAGAGCGAGATACACATCAACGCAATGGTATTTTGTCAGCCCTATGTCATGAGCCGGTCGCCTTCTCCTGGAAAAAGCTGTAGAACTGTATATCCTTAGAGCTACCGTGCGTCATGATGGGTGAAGGGCTTTGGGCATGTTCAGGGTTCGGATTGCATGTCGAGAGAGCAACACTCAGTCACAGTGGACATAACTCAGCATGATGTATAAAAGGAGCTCTACGGTCCGAACTTTCTTGCATGCATACCTTAGGACCCCCAAACCTGTTTCATCCTGCAGGGGCCTTTCTGGTCACAATGTACGTTTTGTTTCCTGGGCTAGTCCAACATCCTGAGAAGTCCTTTTTGAATCTCCACTCGGGCGCATGGCTCGCCCTCGCTTCTGCTTATCGCGGACGCTTGCAATGTTGAAGCCTAAACTACTAAGTGCTTAAACTACTAAGTGCTTAAGGACCCCCCCCCCCAAAAAAAAAATGAACATATTCTTCCTTATTAAGGGTAGTATAGGGATGATATTTTGTCTATATTCTCTTGGAATTCTTAAGCAAAAAGTAGTAAAAGCTTCGGAGGCTTTGGATGTTTCTGGACGCAGGACGAGGCGGCCGAAAGTCAGCCTGCAGGCGGCTGGTGCGGTCGCAGGCGCGGTTCGACCGAGGACACTTCCGTGCAGTTGTCATTTCTCAGCGCAGCATAGTGTGTTAACAGCTTTGCGGTTGACAAAATCTTTCATAACCTTTTGTCGTCCCGTCCTTATCCCGAAGGGCCTTTGGGCGCAACCTAATCTTAATCATTTAGAGTGGGAATGCCTAGCCTCAAGCGTTTGTGACGGAGGACGAGACGGCAGAAGGTCAAGCAGCAGGCGGCTGGTGCGGGCGCAGACGCGGTTCGACCGAGGACGCTGACCCTGACCCGAGAGACAGCGCAGGAGAGTGAGAACACTTTATTGTTTACAAAAGCTTCTATAACATTGTGTCGTCCCATTTTTATCCCGCGAAGTCTTCGAGCGCAACCCTTGCCAACTTGCAGCCTACAAGCTTGGGGAGCGTTGATGGATGTTTATGGACGCAGGACGAGGTGGCCGAAGGTCAGCCTGCGGGCTGGTGCGGACGCAGACGCGGTTCGACCGAGGACGCTGCCCTTGACACGGGAGAGGAAGAGAGAGAGCGACAAGGAGAGTGAGAACACTTTCGTGCAGTTGCCATTTCTCTGTCAGCGCAGCGCATCACAAGCTTTGTGGAGTAGAAGCTTCGTATAACCTCAGGCATGGCAGATGTAAAGTAATCATATTGTTTGCAACTATCTGGGCTTCTGTACTACGGGCTCAAAGATTCGAACCATCCCCGAGCCTCCGTGGAAGGACCCGAGTGCAGACGGTGCAGATGGCGACTCGAGTTGCTGCGGGCATCGCCGGCAAAGTTCCGAGGAGGTGGGCCCTAAGGCCTACAAGCCCTATAAGCCCTAAATGGGAGTTTACGAAAGTAAGGGACCCCGAACAATATAGACCCCAAATAGTGGGATTCCCTTGTTCATAAGGACCCCAATAAGGTACCCCGAATTTCGGAAACCCCCACAATTCTAAAGACTTGGGGCCTTGAAGGTGGGATGTCTAAAGGGCTAATCAAGATCCAGAGTCGATGTATGGGCTTTTTAGGGTTCAGGGTTTAGGGTTTCGGATTTAGGGTTTAGGGTTTAGGAGCTCAGCACTCCTTGTTGCTGCAGGAAGAGCGCGCGGCGGCCGAGGCAGAGGGGGAGAACATGGGCCAGGCGGGGATCCGATGGAAAACCTCAAGCCTGCAACCGCCTTGACCCTTGAATATGCACGAAAAAGCCATATACGGGCCCTTACGAATCTTAAACCGACAACAAACTCCTACGTGAAACTCCGTTTTGCGCGGGGGACCGAGGTACTACATGAGGGGGGGGGGGGGGGGGCGAAACGGGCCGGCCCAGCAGCACCTTTGCCCACCAAGCAGTGTGACCCAGGCCTTTGGTTGTGGATGGTGCAGCCGACGCCGCGATGATGCCGAGGTTTCGCAGGGAGGGAAAGTTTTGGGTCCCGAACCCGCTTGATGGAGCTGCACGCGCCATCTCTGCGCTGGCACGTGCTGGTTTGAGGCCGAATTGGGCACCACCTGAAACCCTCCCACCGGCATGTGGAATCGCGTGCGCTCTGAAGGAGGACGCCTTGATGGAGCCAGCTGCCGATGTTCCAGAGGCAAGTGCAACTCCTGTCGTGGCATGCCGGCATAGTCCTGTGAAATGTACTATGTAAGTTAAGACCAAACAACAAATACCCAAATCGTGCAAATCCTAATCTGTCATAGGGTCCGTCCCTCAAGCCCTCCAAGATTTTCACCTGGGAATTGCTCACATCTCTCGCCACCCTAACATGCGAGAACCTGCAGTGTAGCCGCAATCTGCTTTTGCTTAATTTGTTGCACGCCATGTCAGCTGAGGAAAAGTGGCGAGAGAACAAACAGCGACTAGAATTTAGCTTGACGCAAAAAGCTTTTGCGCTGTTTTCTGAGAGCAGCCATCTTGAGAATTGAAATAGACCAGCTACGGTAAACTCCGTCAAGTTGGAACATGGCTTTAGGACGATTAGTGCTGGGATTCCGTTTAGTACCCCTCTTGGGGTATAGGATAATGATGTCCCAACTTTTGGGAGTTACTGTCTGAAGGCTTCCGCCGCTGCATCGGCTGACGGTCAGGCGAGGTTGGCATGTACTACAGTCGTGCCTGGCATCTGCCGGGCTGGGATGTGGCACCGGCCCATGCGGGGGGCATGCTTCAGGAAATTTGCTGGCAGCCGAAGCCCAAATCTTCCCCCCCCCCCCCCCCTCCCCCCAGAAGCAGCGTTTCGCCAAAAGACCCTAAGCCCTAAATTGTGGGGAGGTCGACTGTTTTGTCTACTATACCTGCTACCTTGACCCCGAGAGAGTGGCATCTTGGGTGTGTGGCGGGAGTTTGGTGCTCCTAGCCAGCCACGCGCAGCCGCGGAGGAAACCGCTTGCGCGTCATTCTTACTTAGAGGTTCATGGTGCTTATTAACCAATCATAACCGTACTTCTAAATGTACTTATAACCATATCAAGGCACTTAAGGTGCTTACAAGTGGGTTATAAGTACAGTTACATTGGGCACTTATTTGCCCTGAACCCTAAACCTACTGAACCTCCAAGTAGGGGGGCGTTCTTGGATGCGCGATACAAATCTGCAATCCCGAAAAAGAGGGTGCCCCTTTGTATGGGCTCCATTTTACCAGGGTTTAGGGTTTAGAGTTTAGGGAGGGGGTTCGTCTTGTACCTTCTGGTCCGCCCTAAACGAAGTGGCCCCTCATGGAAGACGAAAAGAGATCTTTATCATCCCCAAAAAGGGCCACTTTATCGGTTTTTACCCTCAACCCTCAATTTTTATGTTTTGGGGGTGAGGAGACCGAATAGGCCATCCCACACAAATCCTCGGGAGGCTGAGACACTCCTGGAGCCAATGGCAGTCGGTGACGAGGCGCATGTTTAGGGTTTGGGCTTTAGGAGTTTAGGAGTTTAGGGTTTGGGGTTTAAGGTGACTTCTGAGAAGTTGCATGTGTGCCGGCAGCCTAAAAATCCGTTGCTCAGAAAGGGTTTAAGTTTGAGGGTTCGCCGGCAGGCCAGTTGCAAGAAGGGATGTCGGATCGGTTTGGTGCAGGGTTAAGGGTTTTCAAGAAGGGCAAAACCGGAGTTTAGGGGGTTTAGTGCAGGGAGGAAAAAGTGGTGCTGTGAGTTTGTATGCCTTATGGAAGAGCGTGCATTGTTTCTTCGGCCCCCTTCCAGAAGCAGAAGCTTAACCTCTTGCGCACGCCAAATAGTGGCTAAAGGTCTCCCCAAAAGACCGTTCAGGGTGCGATGTGTATTGGTTTGAGCTCCAGAGCACTACTTTTTTGAATTCTCTAGGGCTTCATACTTCCGCGCACACTCTGAGGTTGGTACCAGTATAGAGCCTTTACAGGGGGCTGAGGAGCCCAACCCTCCTTGTTGCACTAGCGGCAGGAAGAGCGCGCTGCGGCTGCGGCAGATGGGGAGAACATGGGCCAGGCGGGAATCAAGTCGACAGAAAAAGCTCGAAGCCATGAAGAACCAGCTACTCATATGAATTCTAAACTGCTAAACTGACCCGAAAATCGCATGAAATTCTTCTATAGCCGCGGGGAGCGACGCAGGCCTTTGCTTGTGGATGGTGCAACCGGCGCCGCGATGCGTCTCAGGACACCAGACAAGCCTCCCTGGGACACTAGACTACCCAAAGGTCCCTATGTAGTACCGTTTTGGGTTAGTTCTTGGGGGTGCTAGTATAGTACCCCACACAGGTACTACATAGGAGCCTTTGGGTAGCTAATTTCATGCAATCAGGCGAGGAGTGCACGGTGCAAAAAACTCGGAAGGAGGGCGACGAGGCGGCCGAAGGACAGCCAGCATGCGGCTGGTGCGGGCGCAGACGCGGTGTGACCGAGGACACAGCCCGCAATGGGGGGAAAATCATGGTCCTCAAATTCTCTTGTATGGCAGCCTTACATTGTCCCTGTCTTTGCGAAGTCTTCGAGTGCAGCTTGAGATTTACAGTACTCAGAATATTGCTTTGACACGTGGCCCGTTCTCAGTGGCATGATCGGTGCGGTTTGCTATCATCCTCGACAGAACCCCTGCCGTATATTATGCATAAAGAAATAAATACCCCAAAATCTCCCTGGAGTGCCCAACCCCAGAGTCTAGACTCTGGAGTGCCCAACCGCACGGAGTGCCCAGGTTGGCGGCTCCTGGGGTGCCCAACCCCAGAGTCTCCCAGCCACAGAGTTTCCCTGGAGCGCCCAACCCCAGAATCTCCTGAAGTGCCTGGAGTGCAAAAAAAACCCAGAGACTCCTGGAGTGCCCAACCCCTGGCCTTGCCCACACTCCCTGCAGCGGAGTGCCCAAGACTCCCTGGAGTGCCAGAGACTCCTGGAGTGCCCAACCCCCCAGTCTCCCTGGAGTGCCCAACCAATCCCAACCCCAGAGTCTCCCTTAAGTGCGAGTGTTCCTGGACAAAGTGATCCCTGGAGTGCAGGAACTTCCTGGAGTGCCCAACCCCAGAATCTCCCTGTCCTGGAGAGTGCACAACCCAGAAACTCCCTGATTCCCAACTCCCTGGAGTGCCCAACCCCAGACTCCCTGGAGTGCCCAATCCAAATCCCTACAGTAAAGTAAAATAATGCTTCTTGGGTATTTACACACATGCGAGCTTATGGTGTTTTGCGGGTGGAGGACGAGGCGGCCGAAGGTCAGCCAGCAGGTGGCTGGTGCGGGCGCAGACGTGGTTCGACTGAGGACGCCCCCCCTAACGCGAGAGGGGAGATAAGGATAATGAGAACACCTGCGTGCAGTGGTCGTTTCGCAGCATAGTGGCGGAAGAAGCCTCATGGTCCTCAAAAGCGTGTATATCCTTTAGGTCAGCCGGTCCCTAGGCTTATGAAGTCTTCGGAAGCATCCTGTTCCTCATTGTAGAGGTAGCTCTTGCTAACTTGTCCAGCCTAGAAGCTTGGAGGTCGTGACTAGTTTATAGATGGAGGACGAGGCGGCCGAAGGTCAACCAGAAGGTGGCTGGTGCGGGCGCAGACGCGGTTCGAACGAGGACGCTGCCCCTGGAGCGTGGTATACTAAGACCTTTCAAATAATTCTGCGCTGGCCATGTTTCTATGCAGAGTTCTGTGGTCCTCAAACAATCTCAAAAACTGCGAAGTTTGCGGGCCCCTTTTCAGCAAACATGTTGCTCCGAGGCATGGCCCGCCTCGCACGAATGACTGCTTAAGCCGCAAGTTGCAGGCTGTAAAGCTTGCATGGTGTGCAATGCGTGCATTTATGCAAGCCTTACAGAGGACGATGCAGCTGAAGGTCAGCCAGAAGGCGGCTGCTGTGGCCGTAGACGCGGTTCGACCGAGGACGCTGCTTTCGACGGGGGAGTGAGAAGCAGACACACACACACACACAGAGCTTTCTTTTCAGCGCCATGTTCGAGGGACAGGAAGCACTTTGCTCTGTCGCATGGCCCTTTTGGCTTGTATGACTGCTTAATTAAGCCTGAAGCTTGCCTTCATCGTAGAGAATGGATGGAGGACGAGGCGGCTGCCGGTCAGCCAGAAGGTGGCTGGTGCGGTCGCAGACGCGGTTCGACCGAGGACACAGCCCCCGACGAGGGAGAGGGAGAGAGCGAGAAGGAAAAGCACGTGGTCATTTCTCTGATTCGAGGATTTAGTTAAGGAGCCTTCTTCATGGCCCTTTCAACAGCCTGTGAGCGTCACATCGCCCCTGTCCTGCGAGGCCTTCGGCCAGCACAATTATAAGTGTACGCTGTCTTGTTGCACCGACAATGGCCTGTCTCCAGCCCGGAATGATGGAACTGCCAACTTGCAGCCCCGAAAGCCTGCGTGCAGTGCATTTCTACACCTCCGCGAAGGACGGGGCAGCCGAAGGTCAGCCAGAAGGCGGCTGGTGTGGGCGCAGACGCGGTTCGACCGAGGACGCTGCAACCGACGAGTGAGAGAGAGACAGTGAGAGTGAGAGTGAGAGCGAGATGGAGACTGACAACATCTGACGACAGTCACACGCGCAGTGGTCACTTAGACTTGTCAGCACGATGAAAATGGAGCTTTATGAGCCTGTCAGCGGTGCATCGTCCCTGTCCTGCGAAGCCTTTGGCGAGGGCAATTAAGTATAAGCTGTCGCGCTCTGCACTGACAATGGCCCACCTCTCACCCGGAATGATTGAATTGCTCGAGCTCATTACATCCTACTATCAATCTGCGCGGAGGACGGGGCGGCCGAAGGTCAGCCGGAAGGTGGCTGGTGTGGGCGCAGACGCGGTTCGACCGAGGACGCTGCCGCCGACGAGAGAAAGAAATGGAGAGAGAGAGAGAGAGAGAGAAGGAGGAGGAGGAGCCTTATAAATGGACATCAAACGAGGCGCAGTGCCGTAAGCTGGCTCGTTTGACACTGACAATGGAATGATTGAACTACTCAAGCTTCTTACCCTCATCGAAACTTGTGCGGAGGATGGGGCGGCCGAAGGTCAGCCAGAAGGCGGCTGGTGTGGGCACAGACACGATTCGACCGAGGACCCTGCCCCTGACAAAGGGAGAGAGAGAGAGAGGTAGGGGTTGGCTTTCAGGGAGCACTAAGGACCCACTAAGGCGACGCACTGCGCGGCAGCCAACAGGGCGGCCACAGACAACACTGAAGTTTCACGTAACGCGGAAGCGGGGCGCGCCTCGGCGCAGGGTTCGTCCCTATGCCCCTAAGCAAAGCAAAGCAAAAAGAGCGAGCTAGAAGGAGTACGTAGTGAGAACAGCCTCAGGCGCAGTGGTCTTGTCATCACAATGAAAGTGGAGCCTTTGACACGGGCTCTCAAAAAGGCTGTCAGCAGTGCATCGTCCCTGTCCTGTCAAACCTTGGGCGAGCGCAGTTCGGTAAGCAGTCTCGTGTTATCATCTAATGACAATGGCCCACTCCTCACCCGGAATGATTGAAGTGCTCAAGCTCAGTACATCTTATTACCCGCATAGCACCTTTCCACACTGGCGAACGAAGCGACGAACTCATAGCTGGCAAGAACCCTTGTCAACTTGCAGCCCCTATAAAGCTTGCGTGCTATGAGCGTTCACACACATCCGTGCGGAGGATGCAGCCGAAGGTCAGCCAGCAGGCGGCTGGTGCGGGCACCGACGCGGTTCGACCGAGGACGCTGCCCCTGACGCGGGAGAGCATGAGAGACAGCGAGAGCAATCACGTGCCGTGGTCATGTCTCAGCATGATGTTCATCATAGCGTCCTTTTCCTGCGAAGGCCTGCCTCCCACCCACATGCAGACATTCGATCGATCGCTGCAGACTGATGGAGGACGAGGCCGCCGAAGGTCAGCCAGAAGGCGGCTGGTGCGGGCGCAGACGCGGTTCGACCGAGGACGCGGCCCCTAACGCAGAAAGAGATGTATCGGGAAGGAGAGTGAGCAGATGAGAGAACACTCACGTTTGGTTGCCGTGTTTCAGCACCAGGTATACAAGGACCCTTGTGGACTCTTGATTGGTGCCCCGCCCCAGCCCAAACAGCGGAGAAATCGGGACTCTGCGCCCTGAACCTAGCCGTCCTCCCGAACCTTATTAAATGAGCCGTAATTAGCAGCAAGGAACGCAGTTATTTCGCCATTCATGGAACTCTTTGGCCACCCACAAAAGCAAAGGTGTTGGGATTCTTAAGGAAGCCACATACCCCAGCTCTGAATTGGCATAAGAAGGGGCCTGGAATCCAACCGCCCAAGCTCTTTCGGGGCTGAGGATTGGACTGGGAAGGGTTTAGTTTGGGGTTTGGGGTTTAGGGTTTCCGGATGTTTCAGGTGTACCTGCAAAGCCTGCTGCAAAAAGGGTTCAGGGTTTAGGGTCTGGGGTACTGTGGTAAAAGTCAGGGCGGAAAAAGAATTAAGCCTTCGGGGGCCTTCCTGGTAGGATGGGAACCTCGTTTCCAAAATCCAAAGTACCCAAAGCCCCGCGCTGTGCTGCACTGCTCCCCAGTGCAAACTTGATCACCAGCTTGTTTGTGGAGTTGTGAATCTCAACAGCCTGAGAAGGAGCTTTTGGCTCCCTGCAGTAAACCCTGAAAAGTTGGAAACCGTTTTGGGGACAAATAGTGCTGGGATTCCCTAGACTTTACTCTTAGGGATTGAGAACTGATTGAGGCTATTGAGTTTCCAACTTTTTGGCTTCTACTATAGATCCTTGTGAAAACAGCATCCTCTGTCAGCTTACTCTCCTCTGTCCGAGCTGGGGGTGGGCGATGACTCTGTTTCCACACCTATGGGTGGGGACTCGTTCTGAAGTTTAGGGTTTAGGGTTTAGGGTTTAGGGTTTAGGGTTTAGGGTTTAGGGTTTAGGGTTAGGGAAGTTGAGTCTCTTGCCGAATCGCGTGCCCATCCTCCGACTTCGGGTGCCACATGGACCCTCTTGCCGTCTGACATGCTGGCTTCGTAGCCAGGTACGCAGGTAGCCTTCAAGCATTTGGGGTATGTATATATATATATATTTATTTATTTATATTTATATTTTTATATTTATATTCCTACCATAGTTGAAAGGTTACCCTTTTTTGGCCCAGGGTACTCAGCAACTGGAATTGATTGACTGTTGAAGGAGGGTGTCACGGCCGACGGTGAGCCAGCCGGCGGCTGGTGCGGGAGCAGACGTGGTTCGGCTGAGGACGCAGCCATAAACAGCCCCCAATGAGGGCGGACGAGAGAAGGAGAGTTAGATCGTTTCTCCACAGGATGTATATGGAGCCCTATCGTCCTCGGAAGCCCTTAACATCGCCCTGTGTGAAGTAACTCAGAGCTCGCCTGCCGCCCCGCCCGGAATGATCGAAGCTTGAGCTTACCCTCCTCATATGCTTTCCTGTATGAACCGAGCTCTAGGGAATCTTTGGCGAATCTTGCAGCCTAAACAAGCTTTGACAGATTCTATACAAATGTTTGCGGAGGACGGGGCGGAAGGTCAGCCAGCAGGCGGCTGGTGCGGGCACAGACGTGGTTCGACCGAGGACGCAGCTGTGAGGAGGGAGGCAGAGAGAAGACGAAGAACATGCCCAAGCGTGTGGCACAGTGGTCCTTCCTCAGCAGGATGTACGCAACCATCAATAAAGCAATGAGGAGCCCTGCGTGGTCCTCCTATGGTGAACAAGCAGTTTTGAAGGGCATGCTTAGAACCTGGGTTGTCAGTCAGGTTGCCGAAGTCACATTTTTTCCCGTTGAGAGGAAGAGGGTGGATCGCCGGACGCAGAGACGTCACAGGCTGGGTTTAGGTTTTAGGGTAAATCCGTGGGTAAATCCGTGCCTAAGTTTTTTGTTTTTATTTTTCTTTTCGGGGGGGGTCATTGGAGGGATGGTATTCCCTGCCCCTAAGCCCTAAAGGGTTGGGTGTGTTGCACCATGCCATGGTGGTCAGTTGTGTCTCTCGCACATTTAAAGGCACAGTCCAACCCGTGCGTGCTCTGCAGTGCGTCCTGAGTGTCAGTTTGGCAGGTGGGAAAACGCGTGTCTTAAGTCCCATGCTCCGCGAATCTCACATACCCAGCTCCCTGACGCTCCAAGTCAGCATCGGCCCCAAGAAAAACACACAAATGCTGACTCATCAAGCACCCTGTTTCGGCTGTAGGGTGTTTGGGTGGACCGGCAAAAAGCAATGGCTCTTTTCTCCGCATACACCCTGCAGGCATGCGCCTGGTGCGCGCGCCGGCATGACGACTCCGAGGTGCGGCGATGTTGAGATTTAAGAGATACGGGGAGGTTGGTGGGTATTTCACAACATCCAAGTACACTTATATGAGGGAACAGCTGCAGTTGTAGTACCCCGCACCTCCAAGTAGAGGTCATGGCTTAAGTTTAAGAGAGCCATCTGATTGTGCCGGCCCGTCCACAGCTCACAAGGGCTTACGCAAGTAGCTCACGGCTTTTTTAACGCAAAGTTAGGACATGTATACCCCAATCAGAATCAGGGCCTCTATGACTACACAGAGTGGGCCCCACTTGTAGGTTCAATTTGGGGCGGAAGTGGTGGGGGGTAGGGTAGGCCGTTCGATCTGTTGTTGCCTTCAGAGCGTAGTCCAAGGTTAAGGGTTTAGTTGGGTTCCAGAGAGCCAGAGACCCAGTCTCTGCACCCTGACCAGGGCCAACTGGCGGACTCCGATGATGCGGATGGCAACGTGCGATGCTCGGATGGTGGTTGGTGGTTCGAGGGCTGAAGGAAGCTGAGTGGGCCTGAAGAACTGGTTGCAGGACCGACGTCTCTCCATCTCAGGTCTCTGATTCGCATTGACGTAGGTTGTGCTCTCTGATTGGAAGTGTGTTAGTGGCTTGACGAATGCCCTAATCACGCCGCCTTGGACATGTGAGAATCCGATTTGGAGACCCTGTGAAACCTGAACCTCGGCTGTTGCAGGTCTGTGGGTGGTGCTGTGGCCGGCGACGCGAGACCGCTGAGGACGAGACCGCTGAAGACCAGGCGGCATGGTAGGGTTGAGGGGTCCTCCTAAACCCTAAACCCTAAACCCCTGGTGCTGACTCGAGCCCCACCGAGCTCTCGAGGCACCGGATGCCCTGATGGAGCCTGCGGCTGCTGTCCCAGAGGCAGCTGCGGCTCTAATACATGCGACCGTCGCAAGTATCCATGGCCTTCCCCTGCCCCCTCCCCCCCCCTCCCGCCCCCCTCCCGCCCCCCTCCCCCCCCTCCCGTCTCCCCCCCCGTCCCCCCGCTTCAATCAACTTCCATCTGAGCACTGTCAAAGCTTTCCAGGCTGAAGTCCCACCCGTGCAGTCTTCCGCGGTGGCTTCTGCTGATGGCCAGGCGAGACTGCAAGGTAGATTTTCCGCGTGGGGCGGAGCTGCGCCCATTCTGTTGTTGCCCCTAAACCCTAAACCTTATGAACCCTAAACCCTAAACCGTGGCTGCTGGTGGAGAATCATGACATACCCTGAGTTTTTTCTGACAACTTCTGGAGCAGTGCTCTCAGCATCTCTCTTCCTCAACTCGGGCATGCTCGGACGCTTTCACCGGTTTTGTTGGGGAATCCAAAGCCCTCAACCCGCCTGGCCCAGCTAATCTTGGGGAAGGGTTTAGGGTTCAGGGTTTAGGGGTTATAGGGTCTATAATAGGGTCTAGGGTTCAGGGTTCAGGGTTTAGGGTTTAGGGTTAGGGTTGAGGCCTGGCCTGGACCCCACATTGTATAGTCGCCCTCACCTCGTTGAACCCTAAGCCGTCGAGCCCCGGCAGACCTGCCCGGCTTGCGGCAACGTCTACGCCGACGACTCGGTGTTCTGCCGGAAGTGCGGCCACAAGCGTGACGAGGTGCGGTGGTGGTGGTGGTGGTGGTGGTGGTGGTGGTGGTGGTGGTGGTGGTGGTGGTGGTGGTGGTGGTGGCGGTGGCGGTGGTGGTGGTGGTGGTGGTGGGACATCGTAAGATACACTTGTAAACCCTGATTTCTTTACTGCAAACCCATGGCCCGAAGCTGGCAAGCCCGGTCAGAGCTGCCGGAATTGGCGCATCGTCGTCATGAACGAGAGGGCACAAGCGCGGCGAGGTGTGCCAAAATGTCTTGACATTGCACCCGCAGACACGTCCTGCGTTGCACAGGGAGAATCGACAAAACCAGGTCACCGAACTGAATGAATTTTAGCCGCCAACCCTTTTTCTCCTACACGTTCAAGTGTGTTTCTGGTTTGTTTAGTTCTTCACAGGTACAGTGATAGATGAATTAGTCTCATCAAAGTGTTGAAACTTTGGTCCTGGTAGTCTGTAGCACCTTGTTCAACCGTCTAGCACCTTGTTGAACCATCTGCATGAAGTTTCGCAGGGCAGGGTGAGAAGACATCTAGCACATTGTACCGAGAGGCAGCACAGCAGCGTTGCCCCCTGGGCAAGCTGCGCATCCCAGTCAAGTCCCGAACTCGCAGCTAAAGAAATCCGCTTTTACCACCCAAAGCGAGTCGCAAGAATCATACACAAATTGACACCACAAAGCCCTAAAAGCCCGGATTGCAAGTGCGGGGTGAGGCTGCGAGGCAGGTGGCCAAAGAAGACAGAAGCCCTTGCTGTCAAATTCATCGGACTTCCGCGTTTCATGCCCACCTACTCGTACACCTTGAGCCTTTGGTGCCCCCAAAGTCTTTTCTTCGTACGTCTTGAGACCACCTAAGCAAAGTCCAAAGTCAAAAGGTTGAGGCCACTGCACCCCTTTGCTGCTCCTGATGCCAACCTGAAGCCCTAGCCATGTCAGAGTAATGGCGTTGACAATTGGTCGCTGAGAATTGGTTTTGGGTTTCTATAGGGCTGAGGGTAAGCCCTGAAGAAGATTAGTTGCTTCCCAAAATCCTTTGCAGGTGCCCGCTGCGGCTTCTGCTGACGACCAGGCGAGACTGCAACAGGTAGAGAAGATCGTGGGGACGGGGGTCCTGCTTAGCGTCTCAAGGGCTGGTCCACGGTTCTTCTGGCTCTTGTGATTTGGCAGCTTGTGTTCTTGAGGGCTCTAGAAAATCTATGTTTTTGAGGGTTCTACTCAAAGCCAACCTGCGCTGCGGCCTTCGGCTTGCTCAGGCTGAAGCCCCCATGGCGCCAATGGTGGAGAACGAGGCCCACGAAGCCCAGCATCACGACATGCTCGCAAAACTACAAACCCCCCTAATGTAGACCCCGAATAGTAGGATTCCCTGAAAATAAGGACCGCGATAAGGCACCCCCTCAATTTCGGAAACCCCCATATCTGCCGATGAGTGGCTGCCTGAACCCTACACCGATACATCCTTGCCTGCCTTGTTGGAGTGTGAGAGCCGAAACCCCTGAACGCTACACCCCGAAACCCCTAGACCCTAAGTAACCCCTAATTAAACCCCTAACCTGCGCCGCATGTTCTAAGCCAAAGAACTCCCCATGACACCCACGGGAGTCTAAGCCCCCCTACCGTGAAAGGGCTTTAGGAGTTTAGGGCTTTAGAGTTTAGGGTTTAGGGTTTAGGGCTTGACTTGCGGCAGAGTCTGCGAAGCTCGCTCTCGAATGGCATGGTTTTCGTCCCTGGCAGGCAGTGCAGCAGTCCTAGCCGCAAAAAAAGGGCTTGACTTGCTGCATTTCATCCATAACTAGCGCCTTCTGCATGATGCCCAAAGTCCGTCTTCTTAGATGAAAGCATCTAAGCAAAGTCCGGAGGCTGGGGCCACAGCACCCCTTCTCCCTCTCCTGTGACCCAACCTGAAGCAGCACAAAGTTGCCTGAAGCCCTGAAGAATAGTTGCCTCACAAAATCCTTTGCAGGCGCCTGCTGCGGCTTCTGCTGACGAGGAGGCGAGACTGCAAGAGGTAGAGAAGATCGTGGGATGGGGGTCCTGCTTAACGTCCGAAAGGCGGGTTCTGCAGAAAACATGATTGACATTACAGTCAGCCAGGCATTGACAGAGGTGCCACGGCTTTTTTGGGGTGTATCTTGGGGCAGGCGGTACCCACCGAAAGCGGGGATGCAACCTCCACCCCCAAGAGGGACCACTGCCCTCAAACGAGGCACCTTCCCACCCCGAGCAGAACCTTTCATTACAGTCTAGCTCGTTGCCGAACCATCTGCGTGAAGTTGTGCACGACAGGATCCGAAGGCATGTAGCGCATTGTGCGATCAGAGGCAGCATAGCGGCGTAGCGTGCCTTGGTAACCTGCGCATCCCCGTCGAGTCCCGAACTTGAAGCTAAAAAATCCTATACCACCCAACGCGAGTCGCAAGGAATCATACACAAGTTGACACCTGAAAGCCTTGGTTGCAAGTGCGGTGCGGGGCTGCTAGGCAGGTGGCAAGAGAAGCCCTTGTCAAAGGCATTGGACTTCCGCATTTCATGCGCCTACTGCTAGAGCCTTGATTCCCACAGTCCTGTCTTGGTACGTTCTGATCCTGACCCGACCCAAACCTGAATCCCCGCAAAGTTGCCCCAAACCCTGAAGAAGACTAGCTGCCTCCCAAAGTGTTTTGCAGGCGTCCGCTGTGGCCTCTGCTGACGACGAGGCGAGACTGCAACAGGTAGAGCAGATCGCGGGATGGGATTGCCCAGGGTTTATAGGGTTTATAGGATTTATAGGGTTTATAGGGTTTATAGGGTTTATAGGGTTTATAGGGTTTTTGGGTTTAGGAACAGCAGCCAGCCATCGGCTGAGGTGCCATCAAAACGGCGATTGTCGGTGTCGTGTGTATGAAGTTTGCTAGGACGGTTGCTCACCACGAGCTCAGGCTTGCGAAGAGCTGGACGTGGGTTCTAGCATGGTCTTTACCAGAAGAACCTGTAAACGTATAAGAAACCTACATGGGGTTTTCTAAGTGTAACCTACAACAAGTAGGTTGTGGGCAGCTTCATACAGAGCTGAGGATGTTGTTTTGGTTGAAGCATCTCATGCGATGCGTTGCGGCCAAGGATAACCGACAAAGACGAGTCACTGCTGAATCAAACTCAACTGCCGAAGCTTATCCAATAGCATCTGCTCCTGCACAGTAGACAGTCCCCACCCCCGAACGTTCAGGGCCATTAAGATTCCCGCGCGAACCGTTTCTGCCAAGTTCACAAGCAAGCACATCCCACCAAATCCAAGCCAAACATCTGCATCCGACACATCAGAGGCCAAAGCCACCCAAGCAGATCCCAAAGTCAAACGAGGCCACGAAAAACCCTTCCGGCCTGTTAGGCCATATAACCCATATAAACAGCCCTATACAGGCCCTTTTTTAAGGGTTATAGGGTAAAATGACCCTTAAACCCTAAACCCTAAACCCTAAACCCTATGGCTACAAGGACTCTGGAAGCGAAAGCCGGAAGCTCTCTATTCGTCGTCTCGAGAAGTTCCAGAGCTGTCATTTTATGTCGTCCCAGGCTCAAGCAGCTGGGTTTCCTGCTGCGAAAAGACGAAGGCCTGCGAATTTGAGGAATCGGAATCGCGAGAAACCCTCTCCTACACAAGAACCTGAATGTGAAGATGCCAGTGCTGCCAAGCCGACTATCTCTCACTACGTTAGCCTTAGCGAGTCTGACGATGAGACTCCGGAGGTGGAAATGGCCACTGTCGCCGAACCTTCTGCTAGCTCAACACAGAAGCCCTCCGTGGTGAGAAGTTGGACGCCGCTGTCTGCTCCAGCCTCGTTTCTTCCTTCTTCTGAAGCAGGCGAGTCCGAGCGCTCGTGCCAGCTGAAGTTCGGCGGCTTGATATCTCACGTAAGATATGAGGCGGACGTTACATGGAAGGATTACGAGGAATTTAAGAAGACGAACGCCGTCTGTACCCGCGGCAGAACCATTTCAGCACTGACGGAGAAAGAATTGGACGACGTAGTGGGGTTCACACTCCGTGGCGCTAGAACTCGGTCCAAAGGGCATTGCTTGGTCAGAGGACTTTCGTCTATGTTAACGGTGGTGTGGGACTTGCCGACAGGCTATTCAGAGGTGGTGCGAGGCTCTGCAATGCGAACGCTCGAGTGTGCGCTTATTCAAGAGGGTAGAGGAGTTCTGTTCTCGGAGCACTTCTTTGTTTACAGCATCACAGTCTCCAAACCAAGAGACCCGAACGTCTCAGCAGCAGGTGGGACAGCAGGTGCAGTTGACAGGTTTCGAATTCTGTTAATGAAGCTGACTCCTTCTGCCTACGCCCACCTTCGAAAGACCGAAAGTGTCAGAGACCCGTACACAGGGAGAGACGAGCAACTCTATCCCGGAGAGAGCAGACCCTCGACAGGCTTGCTCCGCGGATATCTAGACATCGTAGCAGGTCACTTTTGGAATCTCTACGGAAAGGTGCGCGACGTGGTTGCTCGCCTCGATCCTGATGTCTCTTTGCCGGAGGATCGAGACTCGTGTGTCCAAAGCACTGCATTAAGCCTATCACGAGCAGATCCGAAAGACTCCGATACCTTAAATCACACAAACAGGGCCTTGCTGAAAGAGGTAGAAGAGCGATTTGGAAATGGGTTTCGTGTTGCGATAGCCAGCAGACGTGCTCGGTATCTGGAGGCTGTGTACTTCAGCGAGGTTGGAGTATGGAACACCTGTAATAAGCTTTTGCAGGGCCACGCACTTAGGGGCACGAGGTTCAAGGCAGGAGGATACAGGCACTCTGCTGCTGTGGCAAGCGGGAGCGATGACGATGCAGAATGCTGGAACCGAGGGGGGTACGAAAAGATAGTCCAGAAGTAGACCAGCTCGGAGATCGTGGCGAAACGGAGATCGTGGCGAAACGGATTTCGTGGTCTGAATTCATTTTACACAGGTCAGCCCTCCTTTTGAACCGGTTCTAAGCCATTGCCATTCACCTTTTTTTGTTAGTTTATGCACATCCTCCTCACCCCCTAGTCCCCCGGCCCTCCGTCACCCTGGTATGATTGCCGTCTAGTATAACCCTTGCCATGGACGCTCCACGCCCGAAGCCCAGCCTGCTGGCTTGTACACGTGCCGAGCATGCCACTCGGGTGCGAGGGGGGATGGAGCCAAGCTGACAACGCAGGGGGTACGACAGTGCACTCGCAAACCGGTTCGCGCTGGGAAATTGGGAAGAGGAGAGGAGTTGAACGCCTTCTCTGGACAAGCTTCATGGCACTTGGACATTTTGCTGGGGCGAGCCGACTTCTCTGGACAAGCTTCATGGCACTTGGACATTTTGCTGGGGCGAGCCGACTGGCATGCGCGCGACCTGGCATGCCCCATACCGAGTGGAAATTGCCTGGCTTCCGGAAGTTTCATGGCTTCATGGCATTTGAAGTTCTTTTTGCTGGGCAGGCCGACTGGCATGCACGTACCCTGGCGTGATCCATGCCGAGTGAAAGTTTCCTGGGGTGCCTTCAGTGCCTGGTCGTATATGTGTGGGGCCGCACAGCTGCGCGTCGTCCTCCTGGCAAGCTGAGCGTGGACGGCGCACACAGCCTGCGCGGAAGAAAGCCGCTCTTCGGCCGTGCCAGCATGGAGCTTGGGCCAGTGAGAACCCCGGGAGTGAGGTCCTTTCAGTGCCGCAACCCGTGCACCGGTGAGAACGCCTGCATGAGCCCATGTAATTCGTGTCGCGACCTTTCGTCGACAAGCATGCATTTCTTAATTCGAGACCTTTCGTCGACAAGCATGCATTTCTTAATTCGAGACTTTGAGCCCTGCATACGCCGATAATTCGTAATTTGCAGCTTTGAGCCTGGAGATCGTTTAATTCGTAATTTGCAGCTTTGAGCCTGGAGATCGTTCTCCCAAGCCTCGTCTCTTAATTCGTGCTTCCACCCTGAATTCATCACTCCTTCCCGAATTAGGAATTTGTGGCCAGACGTGCTGGAACCTTGCGTTTTTTGGGTCAACCGGGTTAGGCTTTCTCTTTGTTTCTCTGGTAAAGTAGCAATTGGTGAGTCCGGTAGGCACTGGTAGCAGCTCGACAGGCGTGAATGGCTTGTAGCAACCGGCTTGTTTTTTAGGGGTTGAGCACGGGGCTTAGACTGGTGGCCTGAGGCATTCACGCTAATTGCAGTCGGCTCGGCAGGGGTGTCAGGCGAGGGTACGGTTTCGTTAGGCTTGGGTGGCTGGTTGGTAGCCTGATACTGCTCCCTGAGCCGGCAGAGGACTGACTCAAGCAGACAGACGAAAGCGTGGCAACTGTCCATGTCTTTCGCTTTGGTGGTGAGGAATTTTTCTGCCGGGTGCACGTCACTCCAACTAGTGATGTAAAGACCGGGCACAGTGTGGTGTGGAATCTGATTGGCTAGGTCCGGGAAACCCCCCGTTTAGCCCTTGCCATCTCTTGTTTTGAATACAACAAACAACAAACAACCACAACCTGGTCACGCGGCTTCCATTCCGAGAGACATGTCCGCTGACCTGTGCACAGATGGTCAGGGAGACATGAAGGGACATGGAACCTGGTCGACTGTCTTGGGTTGGGGGTGCGTAGCTTGACTTGGTTCTTTGTGTTTAAGGGAGCAGAGGCAGTCGTTCCAGGGGAATGATCTGATTAGCCGACTTGTACTCAGAAGCAGCCCTGCGACGCGGATTCGCCCCAGCTGTGCAGGAGGGAAAAAAAACCCTAAACCCTAAACCCTAAACCCTAAACCCTAAACCCTAAACCCTAAACCCTAAACCCTAAACCCTTCCAGCCTTCAAAGCCAGAAAAATCAAGCTGCTTTAAAGCACTGGCGATCCAGGCTTGTGGCTGGTGCGCCCGGCGCCGTGATGCGTCTGAGGACAGCAGACATGGGGGCGTTTAGGGTTTAGGGTTTAGGGTTTAGGGCCAGTTTAGGGTTTAGGGTACAGGTCAGAATGATTGAGTGAGTGCTGGTGTTTGAGATTAAGCCTCATCGACTTTGCGCGAGCCGAATAAAGGGCATTTGCAGTCTACAGATGACTCTATCGGAAGGAGCAAGAGGGGCCGGAAGATCAAGCAGCAGGCGGCTGGTGTGCGTGCAGGCACCGCGCGACCGAGGACAGCGGAGATACTGCGCCAGAACATACCCAAAGGCTCCTATGTAGTGCTTGGGGTAGTACGCTAGAATCCCCTATAAGCAACCCAAAAAGGAACTACATGGGAGCCTTCAGGTAAAGGTTAGGTTAGGAACCGTGATTTTAATCCTCGGAAAGCCCAGCTCCCAAACTGTTTTTGAGCTTCACCTCACTGACCTTCCACGACCTGGATAAAAAGAATAATGGGAACCCCAAACAGGGAACCCAAAAAAGACACAGGGAATAGAGGGACCAGGGTAGGTATATTCCTGTATTTCCTATTGTATTCTGACAGATGTCGGGGTTGCCGAGAATAGTGGAACCCTTTTTTGGGGTCACTTTAAGGGGATTGCATTCTATTTGGGGCAGAAAAGTGGTACCCCTATTTTGGGAAGTGCCCGTGGAACGAAAGGAGGATGAGGCGGCCGAAGGTCAGTCAGCAGGTGGCTGGTGCGGGCACAGACGCGGTTCGACCGAGGACGCAGCCTGCGATGTGGGAGAGGAAGAGAGACAGTGATGAGAAGAGTGCGCAACGCATCCGCAGCGGTCATTTCTGTCTACCCTTATCGTACCCCTTCTACGCTTGAATTAAGCTCGAGTGAACCCTTGCCAAGTTGCGATCTAGAAGCATCAAAGGCTTTGACGCATGTTTACGGAAGGAGGATGAGGCGGCCGCAGGTCAGCCAGCAAGAAGTGGCTGGTGCGGGCACAGACGTGGCTCGACCGAGGACGCAGCCCCAACGAGGGAAAGGAAGTGCTATGATGACACATGTTTGCGCAAGGAGGATGGGACGCCCGAAGGTCAACCAGGCGGCTGGTGCGGGCGCAGACGCGATTCCAGCGAGGACACAGACGGCGTAGACCCCAACAAGGGGAAGGAAGAGGCAGCGAGAAACTAGTGAGAACAGTTAACGCAGGTGTCGTTGCATATGTTTGTAGCACTAATGATAATAAGAAGAATATAAGAATGCAAGTTTCTTCATGCGGGCAGGGGGAGAGCATACACACGTATGCATATCCACATATTCATATATACGCACAATATTTCCATGAATGGTTATACAGTCTCTGTGCTATGAAGCAGTCGGGCGCATGTCGGGCCGTGCCTCCCGCCCGGAATGATGTGAGTGACTGCTTAAGCTCAACCTCATTGTACCTTTCCACACTTGAACTAAAAGCTAGTCACTAGTCTATACAGTATTTTTTTGAAGGATGTTGGCGCATGTTTGCGGAAGGAGGACGGAGCGGGCGAAGCGGCCGAAGGACAGGCAGCATGCGGCTGGTGCGGGCACAGACGCGGTTCGGCCGAGGACGCAGCTCAACGAGTGAGAGGAAGAGAGCCATCGAGAAGGAGAGTGGTAGCACTCACACATCTCGCAAGTACTCCCTGCATTGGGCACTCAGGGGCCTGTATATGTATAGACTTACATGGTTCCTGTCCTTCGAGCAGTCAGGCATCACTTAACTGACATAGAAGCTGACAGGCATGATTGAATGACTTTTAAGTGTACCCTCATCGCACTTTGATGACACATGTTTTCCAAAGGAGGATGGGACGGCCGAAGGTCAACCAGGCGGCTGGTGCGGGCACAGACGCGGATCGAGCGAGGACGCAGACGATACACTCACGCGCAGGGGTCGTATCACGCGTGGTGGGGAGACCATAGATACATATGCATGTATATATATGTATGTACGTATAAGTTTTTGTATTTCTATATATATATATATGCATACACATATAGATACAGTTGCATCGTCCTTGTCCTCCCACCCGGAATGATTTGAATGGCTGCTTAAGTTCAACTTCATTGTACCTTTCCACACTTGAGGGTGTTGACGCATGTTTGCGGAAGGAGGACGGAGCAGCCGAAGCGGCCGAAGGACAGGCAGCATGCGGCTGGTGCTGGCACAGACGCGGTTCGGCCGAGGACGCAGCTTCAACGAGGGAGTGTCAGAGAAGGAGTGAGAAGACTGTAGAGCAGTCCTGAATCATGAATAATGGTCAGTTCTCAAAAGCATAGTTCTTCAGAAGCCGTATCTGACCCTCCAAAAGCTTGTATCGGATTTTATCGTTTCAGTTCCGAGACCATGGGGCGCCATTTAGCACATGATGACAGCCTAAGTTGACCCGGCCGTATTTGTCCATACGTTTCCACGCTTGAACAAACCATAGAGTCCAGCCCTTGCCAAGTTGCAGCAAGTAAGCCTGGACATCATTTGCGGTTTTTATGAAACGAGGATGAGGCAGCTGAAGGTCAGCCAGCAGCAGGCGGCTGGTGCGGGCGCAGACGCGATGCGACCGAGGACGCGGCCTCAACGGGGAGAGGAAGAGAGCGACAGAGGAGAGTGAGAATTCTCATGTGCAGGTGCCAGTGCTCTGCATGAGTGTACAAACGGCCTGTGCAGCATACTTCGTCCCTGTCCTACGTCCCCTTCGAGTTCAAATTAGCTGACACATGCCCTCGCTCTTACCGAATGACTGTCAGAGTTATCCTAAGTTGAGTCTCATTGCACCTTCCAACACTTGATTTAAGCTAGCAGCTAGTCTAGAGGGCGTTGACGCATGCGGAAGGAGGATGGAGCTGCCGAAGGTCAGCCAGCAGCAGGCGGCTGGTGCGGGCGACGGCACGCTTCGACCGAGGACACAGCCCAGCAGAAAGTGCAAGCATGACAGCGAGAAGAGTGAGAACACTCACGCGCAGTGCGTTTCCACATTGGGACTAGAGTGAAACAAGTTGCAGCCCATTAGCCTGGGTAGTTTCGTGCAACAAGGACGAGGCGGCTGAAGGCCAGGCAGCAGCGGGCGGATGGTGCGGGCGCAGACGCAGTTCGACCGAGGACGCAGCCTCAACGAGGGAGAAGAGAGCCGCTGAGCGGGAGAGTGTGAACACCGCATGATGCCGAATGATGTTCATCAAAAATGTCCAATGCGTAGTTTAAATATCGTCTCTGTCCTACGAAACCTTGAGGGCGCCATTACCTGACACTTGAACTGCACGCTTAACGGAAGGAGGATGAGGCGGCTGAAGGTCAGCCAGCGGGCGGCTGGTGCGGATGCGGACGCGCATCGACGGAGGACGAACCCCCCGTCGAGGGAAAGGAAGAGAGACAGCAAGAAGAGCACTCTCATGCGCAGTGGTCATTTTCTCAAAACAACATGAATACCGAGCAAGTAGATGTTCCAAAGATTCCAAAAGATCCTTGTATCATCCCTGAGCTGCGATGCCTTTGGGGGTCATGTGATTGAATGACTCCAGGTTTACCTGCATCTTACCCCTGCTGGAGTGAGCCCCTGCCAACTGGCAGCCCACGAGCCTGGAGAGCTTTGACACATGTTTGCGGAAGGAGGACGGGGCTGCCGAAGGACAGGCAGCATGCGGCTGGTGTGGACACCGACGCGGTTCGGCCGAGGACGCAGCTTCAACGAGGGAGTGCAAGAGAAGGGGTGAGAACACTGTAGACCACTCATGAGCAATGGTCATGTCTCAAAAGCATAGTTCATGAGGAGCCATACGCACATGGCCCTCAAAAGCCTCTATCGCCTCATGTATCGTCCCGGTTCTGAGACCGTGGGGCGTGATTTAGCACATCTGCTGTCGCCTGCGGTGATTCAATGACAGAATAAGTTGACCCGGCCGTGCCTCTCCAAACGTTTCCACACTTGAACAAAACTAGAGTCTAGACCTTGCCAAGTTGCAGCAAGTAAGCCTGGACAGCATTTGCGTGAAACGAGGATGAGGCAGCTGAAGGTCAGCCAGCAGCAGGCGGCTGGTGCGGGCGCAGACGCGATGCGACCGAGGACGCGGCCTCAACTAGGGAGAGGAAGAGAGCGATCGAGGAGAGTGAGAACTCTCATGTGCAGGTGCCAGTGCTCTGCATGAGGATATACACGTCCTGTGCAGCATACTTCGTCCCTGTCCTACGAAGCCTTCGGGCGCTATTATGCGCTATTTAGCTGACACATGCCCTCCCGAATGACTGCCTAAGTTATCCTAAGTTGAGTCTCATCGCACCTTCCAATGCTTGATTTGAGCCAGCAGCTATATAGTCTATAGAGGCAAAAAAAGGCGCGTTGACACATGCGGAAGGAGGACGGAGCTGCCGAAGGTCAGCCAGCAGGCGGCTGGTGTGGGCGACGACACGCTTCGACCGAGGACACAGCCCACCAGTGCAAGCATGACAGCGAGAAGAGTGAGAACACTCATGCGCAGTGCGTTTCCACACATGGAACTGTGAAGCATAGTGAACCCTTGCCAAGTTGCAGCCCATTAGCCTGGGTAGTTTCGTGCAACAAGGACGAGGCGGCTGAAGGCCAGGCAGCAGCAGGCGGATGGTGCGGGCGCAGACGCAGTTCGACCGAGGACGCAGCCTCAACCAGGGAGAAGAGAGCCCCAGAGCGGGAGAGTGTGAACACCGCATGATGCCGAATGATGTTCATCACTTTGTGGTGCTTTACTGTAACTTTAGATATTTAGCTTTTTTGGGTTTATTGGGTTTCTTAATAAAGGCAGCTAAAAGTTTAATTTTTTTACTACCCTCCTAAGTGCAGCCAAGATCAAAAGCATGTCCAATGCGTAGCTTCATATCGTGTCCTACGAAACCTTTAGGGCGCCAGTTACCTGACACATGAACTGCACGCTGTATAGAAGGAGGATGAGGCGGCTGAAGGTCAGCCAGCGGGCGGCTGGTGCGGGTGCGGACGCGCATCGACCGAGGACGCAGCCCCAGTCGAGGGAAAGGAAGAGAGACAGCCAGAAGGAGAGTGAGAACACTCATGCACAGTTGTCATTTCTCACAACAACATAGGTAACGAGCAAGTAGATGATCCCGATACAAAGATCATCCCTGTGCTGCAATGCCTTTGGGAGTCATTTGGGCCTGCCTGCTGCCCGCAATGGCTGAATCATTCTATAGGTTTACCTGCATCTTACCCCTCCACACCTAAGCTTTAGAGGGAGCCCCTGCTGGAGAGCTTGGACACATGTTTGCGGAAGGAGGACGGGGCTGCCGAAGGACACGCAGCATGCGGCTGGTGCGGGCACAGACGCGGTTCGGCCGAGGACGCAGCTTCAACGAGGGAGTGCAAGAGAAGGGGTGAGAACACTGTAGACCACTCATGAGCAATGGTCATGTCTCAAAAGCATAGTTCATGAGGAGCCATACGCACATGGCCCTCAAAGGCCTCTATCGCCTCGTGTATCGTCCCGGTTCTGAGACCGTGGGGCGCGATTTAGCACATCTGCTGTCGCCTGCGGTGATTCAATGACAGAATAAGTTGACCCGGCCGTGCCCCTCCAAACGTTTCCACACTTGAACAAAACTAGAGTCTAGACCTTGCCAAGTTGCAGCAAGTAAGCCTGGACAGCATTTGCGTGAAACGAGGATGAGGCAGCTGAAGGTCAGCCAGCAGCAGGCGGCTGGTGCGGGCGCAGACGCGATGCGACCGAGGACGCGGCCTCAACTAGGGAGAGGAAGAGAGCGATCGAGGAGAGTGAGAACTCTCATGTGCAGGTGCCAGTGCTCTGCATGAGGATATACACGTCCTGTGCAGCATACTTCGTCCCTGTCCTACGAAGCCTTCGGGCGCTATTATGCGCTATTTAGCTGACACATGCCCTCCCGAATGACTGCCTAAGTTATCCTAAGTTGAGTCTCATCGCACCTTCCAATGCTTGATTTGAGCCAGCAGCTATAGAGTCTATAGAGGCAAAAAAGGCGCGTTGACACATGCGGAAGGAGGACGGAGCTGCCGAAGGTCAGCCAGCAGGCGGCTGGTGTGGGCGACGACACGGTTCGACCGAGGACACAGCCCACCAGTGCAAGCATGACAGCGAGAAGAGTGAGAACACTCATGCGCAGTGCGTTTCCACACATGGAACTGTGAAGCATAGTGAACCCTGCCAAGTTGCAGCCCATTAGCCTGGGTAGTTTCGTGCAACAAGGACGAGGCGGCTGAAGGCCAGGCAGCAGCAGGCGGATGGTGCGGGTGCAGACGCAGTTCGACCGAGGACGCAGCCTCAACCAGGGAGAAGAGAGCCCTAGAGCGGGAGAGTGTGAACACCGCATGATGCCGACTGATGTTCATCAAATGTCCAATGCGTAGTTTAAATATCGTGTCCTACGAAACCTTGAGGGCGCCATTTACTGACGCTTGAACTGCACGCTTTTTACGGAAGGAAGATGAGGCGGCTGAAGGTCAGCCAGCGGGCGGCTGGTGCGGGTGCGGACGCGCATCGACCGAGGACGCAGCCCGCGTGGAGAGAGACACAGCCAGAAGGAGAGTGAGAACACTCTCATACGCATTGGTCATTTTCTCAAAACAACACAAAGATCCTTGTATACTCCCCGTGCTGCAATGCCTTTGGGCGTCATTTAACTGGCACATAGCTTACCTGCTGCCAGACATGATTGAATGACTCTACATGTAAGTCTACCTGCATCTTACCCCTCCACACCTAAGCTTTAGAGTGAGCCCCTGGCAACTGGCAGCCCACCAGCCTGGATAGCTTTGACACATGTTTGCGGAAGGAGGACGGGGCTGCCGAAGGACAGGCAGCATGCGGCTGGTGTGGACGCAGACGCGGTTCGGCCGAGGACGCAGCCTCAACGAGGGAGTGGAAGAGAAGGGGTGAGGACACTGCAGACCACTCATGAGCAATGGTCATGTCTCAAAAGCATCATGAGGAGCCGTACGTACATGGCCCTCAAAAAGCCTCTATCGCCTTATGTATCGTCCCGGTTCTGAGACCGTGGGGCGCCATTCAACACATGTGCTTCCGCCGGCGATGAGTGAATGACATTGCGCTTATTCCATCGTACCTTTCCATACGCTCACACAAGTGAACTGAACTAGAGTGAAGCAACCCTTGCCAAGCTGCATCTCACAAGCCTGGACAACACTTTTCAGATGTTCATGAAACGAGGATGAGGCGGCCGAAGCTTCGGCAGGCGGCTGGTGCGGCCGCAGACACGACTCGACCGAGGACACAGCCTACGAGGGAGAAGCGAAAGAGAGAGAGAGAGACAGTGAGAAAGAGCAATATCGGGCAGTCATTTCATCAAGAGCAATCTAGATGTTCCTCCAAAGGTCCTCCCTGTCCCCTGCCCGCAATGATTGAAGGACTGCTGAATACGTTTACACTCATCATCGTTTCAGCAAAGATGGCAAGAAAGCTTCTGCTTAAGGCTGCTTATGCTTTGGGAATCAACCTAAACCCTAAACCCTAAACCCTAAACCCTGAACCCTAAACCCTTTCCCTAAACTGAACTCCTACTTCGAAGAGACACCTAGATGCCCCTAGACCCTGAACCCTGGGGTCAACGCCGCAGCCAATGAAAAGGAGGCTGCCGCCCTCCGCACATCTGGGGCGGTCAAGGAGGTCACGGAAAGGGAGCTAGCAGCTTCTACATCTCATAGATATACAAAACATGTACATATACATGTACATGAATATATATATATATATATTCATACATACATACATACATACATACATACATACATACATACATACATACATACATACATACATACATACATACATACATACATTTATGTGTGTGTATGTAAATAAATAAATATATATATATATATATATACACATGTAGATATGTATATACAGCAGTATGTGTTTATATGTACATATGCGCGTATATTATAGATGTAAGCATGATGAAGTCGTCCCCGGTGCTTTGAAGGAGCCCGACACCATCGCAGAGCAAAGCACCGATGGCCAGGAGGCAACTGCAACTCCTGCTGCACCTGATATGTGCGATTATGTAAAATACATACATGTGTATAGATATCCATATATATATATACATATATATATATATACATATATACATATATATTAAATGATATTAGTATAATATGTGTATATAGATATACACTGGTTGGTGGATGGCGTGGCTGTAGGTCAGCGGGTTGATGGGGACTCGTGCCAGGCCTGCGGCTGGCTCCGGCGGTGCCGACGTCGGCGAGGGGACCCTTCCCTACAAACATGTTTAGAGTTTAGAGTTTAGGGTTTATAGGGTTTAGGGTTTAAGAGGCCTCTGCCCGTGAGTTGTTTCCAGGCATGAGTAAATGCCACTGGTCCAAGAGGGCGTTTGCAGTAGATAATTCGTGGCTGTCAGCACAGAGCAAAAGGGCAAGTAAGATACAGTTTCAACGCCGAATCCCATTCAACGTACTGCCGCGGCAGGAACGTAGGAGAGCAGAGTGCCATCAGGACAGGCCAGCAACGAAACATCGCGCGCTGCGCTGCCGCTAGTACCCACAACCGGAGCCAAGCTTACCAAGGGTGATGTATATGAAGGCCCTATTTGAGTGTTGGTGACCCAGACTCCGTATATACATACTATATTATATAGTCGATAAGGAGAGGAACCGACCCCGACCAAATACGCAACTTACATCAATCCCTGGAGTTTTGTGCTTGCACATCATGGCTTCGTTGAACTCTCAGGAGACCATGATCGACCTCACGAAGGAGGCCTGAAGTCAAAGGTTTAGGGTTTAGGGTTTAGGGTTTAGGGTTTAGGGTTTAGGGTTTAGGGTTTAGGGTTTAGGGCAGCCCTACTGAAGATGTCCTTGAAACAGCTAGCCCTACGGAATTCTCCGTTGGGGTTGCCTAGGCAGCCTGATTTAAAACCTTGAACTCTCAACGCAAAAGCCCTAAAATCACAAGTCCTCCTGTGCCCGCGTGCAGCCTTATAGTGCGACATGGTCAGCTAGGCAGGTTGAGGGTTTGGGGTGTAGGGTTTCCTAATGAGTAGCTGGGCAGGAGCCCCAGTTGAAGGGTGAGAAAGCCCCAGGCATGTAGTGTTCAGGTTTTTGTAGGATTCAGTTGTTGCAGGTCCGCCATGGCAAACCTGTCCGGCCGGAAACCTTCAAGCAAAGAAAGTCCTCAGCAACCCTCAAACAGGCCCCAAGGGTTCAGCGTAGGCCGTGGAGCAACTCTTACGGGTAGTTACATGGTCCCTTAGTATGGTCCCTTACCTCCCTTAGAGGGTTCTGAAGTATGGGCCCTCATGTTGCATGGGGGTATATGAGGGGTAGAAAAGGGGCCCCGTTTCTAAGGCCCCATACTAAGGACCATGCAGCTACCCGAAGCACCAGCACCCTGAAACACCCCTTTCGTGCTTCAAATCCTTCTGCTTTGCTGGGACTGTGAGCACAAGCCCGGCCCTACAAACCATCCTCAAACACTCAAACCCTGTCTTGAAGCCTATAAGCCATATTAAACCTAAACCTTGGAACGTGACCGTCCTTAATCGGGATTCTAGTACCCCCTGTAAAATCCTTATCAAGGACTGCAGCTACCATAAGGGGGAACATCCCAAACCTAAACCCTTAAGATCCTAAAGCTCAAACTTCTGAGCGCGAGCAATGGACAGGAGCCGGATGAGTATGCCGAATCCGGTGGATGGTGCTCCAGACGGCGGTCGACCAAGGAGGGCTCCTCATACATTGGTTTGGGGGTTTACGGCTTAGGGCTTTAGGGTTTAGGGTTCAGGGTTTAAGGTTTAGGGTTTGTGGGTTTAGGGTTGAGGGTTTGTGTCTTGTACTGCTCAGAAGGGAGAGTGCAGTGAACTATATCTGCACGTGTGCCCTGGGTAGTCTCGAGCCAGCTGACGTAAAGAGTCTGGATTCAAAAGAACAAGGACCCTAAACCCTAAACCCTCAACCCTCAACCCTCAACCCTCAACCCTAAACCCTAAACCCTAAACCCTAAACCAAAAACAAGGGTTTGTAGGCTTTGCTTAAGAAAACTTTGAAAGGGCTGAGGATACACTGCGGGACTCTGCACTCTGGGGTGCATCCTTCGCACTCTGGAATTCCGTCGAAGTGGGCACCCCAATGGGTTTAGGGTTTAGGGTTTAGGGAAGGCCACTTCGCCAGAAGTGGCATCGAAGGATCTCATCATCTTCAGTGGGTTTTCTGCACAGGGAGTGGGCCAAAACACATCAAGTCTGACCAGTTCTGGGCCGTTGTTGCAACACAGCCCTCTATTTGTGGCGCGGTTGCGTTGACCCGACTTCAACCCAGAGACTCCGAAACCCCTTAAAGAAGGAGTATCCCTTCAAACTGCAACAGGAACCTTAAGATTCTGTAAGGTCTATGCCTTAAATAAGGGGTTTTGGAGTCTTATTCCTTAATTCAGCGGTTTTGGAGTCTCTGACTTCAACCCAAAGCAGGAGATGTCCTTGGAAGAGAGCTCCGGTTGGTGTCGCGGGCGTCGCCGCAAAGCTCAGGAGGAGGGTGTCCCATGAAACCGGCTTTGGGGATTTTCCATAGCCCCCTTATGAGGCTTCGTGCTTTGTGAGCGCTTCCCGTGATATTTATATATGGGTAATTTAGGTTTTTTGCTCTGAAGTTATTTTGGGGTTCTTAGTAGATTCAGGGCTTGGTTTAAGAGGATACAGGGTATCTCCCATCATGGCCTGAACTCGTCAACCCTGGCAGAACTGCGTGGCCTGCGGCAACATTTTCATGGACGACTCACTGTTCTGCCGGAAGTGCGGCCGCAAGCGTGGCCCGGAGGTGCGGACTGGTGGTGGTGGTGGTGGTGGTGGTGGTGGTGGTGGTGGTGGTGGTGGTGGTGGTGGTGGTGGTGGTGGATGATTTCTGCGCCGAGTCTTGAACCCTGATGCCTGATCCCTATGCCAGCGTCCCCTAGCAGGACTGCCCGGCTTGCGGCAACGTTTACATGGACGACTCGCTGTTCTGCCGGAGGTGCGGCCGCAAACGTGGCTACGAGGTGCGGACAGAGGTGGCGGTGGTGGCGGTCGTGGTGGTGGTGATGGTGGTGGGTCTTGAACTCGCTCGAGTTTGGCTGGCTTAGTTACGGCTTAGTTCTTCTAAGCTAGCTGAAGTCACCCGCCATGACGCACAGTTTTCCTTGGAGAGGATATCTCTTAGTAAAAGAAATGTTTTAAGAGACTGCTCCCTCTTTGTGCTCGTGAGCCCCAAAGCCCAAGTCTCTGCGCCGAGTCTTGAACCCAATGCCCACACCTTCACAGCCAGCCCGCTATGAACCCAGAGCTATGAACGCTAAGCCGACATCCCTGGCAGGACTGCCCGGCTTGCGGCAATGTTTACATGGACGACTCGCTGTTCTGCCGGAGGTGTGGCCGCAAGCGCCACCAGGAGGTGCGGATCGGTGCTGGTGGGGCTAAGATAGAGTCGCACACAGCCTCTGTACACGAAAACCGTGAAGCCCTCCCCCCCCCCCCCCCCCCCCCCCCCCCCCCCCCCCCCGCCGCCGAAATCAGCCTTAATTCCCTGCACCGAGTCTTGAACCCCGAGTGCGCAACAAGCCCAAAACCGGTCTGTCGAATAATCAGAATCTCAGCATCCATTTCACCTCTAAGCTCCTGACAGAACTGCCCGGCTTGCGGCAACGTTTACATGGACGACTCGCTGTTCTGCCGGAGGTGCGGCCAAAAGCGCGACGAGGCGTGGCGTGCGGCAAGATGCCTGTCATGTGTCACAAGACTGCTAGACGTGGATTTGAAACACCAAAAGACAACGATGGGCTAAACTCTCAGAAATTCCCTCGTTTGGGGCCCTGATTGGCAGTTGTTGATGATTGCAATTCTGGCCCATCCTGAGACTCTACCAGCACTTTGCAGTGAGATCGGATTGGTGAGGGGTTGCGAAGTGCACACTTCCACAATAGAAGGCCCAGATGCTCGGGCAGTATGTTGCGGACTTAAACAATCTGAGTTCATAAGCAACATGTAGTGGTTCCTGAGTCTCCAGAATTCTAAGTGAGGCCCTCCTGCAACCCCTTGAGAGGAGACCCTCCCAGCAGCTGCTCTGGCTTCCACCCAGGCGTCTCCGGCTGCTTCAGGTTCTGCAAAAAGCCTTCAACAGGGCTTAAACAGGGCCCTCAAGCAACGACATCTGAAGGGACGATCAGTGACGATCCCCTCCCTAAACCCTAAACCCTAAACCCCTGCTTCAGACATCCCCTGTGGCTTCTCCTGACCGCCGGGCGCGGCAGGCGCAGCGCAGCTGGGACTGGGGGGGGGGGGGGGGGGGGGGGGGGGGAGGGTTTAGGGTTTAGGGTTTAGGGTTTAGGGTTTCGGGTTTAGGGTTTAGGGTTTAACCCTAGGGTTTAGGGTTTAGGGTTTAGGGCGAGTCAAGGTCCCAAGCACGTGCTTCCGGAGACGTCGAGGGCATATCGAGTCTGGAGTGAGGAGTCGCCTACACTAACCGCCAGCTCACCAGCATTAAATATTGGAATGCTTTGTTAAGGCATGTGAGGGTTCAGGGTTTTCTTTGGGTTCTCACCCTGAACTCTCTACACTCTAAACACCAACCCTAAACCCTGAACGCCAACGAGAGGCCTTGACAAGGCGATCGTGGTCCCCTCGTGAGGTGCCGGGCTGCTGAGGGTGGCATACCTAGGACTTTTTAGGTTCAGGGTTCAGGGTTCAGGGTTGGTTTAGGGTTTAGGATGCATACCTCGGATTTTTGAGGTTCAGGGCTTACAGCGTCCAGGGTCGTGAAGATTTGAGGGTTTACAGGGTTTTCCTAGTAGCAGAGCAGGTAACCGTTAACCTTTTTGGGGCAATGCAATCCCCTTTTCATCCCAAAGGCCTTTAGTTGCCCCACTGCCACGTGCTTGTCTGACAGAAGTTGGTTGACAATTCTGCTAGAGCTAAACCTTGTTCATCCCATAAGCTTTTACAACTGAGCAATCACAGGAAAGAGAACACAGCTTCCGGTTTTTACCAGCCTTGGCCTCTGGGCAGCAGGTACAGGTACATATCCACGGCAGTCGGGGCATCACACTTCTGGACCTCTTCTCACAAATACCCACGTTGAGCACACGTTGTCTCTTTTCTCACACCATCACCATCGCGCCATGCGAACCGATGAAGCCTCCAGTAGCCGGAAACCACGGTCATCAGGGAAAACGCAAGAGCAGCAGACGCATGAAGGGGCAGCTAGGGGCTTCCAGGGCTCTGGCCGATTATGGGTTTAGGGTTTAGGGTTTAGGGTTTGGGGTTTAGGGTTTAGGGTTTAGGGGATTTTGGGGGCCGAACTTTTCCCTCAACCATCAAACCCTTGCGTTGCATCAACACTTATATGCCTCGCGGAGGGATGGCAAAAGACGGGCGCAGACAATAATGTAACCATGTAAAACAAGAAAAACAAATGACAATATGTTATAATTTCGATTCATCGATACAGGAACGTAGTCATACAATATTGTTTAGACATCGCGAAAAATGGCATCCAGTTGCAACATCACAACATGTTAATTTCGATATATCAATGGAGGAATGTAGCCAGATAATAGCATACTCATAGGCCAGCAAGTTCTGGATCATGAGACAGCTTTGCTGGCAGTCGAGCCGTGATGGTTTTTGACTTTCTTAGCGTCCATTGTCTCCCATTAGACTCTAGTCACTATACTAGTAGCCTGGTGGGGTTTACGCGGGATGGTTACAAGTAGTCCACCAATCCCATAGTGCTGAATTACAGCCGCCACTCTGTGAATTCCAGCCTGCACCCTTCCGAGAGCTTGCAATTCTCTGGCGAGTAGCCGGCCCCTCTACAAGAACCCCTTAGCAAACAACCACCCTAACCGTGGCCAGGGTTTTGGGTTTAGGGCTGAGGCTTCCGGGCATAAGCTGCCGACACAGGACGGTGGGGAACACCCTAAATACCAAGATCATTCTCTTAGAATCCCGAAATAGCTGGTAACAATACCCAGCACACTACTCGAAATACTCTTGAAATCAGAAGGCCCAGATATTTACAGCAAAACGCCCTGTCCAGCAGCAGACCCTGCAGACCCCACAGAAAAAAAACACAATCGGCTGCTCCGCAGGAGCAGGGCCAAGCCATGTTGGCGGGCCGGGCATCTCGCGACGCTTGGCTTTGAGGGTTTAGGGTTGTGGGTTTAGGGTTTCGGGCTTAGGGTTTAGGGTTTAAGGGTTTAAGGATCAGGGTTTAGGGTTTAGGGCCCTTAAACTTACTGGATGAGCCTTTCAGGGTTCCAAAGGGGGCTTTGGGGGCCACTGCACGGGCTCGGGGTTTCGTAGGTTGCCATTATGCCAAACAAAAAGGGGTCTGAGGTAATATAGGGTTCGGAGTAAATACGAGCAGTAGTCCTACGGTCCCTATGTCATTCTACTTTCATGTCTGCGCCGAACAGCACCACGCAGCTTGATTCCCTAAGCCCTTGTTGGGGGGCTGTTGTAACATGGCACTCCTAACATTTCCCTCCCAAAAACCTACAAACAAGAGCATTTTGGGGTTCTGCAGGCTCAACCCCGAGACCTAAGTTTTTTTCCCACTGCTGGCACAGTGAAGGTCCCGGCCGAGGAGCAGGGTTTAGGGTTTAGGGTTTAGGGTTTAGGGTTTCGGGTTGGCTCGAGGGCCGGTAGAGAAGAGTTGCTGAAGAGACCCTCCGATGGACCCTATAGCCCAGGGTGCCTCGAAAACTTTGAGCAACACATCACGCATGCCCAAACCCTAAACCCGAAACCCTAAGGCAAAAACCCTGGAGAGGGACCTGCTCTCCTACTCACGAAAAAGATGGGCTCTACACACTACACTCCACTGGTGCCCGGTCTGGTGAGACCGACGGAGGTTTGGTTGGTCTGTGGTGGGCGTCCAATCTTTGGAAGGCCCCCATGAAGGGAGAGAAGCCGGCTGAGCCTGAAATAGACTTCGCCTTGCCCCTGCAACAATCAAAGAATCGTTTTTCACGCATTTACGTCCAAATCTCTGCAATGTGGACGTACAGTTCAGCGAGGCAGGCAGCAACAGAAACCCCAAAGCCTAAGGGGAATCCTTGCCTGCTTTGTCGAGTGCGAGAGTCGAAACTCTAAGGGGGTTTGTGACATAAGTCTGCAAATCAAATCCAAAGGTGAGTCAGGCTCAGAGCTCGTGGTAGACCTCTGACCCTGGCACCAAAACCTATAATCTAGCCCCTAAGCCTTAAACACCTGGATGCAAGAAAGGGGGCCTTACGCAGGACACCCAGCAGGACTTGGTGACATCTGGGCAGCAGGCGGCACAGGGGCATGCTTGCAAGTGACCATTTTGGCGTGCTGTTCATGGGGGCACATGTTCATCATGTTCTTCGTTCTTGCCTGGGAGATTCTTCGATGACCATGTAACCATGTATCTTCTGTTGAGAAGGAACCCAATTCTATCGGTTTCTTTCAGTCCTTACAGAGTGGGAAGCCAAAAAGACTGCTGTAGAGAGAGTTATACGGGCCAATAAGGGCCCAAAATTTTGGGTTGTATTTACTACAACTTGTTTTAGATTGCCGTGGTCTATGTAAGTGTAGTAAGGCTGTCCCTTCCCTGCAGAATGCCCAAAGCCACAGCAGCAACGTAAGCCAACCCTCAGCGGTGAACGCCAAACTCTTTAACTGCAAACCCAGCCTGATGCAGACACGCACGAGGGCGTGCCTGCACATGCGCACGGGCACGCACGCGCACACACGCTCGCATGCACACAAGAAGAGTCAGCTTAGTCCTCCTGGGAATTATGAATTTTCATGCGAGCCCGACGCACTTTGCTCCACGATGCTTAACGACGGGGCTGTCCTATAGGCTTTTGCTGGAAGGAGTTCCGTCAGCAGAAAAGGTCGCCCCGCACCCTGTAAGTCTGGCCCTGCAGTGCAGACTCAAGCTAAGTTGTTGGTTATGGCGAATCCGAAGCCTCCGACCCATCCGACTCAAGCTTGTACCTGGATGTGCTATGTAGCGATTCTACCCTATAGTCCATCTATAGAGCAGGCTTTTTATAATTAGGGAGGACTGTACGGATTCCAAGGCCTATCAGGCTATCGTATCAAGCCCACATCTATGCAGGGCTCGCTCCGCAAGCGGCGCCGGCTTCAGGACTGGGGATTCGGGGTGAGTTGTTTTGTCGTCTAATCCCCTAATCCCTAATTAAACCCGAAACCCATTCCCACGACTTGTCCCTGCGAGGGTCCCTCTGGGCTCAGCTAGGCGGGTGGCAAAGAAAACCCGAAACCCTCCGAAATGAGTCCCTGCAATGTGGCCTGAGTGTCAGCTGGGCAGGTGAAACAAAAAAACAAAAACATAAACCCTATAAACCCTAAATAAACCCTATAAACCCTATAAACCCTAAATAAACCCTAAATAAACCCTAAAAACCCTATAAACCCTATAAACCCTAAATAAACCCTAAATAAACCCTAAATAAACCCTAAATAAACCCTATAAACCCTATAAACCCTAAACCTTCCTGATCTCCCGTTCCCAGCGCCATGGGGTGCATATGGTCGGAGTTAGGGGCTTCGGAGCCCAGGGTCCACAGTGTTTAGGGTTTTAGGGTTTTAGGGTTTAGGGTTTAGGGTTTAGGGTTTAGGGTTTAGGGTTTAGGGTTTAGGGTTTAGGATGGTTTAGGGTTCTGTACGAGTGAAGCAAGAAAAAAAGGCCTGTCGTACAGAGGCTGGGAGAAACGGAGCCCAGTATTCGAAAGGGAGGTTTCGTCGAGGCGGGTGAAGTCTAAGTTGATAGAATGTAAATTAGATGATTCAGATGAAGACTATGATGATGATGATGATGATGATGAATGGTAGTAGTGTAGTAGATAGACCAAGTGGTGATGCACCATTGTAGGAACGGGTTCAGGGATTTCGCGCGTGCGCGCGAGGGCCTTGAGGTTCAGGGGCTCTGAGATCCTGCATTGTTCGGTAGGACTGGATGGAGCTGGTTCTTCAAAGGAGTTTTGAGTTTCTATGGGCCCCTTGTAAAGCCCACAAACAAACAACCCAACCCGAAATCCACCCTTGACACCCCGAGCTGGACCTGGGACGTGGGGTCTAAGTTTGTTTCAGGCCCAGGGTGCGGGCGCTGTCGCAGCATCGTCGGCTGCTGCAGACGTGGACGTTAAGGAAGAGGAGAGAGCAGTTCTGGGTTTTTTCATACAAAGCGAAGCTAGGCCTAGTTTCTAGCTATAGGGTCCTGCCTCAACACTCTACACCTGGGGCAGTGATGAAGCTCTTGCGTGTTTGTGTTTCGTGATCCCCACTGAAACGTCCATTCACGACCCCCAGGGAGCCACGAGCAAGATGCACAGCGCAATTTCATGTGTGGGTAAATGAAGAAATACGTAGATACTTGAATAGATAAACTACAGATGTATATACATACTACATACACATGCTCAGAAATAGCCCCCCGATTCGATTCAGATGATGTCTCCAAGTTTTCGGGCTGGCCGAACAGTAAAACAAATAAACAAAAAAGTAGCATACGTATCCATATACATCTTTTGTTTGCGTGTCCGACCACTTCTTCTTCATACATACATACATACATACGTAACATGCGTATGTACGTACATACATACATACATACCATGTTCACATATATGTATATATATATATACACATGTGTGTGTGCTGCAAAAAAGATTGAATCCCGTGCGCCTGCGCCCTCGGTGCTGGGTCCCGGTCGTCATGTGTGTATTCAGCTAGCAGATACATCCGTAGACATGCATTTATTTTTGTGTATGTGTATGTGTTGTAAGATATACCAATGATGTGTACAAAAACACACATCCTTCTTTGGTCAGGTAGCTCTTGTGCTATCATACGGTGTTTGAACTTAAAAAATATGCACATTCAAGTCCCAATCCAGGAGCCAGCGGTCGAGGTGGTGCAGGTTTCGCGTGACGAGGCATGGCCCAGTGCGATTCGGAGACTGGTCGGTGTGTTGGGATGTTCCCCCTTATCCTAACAGTCCTGAATCGCGATGATCGTAACCCCCTACGATAATCTCTAGTGAGGGGGAACATCCCTTGAGCGTGAAAATGGTGTTTAAATTTTGGGGTTTAGGTCGAGTTTCAGGAGATGAACAAGTTCCTCACAGCAAGCCTTGGTCAAGAATGTGCGACTCTTTTCGGGTGAATAGTGAACCTAAACAGAGCCTTGCAGACCTGAACGCATGCTTCTAGGCTTGAACATACCACAAACCATACGTAGACCCCATAAAACCTGCGCAAACCACCACAGATCTCACACAAGCCCTGAGAACCCTAGAGGGGAGAATCCGGGGAGAACCCTTAAACCCTAAACCCTAAACCGCACCCCCTGAAATGTTTTTCTCGCCTGACGACGCCAGGAGCGCGGGCCGGTCGAAATGGCGGAGGATGCGGGCGACCAGGATGGCGAGGTGCCAGTCGATTCAGGGTTTTGGGTTTTGGGTTCAGGGTTTGGGGTTTAGGGTTTAGGGTTTAGGGCCGAAGGTGTTGTTTCATTCCTCTATTGTTTGCTTTAAGGTTTGCTTTAAGACCCCCCAAAAGATAAGATAAGAATCCCTATATTACCCTTGTAATCAAGAACGTTTTTTTTTCTTTGGCGGGGGGGGGGGGGGGGGTTCTTAAGGAATTGGTATAGTAATCTGTTGCACGTTGACCGGTTTCCAGCATCGGCGAATAAAGGCATCTTGGACAAGGTTTTGAGACAACCCGTCCATATGATGTTCTCGACTTCTGACTGCAAGATGTTCTTGACTTTGACCAAGTCCACTTCCGCCCCAAAAGTATAGCGTACAGTGCAGAGTCTTACTCTGCTGGCAGGTCTCCACAGCTGTAGAGCTGGGGGATGTGGGGGATCAGGACAGCGAGGTGCGGTGGAAGGGAAGGGGATGAGGTTGCAATGGGGGTTGTTTAGCAGTGTTGAGGCCACACCCGCTTTTACTCCCAAAGCCCGCAAAAAAGCAGCCGAAACATAATGTTCATCAGAGTAGCATCGCAACCGTCATGATCACGGTCGCAGTCATGAAACCTTTGACCGACATGGATACCAGTAGCTGATTATTGAAGAATCAGAGTCTCACTTGCAAAACTAGCAGTGGTGATGAATCAACACGGCGACGCTTCAAAACCTAGCTAACCCCACCTGTGCGCGGGTATATTGAGAAACTATGGTCTTGCACTTCGGTTCTAGAGACTTGGGATACTTGGGGTACACTTTTTGGGGCTCGGCTCCTAGCAGAAGGACTACAGCATTTGCAACCGCTCTCGCACGCATTCTTTGCATTTCTAGAGGCCTACTTAAGACCCTAAACCCTAAACCCCACTTAAACACAATCCCCTGATCACGGCAGCCGGGGATGTCTGCGGAAGGTTTCAGACGAGATCGACATGGGTCTGTTTGCAGACGACGGCTATGGGGAGCAGGACCCGACACCCTCATCCCAAGGAGGCTTCTTTGGGGGGACTGAAGACTGAAACCCTAAACCCGAAACCCTAAACCCTTAACCCTAAATCCTAAACCCGCTCAGAGCTCCTTCACCTTCGTAGCCGAGCACGTCAAGGGCCAGAAGTTGTAATCTTGGATAGCACAGTCGAAGTTTCGGGCTTATAGGGTGGATATGGAGTTTAGGGTTTAGGGTTTAGGGATATAGCAAGACATAGGGACCCTGCTGCCTATACATACCCACCACAACCCCTCTCAAATGGACCATGAGTCAGAGAATTGGGCACATTTCTGCACATGCCCCGGAAGACTAAACCATAAACTTGAAATAACCTAAACCGCAAACCCCCCCAACCCCCGTAACCACACAAAAAGACCTTCCGCGCGAATCATCTCAGCGAGGCCCTAAGCCCTAAACCCCTAACCCTTAACCCTTAGACCCTTCTAAACCCTTAGCAACCCTTAAGAACCCCGAAAAACCCTGAAAAGCCCTGAACACCCTTAAACCCTTATAAACCCTTATAAGCCCTTTTAAACCCTAAACCCTCTCCATCAGGAACCTACGGGCGCAGCGGCAACCGCCGGCGGCGCTGCTGATGCAGGCACCGCCGAGCATCAGGAGCCTGCTCTACTTCGAAAGGATGGGCACAATAGGGTTTAGGGTTTAGGGTTTAGGGTTTAGGGTTTAATTAGGGTTTAGGGTTTAGGGTAACCCGAACCTGTGGGCACCGTAGTTGGAGGGCGTGGCTCGTTGTTGCTCACAACTGCGGTCCATGTGCCTTGTTTTGCACAAATAAATGAAGAGAGTCAAGAGAGTGAGTGGGGACTTGAGTTCAAGTTTGGGCACGACTTTCGCCTTTTTGGACCGCTACTGAAATCAATTCCGTTGAGTGCCAGGATGGGCTAGACAGGGCCTTATAATTCCCATAATCAGGCCTATAACGGTTACAATCCTGCTACGAAAAAAGTGTCGCCCAGGGCTCCCGTGCAGGCCCAAAGTCCATCTGCTGAGAAGGATCCCGCTTTCAACGCTTTGCCTTCCTCTATATCCCCCTTGGGAATATTTTTTTCATATACAACTCAAGAGGATATTAAAAACATTGTTTTTATTAAGGTTCTAAGGGGAGTATAGTCCTTTGAGGACTTTGTCAACGAGCAGCGGTTTGCTTCTTTTTTCAGACTTGCCGATCGTGAATGTTTCCTCTTTGTTGTTTTTGATAGAATGGGCCAAAAGTCCTTCCCATGCTGAGAAGGACATGCCTTCCTTTGATGACTTTGTCAACGAGGAGCGGTTTGCGTCGTTTTCAGAATTGTCGATCGTGATCGCTACCCTAAACCTTTAAATCCTAAACCCTAAACCCTAAACCCTTTTTTTGTTACGCGTTCAGGGCCGACTCATCCCATTAAATTGATCGTCGCCCTGCTAGGATTGACTGGCTGGCTTTGTCGACGAGGAGCATGTGGCTTTACTTAGTTGTAGAGTAGGTAGCCTTTAAGCTTTTTGGGGTAATATAATCCCCTTAGAATCCCAAAGGTTAACTAGTTTGCCCTAGGTACTGGACAACTACCCTAAACCCTAAACCCTAAACCCTAAACCCTGAACCCTGAACCCTGAACCCTGAACCCTGAACCCTGAACCCTGAACCCTGAACCGTAACCCTAAACCCTAAACCATGGATGTGGCGTACAATGTCCAGCCACCGCTGGAGACCTAAAGCGAAATGTGGGCTTACGGTGTACGATGCTCGGGGTACATACATTGGGGTCCGTACTATAAGGGAATCCTACTATTGGGTGTTAGGTTCAAGTCGTATCTGATAACAGCCCTTCGTTCAAGAGTTGTTGGGCCACTTGTCTGAAGCTCGCTATCATTATCTCACCCTTGCAGGACGATGCTTGATGCCTGAGATTGCTTTCACCTTGCAGCAGGGGGCACACGTGGAAATGATGGAGAGCGTTTCCCATTTCATTTCAGGAAATGACCATCATAATTAGTTCGGTTTTTCTGCCCACAAGAAGGTTTTTTCTCTATCTAAGCAGAAGGAGGTTCGTTCCAAAATCATGACAATGAGCAACACGAAAAATAGTAATGGTAATGGAAATTCAATTGATATTGGAAATCGGAAATGGTGGCACAATACAATAGGTCGAATCCTCCCTCTTATAAGGTAAGGGTTTGAGTGTGTAAGGGTTTGGGTTTAGGGCTTGAAATGAAAACAACTCAGCCAATCCAAAAACTATGCCTCTCTTCAACTCCTTCCAAAACAAGAATCATCATCGGTCCCCTTTCCCCTGAAGTTTAAAAAATGGTTCGCACGTGCCCTCCCTTGCAGCTTTGCACTTACTCCCTTTTTGCTTCGGCTGTACAGTCGGTTGTCATTTCAAGTGTCATCGATTCAGCTTGATTCGCAGCAGCTTCGGCCATGCGGTAGTCGCAAAAAGGCGCTCCTAAACCCTAAACCCTACACCCTAAACCCTAGACCCTAAACCGTGGCTCCGAATCCGAGCCTCGCCATCGTTCACCCTGGCCCTGAACTGAACCCTGAACTTAGGGGTACTTGGAAGTGTTTTTTACTTCTTGGTGACTGTAATCCCTGAAGGAGAAGCTAAAATCATATGAGTGCCAAGTTCAGTATAGTGAAGACACCGTGCTTCGAAACCCGGACCCTCAACTGCAGCTTTTCATGCAGAGGTAGAAGGTGCCAAGAGCAAGGCTGGAACCCAAAATGCCCTGAGCCTTTAACCCAAAACTCAAAGTAAAAAAGAAACTAAATCCCATGACCCATGACCCTAAACCCTCACCCACGAGACTTCCCTAAACGCCGAAGGCCAGCGCAACCGGCTCCAGGTCCCTTTCCCCTCACGCTCGGCTTGAAGACCAATGCACCATGAGTCCAAAGCAGACAGCCCTAAGCCCTGCCTTTCAGGTTTAGGGCTTAGGGTTGGATGAAGAAGACATATGGGGCATCCTTCTTAAGGTGAACCTCTACCAGGATTGCCCTTGGGGATTTGACCAGATTCCCACTTATTGAGTTATACGTCTTTTACCCTGCAGGGGCATCAAGAAAGCAGTCACTCGCCTTGCCTCCCCCTACCCTCCCCAGCCCTGATTCTGGGTTTGGGTTTAGGGTTTAGGGCCGCAGCCATGCAGTCAGCGAATGTCAGCGCGATCAAACCTCAGACTTCGCAGGCCAGGGGCTCGACGTCCTGCATCCTTGCTTGACCTACTGGTTCGCAGGATTACTAGAGGGTGCCATCGATTGGCATACCAAGTCCCTATACCCCAAGAGCCATTCTCGTTGCAACTTGGTAGTCTACAAGAATCAGAACCTCCCTGAAGAGGAATCCCCTCCTAAACCCTAGCCCCTAAACCCGGGCCTCAAACCCTAGAAACTTTAGTTTTGGGAACCCTGCCTGACTTGAGGGCCTATGGGAAGGATCCAAAAAGTAGTTCCCCTTTAAGGGTTCCTAAGAATAACCCAATAGTAGTCTAGGGTACTATTTGGTGTTTTTTTGGATCCTCCCAAGGGTGGGCCTAGGTCCCCATAGGGCGGATAGAGTGGGCACTCAACTTCGCATCGCCGGCCGTGTCTTTAGTGGTTTTGGCAACAACTGGTCGATATTGAGTTCCAGAGTCGGGCCTAGCACTGGTCGCAAACCTAGCCCCTGAAAGCTTTCGCTGCAACATGGAGACCCTTGGTACTTAGAGGGCCGAGAGACAGCTCATGATCTACGCTGTGTCGACCTTTTGCCTGAAGCTCTACCTGAAGCCCCTGACCGCTAGCCACACCTGCGGGCACCAGAACCCCGCACTTAATAAGCACAGTAGCAACCTCATAGGAACATAGTCCAAGTTTTCTTGACAGAGTCAGCAACAAACATCTTACCTGTAGCGTGAATCAAGGTGCCTACATGGCCTAACACTTTCGCAGCATGCAGTTCCCCAGACCCCTGTGAGGATCCACAAAGTAGAGCCCCCAAATAGTACCCCATACTGCTATTGGGCCATTCTTGGGAACCCTCTTTTTGGAACCCAAATCGTACCCTATACTACTATTAGGGTCCTTCTTCGGAACCCTTAAAAAGGGGATCTACTTTTTGGATTCTCCCTGAGGGTCTGGGTTCCCCAAAGCCCTCGATGGACCGGCGGCGCTGCGCGCTTCGCGGGCTCGGCGTGAGCCTGCTGATGCTGAACTGGGCCGGCTTGGCCAAGGCACCTCTTCAACAGAAATGCCAGGAAAGGTCGCAGAATCATGCCATTTATTAGCAAGCATGCTAAGGTCAATTATTGTAAGATTCCCTAAAAACCCTAAGAAACCTTAACAAAAAAACTAGTATTGTTTTCATCGTGTTCAAGGTGATGCTCCTTAATCAAGAACTCACGCTGCCTGCACGAGCGTGTAGTCGACATTCTCAAGAAACCACAGGTTTTAGGGTCTAGGGTTTAGGGTCTAGGGTTTAGGGTTTAGGGTTTAGGGGTTAGGGGTTAGGGGTTAGGGTTTAGGGTTTAGGCCTCAACCTCATGCAAGTTTGTGGTCACTAGTCCGGGGGGCGGGGGGGGGACCCTTGGAGGCAGCGACCGACAAGACATGCGGACGTCCACTACCCACTACTGATTCTGCAAAGTTCCCAAAGAGCCTACCAGAATTCCTTCAATTTTGGAGTTGTCATTGACTTGTAGCATGGGTCCTAACTAATTTCAGGAACACTCCTTCAGCTGAATTTCAGGGTCTCTGGGCTCGTCTGCGGGCAAGCAGCGGCTTGGGGCAGGTAAGGACTGAAAATAGCGCCCCCAGAACATCCTCCACAGGGTGTAGGGTTCTACTTCAGTGTCGATTCAGGTAATGAACTTGTAATCCGTCCTGGCTGACTCGCTGCAGACCAGCTGAACATCAAAACGAGCCACAGGTTCATCTTAGTTGCAGAGCATGTAACCTTTAACCTTTATGGTGCAATAAAGTCCCTTAGAATCCCAACTCTAAACCCTAAACCCTAAACTAAGTCATGGATCCTTCCAAGTGGCTGTCTTTGGGCAAGCGCAATACATCACAGCCATCCTCCTCACAGAAACCCTGTAACTTAAAGCCGGCGACACGGCAAAAAACGAAACATCTATTGGTGGCAGCATAGCAAAACCGCAGCTTTCAGGGTTCAGGGTTTAGGGGTAAAACCGCGAGCCTGGAGAGGAAGCAGTAGTTTACTCGGAGATCTGAGATCCAGGGATTCTTTGCAACGGGCGAACTTTAGGATTCTCTGCATCGGACGGACCCTAACACCCTATCCTGACCCCTTCAGGTAGCCCCCCCTACTACTAGAGTTACCTAATTAGAATTTAGGGCCCTTATATGTCCGGCCGGGCTCTAGCCAAAGGCTCCTATGTAGTACCTCTTTGGGGTAGTACACTAGAATCCCCAACAACAAACCCAAAAAAGGTGCTACACAGCAGCCTTTGGATGCCTTGCCCGCGCTTTCTCAACCCTAAACCCTAAACCCTAAACCCTAAACCCTAAACCCTAAACCCTAAACCCTAAACCGCACTTCGATGGACAGGTGTTGCCGGCATCGGCGGCGCCGTTGGCAGGGGCGAGAGGCTTGGGTGTGCACGTCTACGACCACTGCCCGTTGCTCGGCCGGCACGAGAACCGCCAAACCACCCGCCTTTTTTCGTGTGGTTTATACAAAAAGGGTGCCTCAGAATCCTTGAGGGGCTGGAAATTTAAAGTGATAGCAGCTACAACTCTCAAGAAAGTAGGTAGCGGGTGATTTTTTTGAGGGTGCTTCTTCATTCGGCCACTGCTTGCTGAGGTACTGCACTCGTGTGGAGCCTTAGATCGCCAAAGGCATACCCCAGACCCCTGGGAGGATCCTTACAAGTTGTACCCTCCTCCATACTACTAGTGGGTCATTCTTAGGAACCCTTAAAGGGGATGTACTTTTTGGATCCTCCCAGGGGTCTGGGACCATTTGTTTTTGTTTAAGAGGCTTTGCGTGCAGCTTTGGATGCCTCGGGTATCAGCAAACCGAAGCCGTAAGGAGCTTGTTCTTGGCTGGCACGGCCTGGAATCCCAGCGCTCCGTGCATTTCTGCTGCAGCCAAGTCTTAGCGGAAGCCAAGACCGTTTAAGTAGAATTAAGGAACAGTTTCCTTAAGTTACATCAGGACCCTTCGTGCAACGTAAGGAGATGCATTTGGGCACATAGCGGCATAGCTCCGTGTCGTTGCTGCTTTTCTGTTTCTTTATTCTGATCTGGATTCCGAAGTTCAATTTCCTACTCCGCAACACAAAAACTCAAACCGGACAAAATATGTTTATCAGCCCAAGACAGCCGGCGCTTCAGCCCGTAATCATAGCCCTACACCCCGAACCCCAAACCCTGCGAGGCTCCAGGCAGGTGGCAAAGAAGACCCCAAACCCGAAAATAACCCTAAAAAAGTTATGGGCCACAGAGAATCCTAGAGACTTTGGGGTACCCAAGCCCAGGGTGTCCTCAGCCAGGGCCATGTGACAAGGAAGTCGAATAGGACGTCCTGCCCTCAAAGCAAATCTGAAAAGGCAGTTTAGGGTGAACTAGGGTTTAGGGGCAATAAAAAGGTACGGCTATGCTGACGTGGCCGGGCCCACTGCGCTGATCGGGAAGAAGATGCTTCCAGTTCTGACCTGGCACGACCGGGAAGGGAAGGACGAGTTTGGAAAACTGGAGTGAGACAGTAGGCACTAGTGTGGGGGTTTGAGGGTTTAGCTTGTTTGGGATTCCGTCTTTAGGGGAGTATACACTATGGTGTCCTTGTCATCATGGAAGGGTGGGCTATGAGGCCTTCCTTGTCATGCCAAGAATATCTAGAATGAAAAAAAATAGGCGCCATCTTTGGGGATGGTAGGCCATGGGATGTGGTAGCCCTAAACCCTAAACCCTATAAACCCTAAACCCTAAACCCTAAACACAGCCAGGAACACAAAATGTCTGAGTCTCTGGACATCATCGAAGCCATCGAGTCCTCACGGGAGTCTACAACAGGCCGACTGATCGCGCGCCGCACGGGGCGCAAGGATCTCAAGGCGTGGCAGTCAAAGCTGCGACGAGCCACTCGGCCCTTTGGAGAGTTTTCATATGTTTTTTCCTCTCTTACTGGGGTTTAATGAAAGAGGATGAGAATTTCGGATTTTGTTCAGAGGTTTTCCCTTAATTATTGGATTTAGGAGGATCATATTTAGGACTGTCTTTTCTTTAGCCCCTAAACCCTAAACCCTAAACGAGGGTTCTATTCGGGCCCTCCGAGGTCCCTAATTAAACCCTAAACCCTAAACCCTAAACCCTAAACCCTTTGTTTCAAGAAGGTTCTATTACCCACCTCCGAGGTCATGCATGGACTCACCAGGCCAAGGTTGCTGCAGATGCCCATTGCGGATTTTGCCACGCAGGCAGACAGTTTCCGAGCTCTTTTTGTAGGTAATGAGGGAATTGTACAGGGCCCTATATATATATATATGTATATGTACCCTTTAAGGGATTGCATGGAGTATCTATATATATATATATGTAGAGTTATTATTTATTTATACCCTTTAAGGAAGTATATAGGGTATCTATATCTACCTTTAAGGGATTATGAATGGTAGCTCATTCCCTCATCCCCTAGTTCTTAGTAGGGAATGAGGGGAGTTGGGCCCTACAAAAACCCTTTAAGGGATTCTATAGGGTACCCCTAAACCCTAAACCCTAAAACCTAAAATCCCTACGAAGAACCAGGCAGACAGGCAGTACCAGATGGACAAGTACGTCGCGAAAGGCTTTAACTACGAAAGAGCGCTGGCAGACACGAACAAACTGGTTCCACGGGTGAATGCGCTTCTACTTGACTTTGCCGAGCTTCTGCGGTCTGAAAAATCGCTGAACGCTGCTGGGCACTCCTGGGATGATCTTTATGTTCTCCCTTCACTTCGCGTGCTGAGCTGTGTCAAGCCACTGGTGTGGCCGGCTAAAGTGCGAGGCTACGTAGAGCAGAATCATGCGGATGCCGGTGTGGCATGTTACTTCGAGCATGCATGCTGATGCTCCGAAAATAAGGCGTGAAGAGCTGTACAGCTGTTGGCTCACCTGCTGTCATATCTGGATTCTTGATGGCTTTCTCTCATAGACCACTAGCTGTCCAGTTTCGGTGGCTCCTGTGGTCAAGGTCCCTGAGGTTGCATTCTTTATTCCTGCAACGGTCTTTGCAGCACGGCGAGCCTGAACGAGGTTCAGGCATAGGCATCGTCTCGAGCTTGTCCTGAGGTGCGTTGATGGCGAACTTCTCGGGCCGTGGCATTCTGTGAAGGAAGCCAGGCGTGGCCGCGAGGGCTTGCGCGAGGGAGTTTGAGAAGCGGTGGGCATCTCCAACAACAATCAGGTCATAAGGAACGTCCAGAATCTGCACCCAAAACCCTAAACCCTAATGAAACCCTAAACCCTAAGCCAACAAAAGCCCATGCCTGGAGCATACATTGCTGACATGCCTGTGGCGCGCATGCCCGACCCCTTTTTTTGACAGTCCTTTATGGGGATTCTAGCAATCCCTATTAAGGAGTGTTCGTGAATGGACAGTCCTTAATGGGGATTATAGGAATCCCTATTAAGGAGTGTTAGTGTAAGGGGGAACTTGCCAATGTAGGTCATTTCTCAAAATTGGGGCGGGGGAGGGGGGCGGGTGTCCTCATAGGACCCCCGAATAGGTACCCTAACCTTGGGGCCCTCCCCTAGTGTGGCCTCCGTCAGCGATGACTAGGTTTGCCCTAGGGACATGTTTTGTTTTCCCTTATGAGGTGTTTAGTGTTTAGGGTTTAGGGTTTAGAGCGTCAACTACGCAGATGAGTTGCAGAGAGTTGCACACCGTCGTACTGTGAGGGCCCTACTTTTGTGATCCTAATCCTGGCGAGGTTGGGGCAGTGCCTGCACATCTTGAACGGCTGCAAACAAGCTCTGAGAGTGCCGAAGGGTTCCAAAGAAAAGGTCGTCGATGACTTTGTTTAGTGGGAATGGAGGGCTGGGTGGAGGTCGAAGGGATAGGGTGAGATCTCTACGTCATCATACGGGGTCGTATTGTTATAGTTGAGGCTCCCCAAAGTCCATACTATAGGGATGAAACGAGGTACCCGAAAACTTAACCTTTGGGAACCTACTAATGCGTTAGGGGGGCCCCTAGGCAAGTAGACGTATCAGGGCCTAAAATGGGTTCCAGGTACGATCATATTCCAGGCATACATATAGAGAAAGACACAGAGAGAGCAAAGCGGGAGCGGGGCGCGCTGTCGCGCGGGGGGCCCTGGGCTCCTCAAGCCCCTAAGAAAGAAAGAAAGAAAGGAGAGAGAGAGAGAGAGAGAGAGACAGAGAGAGAGAGAGGGACAGAGAGTTGAGTTGGCATAGTCCACAAGGGCCTCGTGCAGCAATGGTCATACGGTCTGCCAATCGGGTCCATATTTTGGGGGTTTATTTTGGGGAGTCAAACACACCACAGAAAAGGAGCACAAGGGCCAGCTGGGCCATCACCAAGCTCACTGACTTTGGGGGGTTAAAGGGTTAGGGTGGTCGACTGTGCACGACGTTTGCCGGGTGCTGCTTGCCCATGACACCCCACCCTAACCCCTAAACCCTAAACCCTAAACCCTAAACCCTAAACCCTAAACCCTAAACCCTAAACCCTAAACCCTAAACCCTAAACCCTAAACCTGCATGCCAAGCAGTGTAGCAGCTGCTTGGCAGTTGAAACTTGCATGACCGGCCCGGCCGGGCAGTTCCTCTGGCCAGCTGAGCAGGAGCGTCGAAATCCTCATGACTCATGACTGGCTTCGGCTCAAGACAGAACAGTCCATCTGGCGTAACTAGCCCGCAGACTGTATAGTTGCAATGAAGTTTGGGCAATATGCCCTCCTGCTATCCGTTGCCCTAGCTAGGCAACTGACGATTCGCAGCGTTGGAAAGGACGTGTCAGAAGCGACTACCGTTCAGTCATGCGACAATTTACGGTGCCCCAGAGCGTGGCTACCGAAACTCAATCACCACACCTTGACCGGCAACAGGGTGGAGGATTGTTGTGAGAAGTCCTGCAAGCTCTTTACATGCACAGGAATCTACCGTACCAATCCGGCCTACTGGGACAACGTCGGGAACTCCCCTCAGGTGTGCTGCGACCAAACGTGCGGGTCCGATTTCGAGTGTGATGCAGGATACGTTTTAGCAGATGCAACGGCCCCTGGCGTGAGCAACTGGGCAGTGGTGGGTGATGGTGGGTAATGCTGGGAGTTGTGGGCACTTGTGGTATTGGTGGGTACTGGTCGGTAATGCTGTGTGTGCAGGTGGGTAATGAATGCTGGGTAGTTGTGTAATTGTGGGTCATGGTGTGTCGTGGTGGGGAATGCTGGGTCATGGTGGGATGTTTTATTTGTTCCCTCCCTTACTATTGGTGTAGAGAAGGCAATATGTAATTTAATCCCTTCCCCCTAATACTAAAACCTCCCCTAATTTTAGATATTATTTTCCCCGGACCCCCCCCGGCAGCCAGCCCAATACTAAACCTGTTTGAGAATTAGGGGGGGGGGGTTGAGGGCCTTCGCCCTTGAGTTCTTGAGTTGAGCCATTAGGGTTTCAGGTTTAGGGTTCAGGGTTTAGGGTTTTAGGGTTTCAGGGTTTAGGGTTCAGGATTTAGGGTTTAGGGTGAGGGTTTAGGGTTCAGGGTTTAGGGTTGAGGGTTTACTCGTCTTCGGCTTTGGCGTTTTATTAGGTTTCGGAATTCAGGTTTTAGGATTTAGACCCCCCCTAATTTTAAATATTTTTCGGGCCCAGACGAATTTCAGAATTGGGGGGGGGGGGGGGGGGGGGGGGGGGGGGGGGGGGTTTTAGTATTAGGGGGAAGGGATTATGCCATATCTTGCAGCGTCGTTTAGTAAGTGCCATCCCAGGCAAGGAGGAGTGCTGCAAGCCCAAGTGCGAGCTCTTCAGCTGCGAAGCACCTTGGGCACCGAGCGTTGCGAAGAAGGACGTGGTCTCCAGCGCTGCTGAGGATTGCTGTGACCAAACATGTGCGGCTGTGAACTGCTCTGCCTCGGGTTGGGCTGTGAATGAGAGCAAGGCTCTCGTTGTTGGCAGCTCTGTCCAGGATTGCTGCACGCCGACGTGCAGCAACACTGCGCAGGTGACATGCCCCACCGGCTTTGCCGTGAAGCCAGAAGACGTGAACAAGACGGAGGGATGCTGCCAGAAACAGTGCAAAGCGCACAAATGCAGCGATGGCTGGACAGATGACGACTCTAAGGCCGATGACTTTGCCGACTCTGATGAGGCTTGCTGCGTGAAGACCTGCAAGCAGTTTCTATATCCCCCTTGGGATTTTTTCATTTTTGTTTATATAAAACCCAAGAGGATATTAAACATGTTTTTATTATGGTTCAAAGGGGAGTATAGGTTTGAGTGCCCTGCGGAAGACGGTTGGGCACCATGGGAGTCTGTGGCAAACGACATCGGCAACAACGTCACGCAGTGTTGCCTTCCCACATGCAAGCAGTTCACCTGCAACGCAACGGAGGGCTGGCTTCCAGCTCCCAAAAATGGCAAGGACAATGTAGTCGGTTCAACCAGCAGCGCTTGCTGCGTTCCGGCTTGCAGCAGCTACAGCTGCAGCCCGGACAAGGGGCTCATGCAAATCCCTGATGCCGCGAAGATTCCTGGCGCAAGCGACGAGCTCTGCTGTGAAAGCGCCAAGTGTGACAGAGTGAGAAAGAACATGACCGAGCTGGGCAAGGACGAGTACTGCAACAGTCTATCGGCAGATGACTGCGAGAAGAAGTTTATCAAGTACAAGTCCAAGACCGAGGTCAAGGCCTCGAACGGCAAGGTCGCGGCCACGGCCAAATCGACCCACATTGTGTCGTGCACCTACAACACAACCTACCAGCTTTGCCGCTATGACACGGACCGAGAAATCAAGGGCGGCTGCAGTGGTGTCTGAGACATATTGCACCAAGCTTCGCACGACGGATCGACGCGTGACGCATCGACATAAAAGAAAGATATGCGGGATGCTCCCTTTTCGGATGTTTTTCATATGCTGGATGTTAGGTTTTCTTTGGGTTTCTTGAGCTGAAGTCGGGGGATCTCAGTACACGGACTCGTAACGAGGGTATTTGTCTCTGGCTTTCCCCCGACCTTCAGGTGTTGTCTTCCTGGGTCTGTTTGTCAGTCATGCCGCGTTTGTCGCGATCTGCCCTTGATGAGATCTCTTGATCAGGGGCGCCGTAAGGGCCCATTCGACCCTTGCCTAAGCCGTCGTGTGCGCGTCAGCATCGAAGCCCAAACCCTTTCTCCTAAACCCTCAACCCTATACAAGGCCCCGAAATCGCCAATCTCCTAGGCCGCTGCCGTCTGAGCCATGAGACGAAGCCACATATGTTACACGTGGTGGCGGGGTTTCAGGGGGAAAATACGAGTTCCCCTCTAAAAAGGGCCCGTACTAAGCGTTGGGCTTCTAGAACCCTCAACCCAACCCTAAACCGCAAAGAAGCACTAAACGCGTTGAACCCTGCGGGAAAGATGAGGTGCTTGCTGTGTCCAGGATGTCACAGGCGTGAGGGATCTTTGGCATTTAGGGTTTAGGGTTTAGGTTCGTAGCATTCAACACATAGTTCCACCCTAAGCCCTAAGCCCTCAAGGGCTATCCTCATGCAGCAAGACCGCAGACATGTTGCTATGAACTCGAAGAGGTTAAGGCCAAACGCTCTTCATGCCTCGAAGCCCTCTTAACTCCGGCGCGCTTTCCGGGCCATGAGCTGCGAACCTAGCTGCGCAGTGCCGGATGCAGCTTGCTTGACTTGGAGTTTATAGGGCTTGTAGGGGTTACAGAGTCTCTAGGGGTTTTAGAGATTCTACGCTTCACAGGCATAGGGTCCAAGGCTGCACAAACAGGGGGCGGTTATGGACGAGAGGTTTGATGGCTTTGGGGCTTTGGGCTTTTTCATCCTATGGTCCCCCCTTAACAACCCGGAGAAGTGGAACTTGAGGTAATCAGGTTCTTGCTTCATGTTCTTTGTGGTTGCAGGACTTCGGGCTCAAGCAAAGTCGGGTTCTTAAGGTGAGGCTTAGGGTTTAGGGCTTAGGGTTTAGGGTTTAGGCAAAAAGGGTTTAGGGAAGTTTGGCATTCGTGGCTTGGCTAGTTTCGGCATGGTCGTGGGCCTAGGGCGACTTCAGCCTCATTATCCTGGCATAGTACAGGAAGCCCCGTCAGCTTGCCAGGCGGCATAAGACAAAAACTTCGTCTCCAAGCCGAATACCCCGGAGGGGCTCCTAGACCTTCGAATTTCCCCATGATCGACCCTGTAAAGGGCTTTGTAAGGGGCTTATATCGGGTCCAATAGCCCATCTTAGACCTTGTAATCCCATGACCAACCGATAATTGCCATTTTTAAGGGGCTGAAAAAAGGGTCCAGAGGGGAAGGGCCTTTGTAAGGGGTTGGTCCAGTAGCCCATCTTGGTACGGCATTTGTCTTCCCCACTTGGGAGCCCAGGAGCTTGGACGTACCGCCGACGGTGAACTCCTGCAGCCGCCTGGATGCATTTGTGTGTAGCCCTAAACCCTCTAAAGCCGAAAACCCTACAACCCTGAACCCGAAAACCCTACAACCCTATACCCGAAACCCTCAACGCGAACTTTAACAAAGTTTTTAAGGCGAACTTTAACAAAGTTTTTTGTCCGGGTTGCTGCTGGCGAGCGCTTTTCAGGTATGTTAGCAACAAACGTTTTAGTTCCTCGGCTTCTAGGGTTCAGGGTTTAGGAACCAAGACTTTCAAATCCCTATGCCCTAACATTTGATTGTGGAATCCTGGAGACGAACAACTCTTGACTCTTGACGCTAGCTGCAGCTCACAAGGCACCACCAGCAGTCTGACCGAAGTCGCTGCTCGGCTAAGAGGTGGCGCCAGTTCCCGCTGCAAGCCGAACTGTCACAAGTTCTGTATAGGAAAAGGCCTTGGTCCCTCTACCCTTTTTGGTTCTGGGTTCCCTTATAAAGAAACCAGCCGTAAAAGGGGTACCTTCTCAGAATATGGTTACTAGGCTACTAAGAGGCCCGCGAAAAGTAAGACGTAACTTGTTGCCGAAGTCGACGCCTGAAAAGCTGTTTTGGCCCGCAGGTTAGAGCTGGACTTGGATCCAAGGAGACACCTCGAGTCAGGGTTTACGGTTTAGGGTTTAGGGTTTTGGGCACTGGTGGGCTCTGCTTGTTGGCTGCTGGTCCTGGTGTGCCTTTGGAGGTCCAGTCTGTTTGCACACGACCACTTTCTTGAAGTCGGTCTGGCTCACTTTGGCGCGTTGTGGGTCGTCAGCCTCATGCGGCATTGTGGGTCGAAACCACGAGTCGCCTAAATGCGGCCCATGACCATGTATGCCAGGGGGGCAACAACCCCAAAGTGCGCCCCAGAACCCCAGAACCCCAGAACCCCAGAACCCCAGAACCCCAGAACCCCAGAACCCCAAAACCCCAAAACCCCAAGACCCAAACCCCAAACCCCAAACCCCAAACCCCAAACCCCAAACCCCAAACCCCAAACCCCAAACCCTAAACCCTAAACCCTAAACCCTAAACCCCAAACCCAACCCAAAACCCCAAACCCTAAACCCTAAACCCTAAACCCTAAACCCTAAACCCTAAACCCTAAACCCTAAACCCTAAACCCTAAACCCTAAACCCCTAAGGCATGCTCTCCGGAGCCTGCTCATCCGCTCACCGCAACCGTCAGCGATCGGCCGACGCCGATCAGGCAAGGTCGGGGGGGGTTGAGGGACGTTTAGTGTTTAGGGTTTATAAGGGTTTAGGGTTTAGGGTTAGGGTTTAGGGTTTAGGGTTTAGGGTTGGGGTTTAGGGTTTAGGGTTTAGGGAGTTTAGGGTTTAGGGGGTTTAGGGTTGAAAACTACTAGTAATCGTTCCGACCTCTATAGTAAATAGGGTTCAGGGAGTTTAGGGTTTCGGGTTTAGGCCCGAGGGACTTTTCTTCCCAAGCTAGCCCAGAAGTGACAACCTTAAGCCGCAGACCTAAAGCCAAAGGCTCGCAGTTGCGGAGAGCAACATGGGTAATTCCCAAAATAGGGGTACCCCGTTTACACCCCAAATTGCATAGAATCCCCTTAAAGGTACGCCCCAAGCAGGGTATACCCCTATGTTCGGAAACCCGCAGGGAGGGAACCGTTCCCAAGGTGCACCCACCCGGAGCAGTTTGTAACATGAACGAGTCCCCCAACTCTTCCGAACCTTTATTACTCTGCACCCCACAACAAGTTTAAAGAATCTTCTTCCTCATAAGGGTAATACAGAGATGATTTGTTTTGTGAGGGGGGTTCTTATTCCAATAGTAGTATAGATGTTCACAGAACCACCCAATAGTAGTAGAGGTGTTCCCAGAACCACCCTGGAGCCCGCCAGACCCAAGAGAGGCGCACCACTCCACACAAGCGCCGAACCCGAAGCTCCCTGGCCAGCGCCATCACTGCCACACAGCCGGACAGGGTTTTGGGCCCTAAGCCCTATAAACCCTAAACCCTAAAAACCTTTTGGGATCTTGGGATGTTCCCCCTTAGTCCTTAATGGGGATTATCATGGGGGGGGGCCCAAAATACAAGAACTTAGTAGCTGAGTGAGTACACTTTACACCTTTTGGGATACTAGAATCCCCTCTAGAACTGAAAGTGTACACTTCTTTGGGGGCTTATGAACTCAGCAACTAAGACAATGGCCCTCTTATCGGTTTTGGGAGGCTTCTTTTACATACTTTGGGGTCCAGGTCAACCTCTAACCCTACAGAAGCATCCTGAAATTCCAGAACAATTTGGGTCTGCGCTCACTGTCCCTAAACCCCAAACCCTAAACCCTAAACCCTAAACCCTAAACCCTAAACAACAAGCCTCTCGAAACTTGGTTTTCCCCGGCAGGAGGTGGTGAGCCCGGTGGCGACGGAGATCGACTCTGACGCCGAGAGCGCGGCGCGGTCCCGATCGCGCGATCCGCGCCAGAGCCAGGAGCAGCAGGGTTTAGGGTTTAGGGTTTAGGGTTTGGGGTTTAGGGTTTAGGGTTTAGGGTTTAGGGCTTAGTACCTGCAAAGCCTGCTGCAAAAACAGGGTTTAGGGTTTGGGGTTCCTGCGGTTTAGGGGTATGGACTATGGGGATTGTGGGGGTGCTAGGGGTCTGAGGGCTGCATCGGTTCAGTCCGAGCGTTTATGCTTTTTGAAGCTTTTCAAGCCGGGAGGGAACAAAAGAGCTTAAGGGCTGGGTTCCGGCATTTTTGTTCCCAGACATTGGCCTGAACAAACTTTGGCTTGAGTGAGAGCAGCTTAGCGGTGGCAGGGGAGTGGGGGTGGCTGGTTGAACCGGGAGCTGTCGAAATCGCGCAAGAAAGCTGCCAGAAGATTAATTGCAACCCACCCGCAGATAAATCTCGCAGCCAGATCGAAAAGCCAGGCCACTCGTATTCCTCTCAGGGCCCGCTCGCAGCTGACTTCTGATGGCTGTTTCAAAGGGTCTCGAGCATGCTCTTGCCGATGATCGCCTTGATGGAGACCCCAAAACCGCAAACTTTGCTTGGGGTGCACTTTGATCTCCTCCATGTTCCCCGTGGGTCGACCTGGCGTGGAAGATTTACTGACGAGACGAGTGACGAGAGGCTTGTTTATCGTGGTGGTGTGGATGTGGCACATGTGCCCCTCCAGTGTAGTCACTGGCCGGTCGGGTGAAACCCTAAACCCCAAACCCTAAACCCTAAACCTTAAACCCTAACTGCGATCCCCTGAGCCCTACTCACAGGAGCCCCCTCAGCTTGCCAATGTTCCTGACGACGACCTGCTGGTGATGCTCGAGGCCCAACCCTTGAAACCTCACACCTACGGGGAGTTCTGTGTCGAGTCATGGCATGGTTTGTAAGTAGTATTTCTAGTTTGAAGTCCCCAAACTAGCAACAGTTAGTTAGAATCCGATCAACCCCCAAACTCACAACTCTCAAGAGACATATTGGGTGTCCCCGCGGTGCTAACGGATCCTCCAGGCAGCTGGCGCGGGTGCAAAGGGGTTTGGGTCCTAGGTGAAGGCGTTGGCAAGGTTTCTGTTGTGCCTAAACCCTAAACCACAAACACTAAACCAAATTTGGAGCTTGCCTTGGGAGTCAATCAGTCATGAGCCACCGTGTCGAAACCCGAAACCGCTGCCTGGCTTGGCTAGTGAGCTTTGAGCCACAGGCTCCAAAGCCATGGACACTGCCCTGAATTGTCTGCCTCCCCCGCCATGGGTGTCAGAGAGGGGTGCGGAAGCCCGACAGCCTGACCCTACATGGGTATCTCCCAAAAATATGGGTACCCTTTCTTCTACCCCCAAATAGAATAAGGATCCCCTTAACAGGGATCCCCACATAGGTACCCCCCAATTTTGGGAAGCTCCCTCCATAACCCTTGACCAGGTGCCAGACCCTCCACCCAGCGTCGGTGTGTCTGCGGCCACAGACGTAGACAAGACTACTGCCGTGCCCTTGGCAGCATCGTTGGGCAAACTGAACCCTTGCCTGGGACCCTTCTTACCGCCAGTTTTTATGAGTTCAACCTACGAATTGAGTAAGGGGTAGTTACTGTACTACTAAACTGTAGGTAAAGAAGTCCCAAGTAGTGCTTGTAGGCGCAGCATGGTCATCTAGGTGGGTAGCAAAAAACCAAAACATGAACAGATTCCCAGGGATGGTGCCGGGATAGCCATTTCGGCAATAGAGTCATATGGGTGGGTGTCAAAATAATGTCCCTTTTTGGGTCTCTATTGTAACACGGCACCTAATATTTAGGGTGCCCCAAAAGGGATCATAGTTTTGACAACCACCCTAAACCCTAACCTAAACCCGAAACCCAATATGGGGTGACCATGTGGGCTCGGGGACCCTTACAACTGGGACGACCCTGAGCAGGGTGGTGGGCCAGACCTTCTCATCTTGCCCGATTTGAGCGCACTTTGAAAGCTGTGCGCGAGCTTCATTGAGGGTACTTAGGAATTTAGGAGTAGGTCAAAAGCTCGATTGAGGGTCTTTTTAGGGTTCAGGCTCGAGGTCAAAAGAGGTCAGGAAGAATCGCATGATCCTTGCCTGGATGTGCCAGGCAGGATGTCCAGGCACACACACCTACGCACCAATGGTCAGAACAGTCAAGCCCAGAATTCATCAGCGTACTTTTTTGTTGTTTTTTCTATGTGACTCTATACTACTGGAAGAACCCCCCAAAACATAAAGCATGTTCTTCCTTATAAGGGCAATATGGGGATCATCATTTGTTATTTCCTGGGGTTCTTAAGCAAACTGTAGGGGACTGTTTATAGTGAATATAGGGGCCTGAGTGATTAGAATAGAGGTTTTGGGGTTATCATTATACAATAATTGTAGAATTACAAAAGGATCATAAGGGAATACTATCAGTACTTATTCCGACTCCTATAGTAGGTACCCGATAGTACCACTTATTCCCTTTCAAGGACTGTTAGGAAAAGGGGGAACATGGGGATGATTATCTTTTGCTTTCACTTTTTGGGTTCTGGAGCAAGTACTAGGACTGTTTGTCTTGGTAGCCCAGTGGTACCCTTTGTCCTTTTTTTTTTTGTTCTGGGGTCTCTTCTAAAATAAGCTAGCCAAAAAAGGGTGGCCTTGTTCTAATATGGTTGCTGGGCTGCCAAGTTGTAGTTATATACACCGAAGCCAGGCCGCGGCACCCGACGACCGCGCGGCTGCAGCGGCCGCGGCCGCCCGCTTCGCTGCCGAAGCTGCGGCCAAGGTTAGGGTTTAGGGTTCATAGGGTTCATAGGGTTCATAGGGTTCATAGGGTTCATAGGGTTCATAGGGTTCATAAGGTTTAGGGTTTACGAGGGGCGCGTTTCAGGTCTCAGGCTCATTGCACTTGTACTATGCGTTGGTTGGTTCTTGATAAGTTCTAAATCCTAAAGAAAGCTGCTGTAGGGTTCGAGACTTCGGGGAGTTGGCACATCATTGAAAAAGAGTATTCATGGCGCTCCCCTCTTGTGTTGAGCATTGTTGGCGGCCTTGTGATTTAGGCCAGAGCTGGGTAATGTGTCTTACCCAGTCATACCCAATCCCCCTGCTCTTCATGCGCGCCTGTCGACATGGCAGGCCCTTTCTCGGGGTGGTATAGTTTGCATGTCGACTTTTCGGCTCTTACCGCAGTCAGTGTGATGATGATGATGATGATGATGATGATGATGATGATGATGATGATGATGATGATGATGTATGTGTGTTTGTATCTATGTATGTATGCATGCATGCATGTCTCTGCAACAAATAAGCAAGGAAGTAAGTAAGTAAGTAAGGACGTCTATCTGTTGCTGTGCGGTCCTCTCACATTGCAGGTCCCGCAAGGGGCTCCGCAAGGGGCTCCGCAAGGGGCTCCGCAAGGGGCTCCGCAAGGGGCTCCGCAAGGGGCCCGCAAGGGGCCCCGCAAGGGGCTCCTGCAGCGGCAGCGGAGGAGGAGGAAGAGGAACCAGCGATTCGGATTTATGTGACAGCAGATGCGGCATCATTTCTGCGGTGCACAAAGGGAACGAGTCTTCTTCTCAATGCAGTCGAAACCCGAACTTACACTCCTGGCATGGTTTTGCCAGGACTTCACCTGGGTGACCGGCGGAGTTGTTCGGCCACTGGGTTGCTTTGGACTGATGTTCGTTCTATGCCTGTTGGCCCGCCGAAGAAGCGATAATTTCAGTCCGCGAGAAACGACACCCACCATTTGCCTTGTGGCGGCACTCTGAAAGTGGACCTCACCCCAACATCAGTATGAAACCCGAACTAAATTTTGAAGATAAACTGGGCTGAAGCGGTGAAAAACCTGAACCATCAGGCCTTGCAGCCCGGAAGCCTGTTTCTTGGATACCCGGATACCCTCAAACCTTCCTGTTTGTAAGCGCTGCATACCGAAGCCCTAAACCCCCATGTCCTAGGACCCAGAGTAGACCCTTAGGGTTTAGGGTTTAGGGTTTATTCCCCTTTTTCCCTTTTTTTAGGGTGCAGGCTCCCGTAGAAGACTTTCACCCACAAAGGGCACCCTTTTTCTTCCTAGGTTACTCCTGGGCCTATAAACCCTAAACCCTGAACCCTACAACAAAGCAACGACACTGAGACCATTGGAGCGGCTCATGTTCGGCGAGTCTCCACATCGCCTCTCCCGGGGGAGCAGCTGGGCTTCGTGACCCTAAACCCGAAACCCTAAACCCCAAACCCCAAACCCTAAACCCTAAACCCCAAACCCTGCACCCTAAACCCTAAACCCCAAACCTTATAAACCCTAAATTTAAACCTTCAACCCCAAACCTTATGAACCCTAAGCCCTAAATCCTAAGCCTGGTGCCAAAACAAGAATGCTAAGCCTGCCTTGCGTGAGGGTGAGCGTCGAAACCCTAAACCCTAAACCCCGGGCCGCTACGCGTGGGTTTTGAGAGCAACCCGCCAAGACCCCGAGCGCAGTTCCTTTCTTGGATACCTGACTGTCTTAATTATTCTCCTATCCGGACCATACAAGTTATCCAGGAAAGGCATTGAAGTGGAGGTCTTCGAACATCCTGCCGCTCAATAGTTGAGTGTTCTGGTTGAGGGATGAAGGAAAAGGGCTTAGGGTTTTGGGGACAAGGGTTTTTTGTCTGTAGGAACGGATGTTACACGGAACGATGCTCAGCGGAAACCTTGTCTGGGTTTTTGGCCGCAGGAGTATATGCAATTTTAGCCCCCAAGCAAGAGCCTGCCACCGTCTTCTGTCCCTGATCCCTCTTCAGCGGCACCCGCTCCTATGACTATTGTTACAGGCTTTACGGTTCAGGGTTTAGGGTTTAGGCTCCAGGCAGGCAGTGCAGCAGTCCTCGCCGGAAAAATGAAGGGTGTAGGGTTTAGGGTATAAAGCTCCTTCCACGCCCTCCCCAGAGGCCGCATTCTCGGGGCTCTCTTGGACACACCTCCCGACTTGGCGCCTCGGCTGTCAGGGCCCAGCAGGGCTTACGCTTGGAATCACTAGGTAGACCCTTGGGATCATGTATATTTTCCCTTATTTGAGTTGAAGAGGGTTCAGGAATATTTTTCAGAGGAGTTTAAGGGGCACCCTAGAGCAGAAAGTGAGAGCTTCTGCCGTACGCCCGGACAATTTGGTACCCCCCCAAGACTGGAACTACGATTGGAGGTCGAACTACCTGGGGCCCTTTTTGCCTACAGCTTTATGGGTTCTTACCTACTAATTAAGGGGCAGTTACTACTTGACTGTAAAAAAGGTAAGTGCAGCAGGCTGCGCAGCTCATCTTCGTGGATGTAGGGGGCACTTAGGGTCCAGGGCACTCGGAAATGCCCATTGCATGAAGGGGCTTGGGCAGGTTCGGAGCTTCGGACTTCTGCCCCGAAGCGCACAGGGAAAGCCAAAGTCGTCCTTGCTCTTGCCTTGTGTTTTTGTTTTGGGTTCAGGGTCTAGAGTAAAGTCCAGAGGAAAAGAAAAACATCACAAGGAAGTCAAGCTCGGAAAGTTGCTCCGGGCTGCCGATGCTGCAGATTATGTTCGACACAGCTTCAAGAATCCCGAACAACCTGTGTATTGGTTGTCTAAGAACTCTTTAAAGAATGCTTTCGAACTTTGACCTACAGAAGCGTTAGCCTTGGGATTCTCACAAAGTCCAGGGCCCAGTGTGGGCCCCCGTATTTCCAATTTGTTGGGGGAGTTTAGGTTCCCTGATAAGCCTCTTTCAACCAAAAAGGGTACCCCCTTTGACATTTTGGTTATTCTTGGGTCTGGCTAAAGCGTCACGCCTTCGAGGCTTCCAGTGGTTGAGGATTTTGGGGTTTATATCGTCTCAGGGCTTAGGGTTTATATAGGGCATCATAGGGTTTAGGGTTTAGGGTTTAGGGTTTAGGGTTTAGGGTTTGGGGTGCAGGGTTTCAGGGTCTTAGGGAAGTAGATCGGGGATCGACCCAGGTGGAGGACTCACCCGGCGCCCCAAGCAAGGCCCGCCCCAGCAAGAAGGCCGAGGGGATGGTGCCGCAGGATCTGCCTTTACTTAATCTTGTTCCCCTATACATACATATATATAGGGGTTATATACACATAGATACAGTATATATATTTATACATAAATTAACATATATATATATATATAGATACACCTTATGTAGTCCCTATATACCTAAGTAGCCCCTAAAAAACCCCTAAAGAACCCCCAAGGTCCCTTCCTTTAGTCCCTTGATGCCTGGGACCCTTCTTAACTACAATGTTATGGGTTCTACCTACGAATTAAGGGGTATCTACTAGCAAACCTGTAGGTAAATAGAGTCAGGTACAGAGGAACCCGATGTCAGAGTTCAGGGTTTGCCCAAGCAGCTGCGTTCCAGGCGAAAGCCAAACCAAACCCTTCAGCAGCAAATGGCAGCCGCGACACTGTGCCAGCGCCTCTCAATCCTCCCGTCACTTGGCTTGGATCAGGGGGTTGATGTCTTGAATCCTAAATTAATTACAAAGAATGCACGTCAATTCAGAACCAAATAGAACCCATAATTTAGACGAGCCCCTCATGTTCCATCTCTCCAACAGTGGTACGTAGGCCGGGATTATATGGCTACTTGGGAGTCTTGATAGAAGGGGCCGCAATATGATGAGGGGGCGCCATATAAGCGATCCAGAATCTTGAGAAGTGATCATGGAGCACCCCTAAGCCCTGAACCCTCAACCGTGCATGCCAAGAAACCCAAAACCTAAACCCGAAAGCCTTCAACCATGCATGTCAAGAAAGATGTCTGGAGCTCAACCTATTGAGTGCTTAGGGTTTGAAGGCTTCCGGTTTAGGGGGCTTTCTTTGCACAAGTCCAGATGAAAAGAAAGGACTGAAACGGTTTTGGGCTTCGGGTTCTTAGGGTTTTTGGGTTCAAGTTGGGGCTCAATAGGGTTTAGGGTTTAGGTTTCAGGGAGTTTAGGGTTTAGGGTTTAGAGTTTAGGGTTACTGGTTTAGGGTTTAGGGTTGAGGGTTTAGGGTTTAGGGTTTAGGGTGTAGGCTTTGAAGCCCGAAGCCCAGCCTTCTCCAAGGAAAGAAGGACGCAGCCGACGCCTCTGAGGCAGGAAAGCCGCCTTGAGGCCATCTGGGGGTTTCCGGAATTAGGGGTACCTTATTGTATGGTTTAGGGTTTAGGGTTTAGGGTTTTACTATGGGGATTATACTAGGGGGTACTATCATCCCAATTAAGGGCTGTGTGATACATGTAGGGGGGTTTCCGAAATTAGGGGGCCCTTATTGGGGTCCTTATTATAAGGGAACCTAGTATTCGGAGGTCTATTTCAAGGGGTCCGCTATTTTCGTAAACTCCGATCTGGTAAAAGCACACGCGTGGTCATGAACGCCCCGCATTCCACGAGGGTCGAGACCCTGAAGAATCCTCGCCCTAAACGGCAATTGTCAAACCCTAAACCCTCCAAATGATGACAGAGGTGCCTAGAGCTGCACCCTAAACTAAAGCTCCTTCTTTAAGGTAAACCCTCTTGACTCTATAAGGCCATCAGGAGGACTCTAAAGCGTCTTAGAGTTTAGGGTTCTTCACCTAAACCCTACAAAGCCCTAAGCCTTGAGGGTTTCAGGAGGGGAAAAAAGGTCCCTTAACCCTAAAACCCTATAACCCTATAACTCCTATAACTCCTTTCACCCTGAACCCTGACCCCCAAACCCGAAACTAAGCCTCAAAAGCCCTAAACCCGAAACCCTAAACCTTCTCCCGCGCTGCCCGTGTGAGAGTCGAAACCTTCTGGTGAGGCCCCTTCCCGGCCCATCTCCGTGAACGATCTTCGGAGAGCCGCGGAGTCGACCTGGTCGAGCCCTGGAAGGCTGCTTGGAACGTTTAGGGTTTAGGGTTTAGGGTTTAGGGTTTAGGTTTCGAAGTTCGTTTTTTTTTGGGAGGCTTACAGAGCTTGCGGAGTTTGGGGTTTGTGGTTTAGGGTTTGGGCCCACGGGAGTCCGGATGCAAAAAGGGTTTGGTCTAAGGGTTTAGGGTTTAGGGTATGGTTAGGGTTTAGGGTGTAGTTAGGGTTTAGGGCTTGTGAGGCCTACAGGGCTTGTGGGGTTGAGGGTCTAGGAGGCTTTGTTCAAAGGTTTGGGTTTTTCGGGTCCGCAGTCAGACCAAGAGCCCTAACACCCCCAAGCCCGCACATAGACACCAGCACTTCCTAATCGGCCTTTTTGTAAACCCTAAACCCTAAACCCCAACCCAAAACCCTATACACTACCCATTAGAGTAGAGGAGAGCAGTTGCTGAGGGCACGCCTTGGCATGGGAGTTCAGGGAATTTTGGTTTCGTCTCCGTTTACTTGGTGGCAGGTGTTAGGGTCAAGGGCCTTTCAGGTCAGAGCTGATGCTCCAGTTCCGAGTTATGGGATGTGAACGCCTGAAGGAGGGAACGCCCAACCTTCAACTTAGTCGATCTACAGGGTTTAGGCCAATGCCTTCGAGTTTTACGAGGGTACTTTCGAGGAGAGCTTTGAAGGCAGCGGACCAAGCGAGAAGGGTGCTATTTTCGAATCTGGCTGGCCTGGGTATAGGGTTGAAAGGTTTACAGGTTTGAAGATTCTAGGGCATCAGGGTTAAAGGGTATTGGGTTTAGGCTTGAATGCGTAGAATCAGCCGCGACTTGCACATGCCGGCATGGGCAACTCGTGGAAAGCTGGGCTTCGTACCACCCTTCAGATTGCACGTTTGTTGGATGAGCTCGTGGCAGGTAAGCTCCTTCGGCCGCGTGCGATCGTCCACTGGCCTGGTTAGCTACGGCTCTCTTAGTTGCACAGGGTATCGCCGCGTGCGAGTGGAAGGCAACTCTTACATGGTTCATCGTTTAGTGGCTGCTGCATTCCTCGGCCCGCCGCCAAGTGCCAACAAATGGCAAGTGAATCACATAGACAACGACAAGCTGCACAACCATGTTCGAAATCTAGAGTATGTCACTGCATCAGAGAATGTCCTTCACAGTTGGAGGACCAACATAACACGCCGTCCTGCTGCAAAGCTTGGCAAGGCTGTGCTTTGGCAGGCGTGCGGAGATGTCTCTTGGTCCCATTGCAATTCGCAGTCTGAAGCTGCACGCGTATTGGAGGTTCGGCAGGACTGCATATCACAGTGCTGCAGAGGGCTCACAGAACGCTGCCACGGGAATGGCACTTGGTTTAGATTCAAGTATGCGGACGACTGCAAGCCAGAGCCACTCGCACATGATGAGGTTTGGAAGCAGGCTAGACATGCAGGGGAGGATCTCATCATTCTGAATCTCTTAGTAAGCAGCCATGGTCGAGTTTATTCCGAAACATGCAAGCATCGATTCATCTCTAGGGGGTATTGTGGCCCTGCCGGCTACTATCTTGTGAAAAAGGCAGGCCGTGAATATCGTGTTCACCGCCTGGTTGCGGGGACCTTCCTTGGTCGGCCACCTTCACCAGATATGCACGTGCACCACAAGGATGCTGACCGAGGCAACAACCACGTGGAAAACCTGGAGTATGTAACACCGTCTCAGAACACGCTCCACGCATATTCTCGCCGCACCGAACATCAGAAGGCACGGATCAAAGGCAAGGTGGTGGAGGCACAGATGGGAACATCTGGTTCGTGGGCTTGGTTTGCATCGATCAAGGATGCCTCTGCACAGACCGGCGTCTGCAGAGATGTCATCTCCAGAATGTGTGCGGGACGGCGGGCATCTTCGGTTGGCCTCTGGAGCTTTCGGTTTCCAGCTGAGGAGACGTTCCCAGATGAGGAGTGGCGCTCGGTTGTTTTGGATGGAGCTCGCGCGCCAAGCGGCTCACGTCTTGGCTGCTTGGGACATGCCCCTTGACAGGAGAGGGAGCAAATTGCAAGTCAGGGGCCACGTGCACTGCTCGACAGCCAGGGAGGCCCGAGTCATCAGCTGGGCATGCAGGGAAACCAGTTTGGGCTATAGGATCGTTTGGGTCACCATGCTTGAGCCATGGAAGTCTTTGGGTCACCGTGTTTGGCTCTTAAACCTCAAAGCCCAAAGACAGCAAAGTCTCAATAATACCCTGGAAGCCAAAGACTTCCAAACCCTCCGCATGTCCTCCAACTGCCTCCCAAAGCCAGACTCCAGCACCCGTTCGCCGACCTTCTTTTGTCAGTCTTTTGTCTGTTTTGTCGGCTATATAGGGATAAGATGAAGGGTTCCTTCTAGGCATCCCTCCTTATGTACGTATACCTCAAACCCGAAACCCTAAACCCTATACCCTAAACCCTAAACCCAACTCGTAGCTCGAAGCTGCTGAGGCCCAGGTCGCGCATCGAGCGCCGCGCCATCTGGTTCCTGGAGCAGCCTGGCCCGCCTGGCTGCGACACGGAGCCTCTGACTGGAACTAGGGTTTAGGGTTTAGGGGAAGCCAGGTAGAAGGTCCCAGGCAGGCAGTGCAGCAGTCCTAGCCGTAAAAGGGGAAGCCAGGTCCCAGCAGCAATGAGCCCGGTTGCAAAAAAACAAGGGTTAAAGGCAAGAAGGCCCTGCTTTCAGGTGTTGCCGGCGGCCTCCTCAGTCCGTGCTTATAAGGGGTTTAGGGTGTCGGGTGTAGGACGGCTCCATTTCCAACCAGCAGGATATAGGCACTTGGGGTCCGGGATCCTAATACGGGTTTCGGGGGGCATGTTTGGAGAGAGGGTTTAGGGTCTAGGAGTCTAGGGTTAGGGTTTGAGGTTCGCTGAGGTATTTGGGGATCTAGAAAGTTGGGGTTTGCGGGTGGCGTCTCAGGGTTGAGGGGCCAGAGAGGCAACTTGCAGAGGGATGCAGCTCACGTAGTTGCCGCTTCAGAAATGTAGGATTTAGGGTTTAGGGTTTATGGTTTATAAATAACACCTGCACAGAGAGCCGCGGGGGAGAAGTTTCATGGCTTATAGTAGACCTACATTTGGGAGGTAACTCCCCTGTAGGAAACGAAGCATACTTAGAGGGTTCAGGGGCCAAGGCGTTCGGTAACTGTTACTGAAGACCCCATGGCACCCTACCTGTACTTACGGGATGCCCCCGCCCCCCAAACGATTTGGGGTTTAGAATTTAGGACTCAGGGTTTAGGGTGTTAGGGTTTGAGGGTTGTGGGACCCTAAACCCTAAACCCTAAACCCTAAACCCTAAACCCTAAACCCTTTAGTTTAGGGTTTAGGCCCTTTGCCGTTAGGAGCTGAGCCGTGTAGCTGTGGACGAGGAGGCCTTCTTGGAAGCTTGGCCGTCTTTGGGTTCCATAAGAGTCATAAATACATCAACCCCCCCATTCTTGGGGATACTTTGGAGTCTTTTGCTTTTTTGGGTAGTTTAATTATTAATTCCCAAGGAACAGCTAAAATTATATTTTTTTTATCAGGGTTTCAAGTTCAGTGTAGCATTTGGGTGCTTCCTGGGCCACGTGACCGATGTTGTTTCAGGAGCCCTGTCTGGAGCGAAGTAGTGATTGCAGTGGTGTTTTTTTAAACAGCCTGCGTTCGGCAACGTGTGCGTTCCAGTCACCGAAGCCTTCCCTGCTCATAATTCAGCCCCAGCCTGAAACCCTCAAGATCAAGATCAAGGGACTATAGGAGGGTCCCTAACAAGAGACCTTCGGGGTTATTTACGGGTTATTTGGGGGCTTCTTAGGCATATTACTATATAAGGTATATATAGGGGTTACATAGGGGAATAAGATCAAGGGTCCCTTCTAGGGGTCCCTCCTTATACACATTATCAAGAAGCCCTCAATCTGCAATTCGTCACCCTAAGGTCTGTCCGGGGCCAGCCACAGTCAATAGCTTCCTACAAGGGTTTGGGGTTTGGGGCCCCCACTAGGTTAAAGTTTAAAGATTTGGAGTTTAAGGATTACTTGGGGTGGAGGGTTTAGTTTGTGTCCGCACAGCTGCATTTTGCTTAAACCCTTTCCAGGGTCGCTGTTCACGCTGTCGCTTGGAGGATGAGCTCTCATGAAGTCCCGTATCCCCTTCCGCTAACATCTCCCCCCCAAACAAAAAAGTTGAGAGGATCCCTCCCAATGCCGTATGTTATACAATATGTTACACTGTTACAACTTTGCCTTTTACCTTGCTTTGGGCTTTTTCGTTTTTCTTTTTCAGGGAGGGCTGAACCCTAAATCCTAAACTAGCCTAAACCCGAAACCCTGAACTCCCTAAACTAGCCCTACACCCTAAACTCCCCGAACTCCCCAAACTTCCTAAACCCTAAACCTTATATAAACCCTAAACCCTCAACCCTCCTAAGCCCTTTTGTAGCCCTAAACCCTAAACCCTAAACCCTAAACCCTAAACCCTAAACCCTAAACCCAGGATGCGGCTCTCGAAGCCGCTTTGGAGGAGCTCCGGAAGAGGGGCGTCTCTCGCGGGGGGCCGGCGGCCGAAGCTCAGCTGCCTGCGGGTTCTGGGGGGTTTAGGGTTTAGGGTTTAGGGTTTAGGGTTTAGGGTTTAGGGTTTAGGGTTTAGGGTTGTCTGCGGGCTGTAGGGCTAAGGGTTCGTGGGGTTTGTAGGGTATACTTGTAGCGTATATAAGATTTTTGGAGGGTTTTGCAATTTTTAGGGTTTCAAAGGGGTTTAGGGTTTGTAGGGATTTAGAGTTTGTAGGGTTTTGGGTTAGGGTTTATAGGGTTGAGGCTTTATCCTGAATTAAGTCAACTCGTCCGGCTGTCGTAAGAAAATTCTGCGCGGGCGCTCCTTTAAAATCAATTGCCGGGCATCGCTGCCCCTTTTACACTTGTACAAACTCCTCCCTATTGAAGTCATATGAAACCCTTGGGCCGTGCAAACAAGGTGAAAGCCAACTTCGACTGCTCTGGGGGGGGGGGGGGGGGGGGGGGCAGACTAAACCGGGTGCAACAGTATAGGGCTTAGGGTTTATAGGGTTTGTAGGGTTGACAGGGTATACAGGGTTGATAGCGTGGATAGCGTTGATAGGGCTTATAGGTTTTATAGTGCTGGTAGGGTTTATAGGGTTTGTTAGGTTTATAGGCTTTATAGGGGTTGTAGGGTTTAGAGAGTTATAGGGTTTACGGGATTTTTGTGCTGGGGTGTTAGGGCGCGGGCGCTAGGATTTTTAGGGTGTTAGGGCTCATAGGGTTTAGGATGTTTTCAAAGTCCAGTTTTTTGGTGGTCACCCAAGAATCCCCAGGTCTGGGGCCCGCAAGATGAGTTTCGAATGGCCCCGAAATCATCCTTAATCATCCACAATCCTTTTTTCTGGGCGCCAGCCTACTTTACAAGACATGGGCGCATCGTCTGCGAAGTCCGCGGCCATACCTAGGATGGGTTTAGGGTTTTGGGGTTTAGGGGTTTAGGGTTTTGGGGTTTTGGGTTTTGGGTTTTGGACCACTCTTGCTTGAGGCGTCTTTGACAAGGGCCCTCGGACTCGGTGCGAATGGATCCTAAGCCCTCCAAAAGCCCCAAAACTTGCAAACCTCATAGCCTATACCCCTTGCAGCCCTTGTTCCACAAAGTTTCTCCAGTCAGGGGTGGCCTTCCCTGCACTACACTTTCATGCCATTTTCTGGGGCGCTTTCTCTAATTCCTGAACCCGAAGCCCCCAAAAACACAAACAAACGCACGCACGCACGCACGCACACACACACACACACACACAAAACTTGCAGGTCATTCTACACCCCAGCCTAGTTCCCCCCGCCCCCCCCCCCCCCACTTCCCCACCCTTTAATCCCCAGAATTAAAACCCCTAACAAACCAATTAAGCCTCAAGTCAAACCCTTTCACCTCTCTGCTTGAGCTTTCGAGTCTCCCTAAATGCCGAACCCTAAACACTAAGCCCTAAGCCCTAAACACTAAACCCTAAGCCCTAAACCCTAAACCCTAAATCGAGTCCGAGGCCGCCCAGCTCCTCCACAACTTCGGCCAGGCCGTCGGCGCGACCACCGCCGGCTTGCGTTGCGTTCCGCTGGACGCCGGGCGGGGTGTTGTGATGGGGGGTTTAGGGTTTAGGGGTTGGGGCTTGGGGTTTAGGATTTAGGGTTTAGGGGTTTTAGGGTGGTCAAAGAGCCACTGCCGATCCTGTAAGTGCAGTGGTCGCGGGCCATTGCCTCTTTTGTGCTGGCTGTGATGCCACGACAGGCCTGACATTGACTGAGCGCCTGTGAGAGAGAGAGAGGGGTTTTAGGGTTTTTAGGGTTTAGGGATGTTTAGGGTTTAGGTTTAGGGTTTTTAGGGTTTAGAGATGTTTAGTGTTTAGGGTGGGTTTTAGGGTTTAGGGATCAATGGTTCACCAGCACCAATTGATTGAGTTTTTTGTTTGGGGGAGTGGGGGGGGGGGGTGGAGTGCAGGAAGTACAGGGTTTGAGGTTTAGGGTGAGGGTTTAGAGTGGTAAGTCTGCGAATCAAAGTCTGCACATGACATCCTACATAACCCTTGCACACTTGAGCCCTGTCGCCCTTAACTTTCTACAGGTCCCAAGGCCCGCCGTTGACACTCCAAAACTCCCATGCCCCGCCCTGCTTTCTTCAGCCCTGAGCTCAACAGGTTCCTGTTTACTCGGAGGTCATGGGTACTTAAGACAAATAGGGTTATAGCCAGGGTAGTAAGAGTTGTGACTGGAAATAACCTTGTTTAGGGTGCCTATAACCCACAAATCACCCCTGAGCCTCCAAGTAGTTCAGGTGTGTTCAGGTGCGTATGTGAGGCTCAGGGTTTTGTGCAGTGTTGCGCATGGGACTCTGTGTTTGAGACAGCCGACGGTTTCGGGTGAGGGTCTAAAATTATTGTTGGGGTGCGGCGGAAACCAGGCGTACGAAGATCGGCAAAATACGGTGCCTCTTGTATGGGCCGTTTGCAGCACAAAGCATCAGCAACTCCAAAACTGCTTGCGCTCTGAAAATCAATGGCTCCGCCCCCTTGCTCCCAAAAGCCCCCAAAACACCCGAAACGCCCTAAACCCTGAACCCAATCCTGGAATACCAGAGAAGACAGCACCGAGAAAACCCTCTAAACCCTAAACCCTAAACAAAAGAACCCTGGCTGGCAAAAACAAAGAACGCAAAAACCCCTAAACCCTGAACCCTATCCCCCACCTCCTCCCAAGGATGGGGATCTTCACCGCTGCCTCCCTGCCGAGCTGCTGGGGGACCCCCGGGTGTCGGGGGCGCGTCTGCCTGGGCGCAGCTCGGGGAAGAGGCCGTTGAGTTGAGTGTGACGCGAAGCCCCCCCAACCCTTTTCGGGGGGTTCAGGTTTAGGGTTTAGGGGTACTGAGTACCCTGCTGCATATACATGAATCCACTGAATCACTGAAGAGCCCAAACCCTAAACCCTAAACCCCTTCCAGGGGTGGACCAGCACTTGCGGGCGCAGCCTTGCACCGCGTGGCCTGGGCTTGGAGGATGTTCAGGATGCCCTAAACCCCAAACCCTATAAACCCTGAACAACCCTTTTTTAACTTCGGGTGCCCCTGCGTGGGTTTTAGATAGAGGGGTTTAGGATTTGGAGGTTTAGGGTTTTCGAGTCTAGCTAGGGTTAGGCTTAGGGTTTGAGGCGCTGGGGTTCGCGGTTTGGGGCTTTGGGGTGTTGGGTTTGGGTTTAGGGCTTCGCGTTTAGGGCATTTGGGTTTAGGGCTTTAGGGGGGGGGGGGTTGGGGGGGGGGGGGGGGGGGGTTTGTAGGGTTCGAAGCTCGAGGTCTCTTATATTAGGCCATCCCGTTGCAAAAGAGGAGCGCGAAGGAACGCGGATGTGCATGAAGGTTCGGTTCAGGGCTCGGGCGGGTATGATGGCCAGCGTTTGGGGTGGGTTTGGCTCTCGGCCCGCGTGAGGCATGATCCGGGAAATTGCTGGTGCCGAGGAGTGTTTCGGTAGCTATGGTTCAGGTCAGGTGGGCAGGGTTTAGGGTTGAGGGTTGAGGATTGGGATGTTCCCCCCTGTACCTAACAGTCCTGAATAGGGATTAGAGTAGGGGGTACTGCAATCCCTATCAAGGAGCTGTTGGTATAAGGGGGAGCATCCCAAGGTTTGGGAAAAGGGCTGGGCTCAGGCAAAGGACGTGGTGAGGCAGATTCTGGACTCCATGTCGCCCGTGGTCTTCAAGATTGGCATCACGTGCACGCCCCTGATGCGCTTCTCAGCTGCAAGATTGGGGTTTCGGAGAGTTTGGGGTTTAGGGTTTAGTCAAGAGGGTTTAGGGTTTGGGGTTTGGGGTTTAGGGTTTAGGGTTTAGGGTTTAGGGAGGAAGCGTGTGAGGCCCTCCATCTTACGCTCACCTACTGTACTGCATCCTACAGTGTGTGTAAGGGCAGCGAGGAACGTGGATGCCAGGTTTAGGGTTTAAGGTTTAGGGTTTAGGGTTTAGGGTTTAGGGTTTAGGGTTAGGAGAAAGAAGGCTTCTCCTCGAACCCCCCAACAGCTCCTGACTGGGATGCGGCTCAGTGATAGCTAGACTCTAGCTAGACTAGACCTGCACAAGGTCTCCCTCAGCCCCTCCGCCTCTCCAGAAAGCCGTGTGGAGCGTCTCTCAGGCTTTCGCGCATACGATCGCGAAGGCTACCAGCAGATGCACCTCCTCCATGTGACGGAGGAGCCGACACGATCTTATTGTACTGCCTTGGGAGATGTGTCTCTAGACTCTGGCCTGCCGCTTTTTCTGTGTTTTTTTTCTCCGCTCGGGGGACTGGATGTTGTTGAAAGCTTGAGATGCCGAAGTCATGTTTGGCTACAGTAGGGCTTTGGGCTGAAGAGCTTTTGGCCCTCATTGCAGTTACACAAGAAGCTTCAGGCTTTGGGCTGTGGTGGGAGATGTATGGGGCGTCTAGGCCGTACGGGTTCAGGCTTGCGGGACTCCAGGCTTACAGCTGCTTCGGAGGCGGCTGAGTCATTGCCTTTGCACCCACCTGCTTAGCCGCAAAGAGTATGGAACATCAATTGTTCAACCTCTTCAACTAAACGAATTGGTGCTTAAGGGAGAGTGGAAGAGTGAATATAGGGACTCTTATAAAGGGATTATATAGGGACTACTATAGGGTTCACTCTTCCACTCTCCCTTAAGAATCAGTAAGTAAACCCCCCCCCCCCCCCAAATCCTAAATAGTCGGAGATGGGATGGACACCCGTGTTCATTTTGGCTTTGGCGATGCACAAACACTACTTGCAACCACTTCCAAGAAATACCGCCGGACCCCACATCCCGTCTGTTTCTTTCTCTGTCTCAAACATGTGTGCTATACCCAAAAACCTCGACCGAATACTGTACTCCCGTGGGCCCAGGAGCCCGGCCTGGTTCAAATGCTCGAAGCGGCACCGGGCCTGGCTGAAAGAGGGAGAGAGTGAGTGAGTGAGAGTTGTATTGTTCATGCCAGGGTTTGGGGTTAAGGGTTTAGGGGCGGAACTTGCTGTTTTCTCTCGGGCAGCCAATCTAAGAGGCGCATGAGGTAAAACATTGATGAGGTGCCCCTTTGGCCTTCGGAACACGAGTAGGGGAGCTAGATATTTCCTTCGCTGAAACCCTGGTATTCTGTGATATTTTGCTGAAATCCATTTCTCAAACATTTTTATTGGAAAGCTGTAGGGTTGTCGGGCGTAGACTGTAAGGATCAGGGATTTGGAAATTTATTGTCGCCAAAGCTCTTGGGGCCCCGGGGGCTTGCCCGAAACCGGGAAAAAAACATAGCTTTTTCTAGTTTTTTCTAGCTTTTTCTAGCTTTGGGGCCCCGGGGGCTTGCCCGAAAACCGGGAAAAACATAGCTTTTTCTAGCTTTTTCTAGTTTTTTCTAGCTTTTGCTAGCTTTTTCTAGCTTTTGCTAGCCTTGCCTAGCCTTCTCTAGCCTTTCGTAGCAGATCGGGGCCCGATTCCAGGAAGGATTTAGCGAGCCGGGGTCTGAAGACAGGAATGTCGTAGCAAGGTGGATGGCCAGCAAAAAAAGTCAAAGTCCACTTCTGATTGCCAGGAATCAGTATTGTATGAATGCGTAGATTTTAAGGCCGATGCCAGTAAGTAACGCCCAAACCTCAGGCGCCGACAGGTACAGTTTCAGATTAGATTTGATTGAAAAAGCAAGCTGTAGTTTCCTGCCGGCATCTTCTGTACAGGCCCTTCAAAGGCATGCTTCACCCCAGGAAATTCGTAGCTTATCTTAGCTTATCTTAGCTTATCTTAGCTTATATTAGCTTCTCCTAGCTTTGCCTAGCTTTCTCAGGTTTCCTTCAGTTTTCAGTGGAACGCATTGGAATTCTAGATTTTTCCGGTAATCCAAAGACGAGCCTGATCATTGTTTTACCTCATGTGTTCTTATGAGCCAAAGTGAGAATCCTAGTCCAAGGGGGAACATCCCAAGTAGCTAGTGCTTACCGTTGTCGGCTACTGTCCTGCTTGCCGAGGCTCTAATCTCGGAGTTCCAGGCCTGTCATTGGGTCGCCAGGTAACAAGTTTTTGCCCGAATATGTGTTGTTTTTGATGTAGTACGAGTCGACGAGTGCCGAGAGCAACCTGACATTGCGTTCTACTCTGGGTTCTTGTTGAGGCTTGGAAAGGGCGGGACCTGCGTGATTTTCAATGGTCTCCGCAGCTCATTTAGGCATTGAATGCTGCTACGGATCTCTGTGAGCTCCAAATAAAAGTGAAGAATTGAAGTCACGACACGATGGCGTATGAAGAGTATAGTGCTAGCTTCTCAGGGGTCCCAACCGGAGCGATAAGTTTGTGACACGTCACGTCTATCGTAGGAACAAACCCCCCCCCCCCCCCGCCCGCCAAAGCCATACAAAAGCATCCTAGACCCCTCGGTCGGCCACGCCCCCGCAATCAGGTGCCGAGTCTCGGCATTTGAACCCTTTCCAAGACCCCAAGACAGGCTCAGGTTTCCAGTTTCCGATAGAGACGTCACAAATGTTGGGGCTTGCAGGGAGGGGTCTTCTTGCACCGGTAGCATCCTATACGGGCCCAACAGCTGTCAGGCACCTCCATGTATAGGACCAAATAATCTAGGTTTGACATGACTGATTGCTTGTAGATTGCTTGCGATGCCCCCAACCCTGGGGGGGCACTGAAATTTTCATAAGAGTGCTACAAGTTAACACGCACCCTAAACCCCAAACCCAAACCTGGCCTCCCACCCCTTTCCCCGCCTTTCCCATGTAAGCAGGAGCGTCCTGGATGCCGCAACGTGGCCCGCGGCGGTGAAGGTCCAGTGGGCCGCGCTCCTCGGCTGCTTGAAAGCCTCCCAAACCCAAAAAAGTCCTTGAGGGTTTAGGGTTTAGGGTTTAGGGGCAGTCACCAAGTCCCAGTTGCAAAAGGGTCAAAAGGGTTTACCAGCATGAAGCTGGCAAGATTGTCCGGAGCCCAGTATTCAAAAGGGTCTACCAGTTTCAAGAAAGGTTTCACCCGGCACGTGCAGGGTGTTTTTTCGTTTCGGGGTCTCAGATGTGTACATAGATCATCATTGAAGCACTGGGAGACATGTCGTTCGGCAAAGCCTGAAGGTCCTAAGGACCTTAAGCCCTACACCTTAAACCCTAAAACACTTCAAACCCCAGGTCTCCAACCCTAGGCTTGTGTTGTGGAGCCCGGTCAACTCTAAGGGCTCGTTTCATGGGCTCTTAGTATGGTCCCTTACCTTCTTTTTTGGGTTCTGAAGTATGGGCCCTCGGGTTATGTAGGGTAGGCCCCCACCCCTTTAAGGGAACATGTAGCTACCTGAGAGAAGCCCTCAAGCCTCAACAAGGGCTTCGGCTCACTCGAACGAAAGAGGCAGGGAGTCCATACGTCCATCTCACTGTACCCTGAACCCTAAACCCTAAACCCTAAACCCTAAACCCTAAACCCTAAGGTAGACAACTCAGTCAAGTTACCTAAAGGCCCTTAAGCAGTTGGCCGCGGACGTCTGCTGTAGGGTATCGTGGAGGTGCCTCTGAAGTCAACGTCTTGAAAGTTTAGGGTTTAGGGTTTAGGGTTTGAAGTTTAGGGTTTATGGTTTAGGGTGTAGGGTTTAGGGTTAAGAGCTCAAGGGTGGGGTGGGGGCAGCATGTGCCATCTTGCAAGTCTGAAGCCCAAAGCTTCGAAGCAAAAACAACCGCCAAAACCAATCAAGCCCTAAACCCACCCAGACCCGAAACCCGAAACCCGAAACCCGAAACCCGAAACCCGAAACCCGAAACCCTAAACCCTAAACCCTAAACCCTAAACCCTAAACCCTAAACCCTAAACCCTAAACCCTAAACCCTAAACCCTAAACCCTAAACCCTAAACCCTAAACCCTAAACCCTAAACCCTAAACCCTAAACCCTAAACCCAAACAGAAGAAGCCACAAGGCGCCCTACTTCGCCTACCTCGTGGTGGTTGCCTGCGGCGATGGTGTGGGTATCCTCCAGAAGCGAGTCCGAAGGCTCCCTGTGGTTAGGGTTCACAGGGTTCACAGGGTTCACAGGGTTTTACAGTGTTTTGGGTTTACAGGGTTTTGGGTTTTTGGGGTTAGGGTGTCCTAGTGTGCAGGGTCGAGTGGTTAGGGAGTCCAAGTGTGGCTTTGGGATCCAGGAGTGAGGGTTTGAGGATTTGGTGTTTTTTAAGGGGTTTAGGGCGTGGTCCCCAGCTTGTTGGAGTGTCGTTTTTTGCTCGTTCTCTGATGATTGGGCAGAGACACATCCGGCGTAGTAAGGCGTTGAAACCCCGGTAGTTGGAGGGAGCTCCTTCCATACTCCCGTTAGAACCTCAATCAATCCAACATCTTTATAATTCCCTTGGTTTATTTAAATATTAACAAAACTCCTCAGGGGGCTAGCCTGAAGGCAGTTTCTGCAAGGCCCAGCACTGCCACCAGGTGTAGTAAACCCTAAACCCTTATCCCAAAACAACCCAGACTCTGCAGTTCCGAGGCTCACTGTTTATTTGGGTGAGAGCCGGCGGTTTTGAACGGACATCAATGGTAGGTCACCATTATTACGATGAACATGAGCCCATAGCCCAAGCCTGTACTCAGACACTTCGAAGCCTTGCGTGCGTGTGAGAGTCGAAACCCCCAGAACGCGCAGACAAGCCTGGAACTCACTCAAGCATCGAACCATAAACCGTATGGGGGCTTCCAAGCCTAGAAGAACATCCGTTGCAAGGAGCCAACTATGACTAGGATACTCCAAAAGTTTGGTACTTCCCCCCCCCCCCCCCCCCCCTCCCGCAAATAATCAAACATGGACCTGCGCTTGAGAGCCCCGCAACCCTGCAAGATTCAACCCGCAGCACGTACGGTTTGCCCACACGCACTAGTGGTTGCCCGTATGGTCTGCCCAGGGTTGAGGGTTGAGGGTTTAGGGTTTGTAGCCCTATAGGGCTTAGGGGTTTTTGTGATCGTAGCGCGCGGGCACACATCGCGTATACGCGCACTCGCGTCGCCAACTCCGGAATTCGCATCGCGAAGCTGCGTGTCCTGTCAAGCCCTCCGGAGTCCTGAAACCTCGGCAGGGGCGACGTTTTCGCATGTCGCAATGGGTCTCTAAAGCAATAGCACGGGCAAACCACAAGTACTGGCCGAAAAGTTAGGTACTTTACCCCCCCCCCCCCCCCAAAAAAAAAAAAAAAAAGACCTACACTTGAGGGTCTCGGTCAACCCATAAGCATGTGTGTAGACGCAGCGGTGGTCGGACTCCTGGCCAGGACTGCATGCAAGAGCGCTCCCAGCCGAAGGTGCGGCCCCGGCACGGAGCAAAAATCGGAGCTGCCACGGGCATGTGCCTGGGGGTTTGGGGTCGCAAAGGGTGCTGGACTCCTACGGGCCTGGAGCCGTAGAATTCGACAAGTTAATGTAAAGGCATGGGATTTCTTTGAGCGTGAGGGCGCAGGGTTTCGTACAGGCGCCTCAAGCAGTTTCTCAGAATCGAGGACCCATGGGGTGCAAGGATTCTAACCTGGGAAGCTTTGCCAAAAACTGAACCTGTGTGCACAAAGTGTTTCCGCGTTGCACCTGGTAGCTCTGTTGTTCACATGGAGGAGCGGGGGTTTCCCACAATGAGGGCCCCCTTTTTGGGGGTGCCCATTGTTCTTCGGGCCCCCAAACCCGTCTACAGCCCTTCTGGGATGGCCTACCGAGTGTCCTGGAGAGGTACTGTAACACAGTAAAGAGGTCCAGCATTACCCTATGTCAACCCTATACATCTGAGCTCGAGGTTGAAGGGAACTCGGACAGCAAGGGCTGAGGCTTCTGCTGAGTTCAGCAAGGTTTCGTCGAGAGTTTAGGGGGTTTTCTGGGATCTCTGGGTCCTTGCGCTCTCAGCACTCAGCACCCACAGTGATGTTGCCCTCCCTTGGATAGATTTTCAGCCGTGGGGCTGAAAAAGATATCACGCGAAAGCTTGCAACCTGTAGGGAGGGCCCTACGCACACTCGTAGAACCTACAGAAGACTTAAAACTCTACTCTGAAGCTGGGGTTTTATTGGGTAGAAGGAAAAATAAGCCTTTTTCCCCGAACTGTCCTGCCGCAGCGCTGGCGCTTTCCGCAAAAGCCTTCCCCCGCCTGATACCGCTCAGCCTAATATGGCACCTCCGCCCCTGGGCGCGCGAATTCAGGCTTTTACTCGTACAATGGTTTAGGGTTTAGGGTTTAGGGTTTAGGGTTTAGGGTTTAGGGTTTAGGGTTTAGGGTTTAGGAGGAAAATTGAAGGAATGGAGTGTCGTCAGAACTGCTATCAGTACGAGTGCTTCACTGAAGCAAGTGCCCCAGTACCCGGCCCCCCCCTCCCCCCCCCGCCCCTTCCCCTTTCTCACTTTCTTTACTAGTATTGCAGGTTTGGTTCGGGGTTTGGGGGGGTGGGAAGTTCACGCTGTAGGGCGGGTTTGGGTTTCTGCGAGAAGTTGGTGCAAGTGCTCAGGCCCAGCACGGGAGGAAATGCCATTCTGATGGGATGGTTCGGAGTGGGGTCTTCGGGCTCCGAGGTTATCATGGTAGCACCTAGACCCTCCTGGAGCAGAAACCTGGGGCAGATCGAAGTCATGTGCCTAAGAGGAAAAGGCGATTATAATGGAGGTCGGGCCTGAAGGGATCAGGCGCGCTTCCTGAAGAACTCCCTCAAGACCAGCCTGACTGAGCTCCGGACCCCTATAGAGCTTCGTGTCTTGAGCTTTTCAGTGCTTACTTGGGGTTTAGGGCACCCCCAACAACCAGAACTGGGATTCAACTCCTCAAGGTATGCGCTTGTGGGCGCCCTTCTCGTTACCCTGGGCCGCGCCCAACTCTGCCCGGATGGGGTTTGCCGGTCTGCGGCAGAGGCCCAGGCCAGGAGTTCCAACACTCAACCCAAACAATCATGGGTTTAGGGTTTAGGGTTTAGGGTTTAGGGTTTAGGGATCGAAGCGTCAGTATGGCTATCATGGTTTTGAATATCATGGCTACTGCTGCCACCATTAATGCTAGCACAACCACGACCGCAACCAGCGGCTTCAACTAGCACTGCGAATACTACGATGATGACCACCATGACTATCACTTGCTGCTACCACTTCTACTCCTGCATTAGTACGACCAGTCCACGGCTTTGCTACGAATCCGCGACAGTCGCCAATAAGAATGACGCGATTCTGTGTCCCAATCGTTTTCCGTGAGTTAAGGTGTTTTTGTTGAGGGAGTCCCGTGCAGTCCTTGCGAATCAGAAACAGCTTCGTGGGTCCGCGTTTGCGGTTTAGGGTGTTGGAGGTTTGTACTTCCGGAGTGCCACCGCCCCCTAAAACATAAAACGCTTGCCTGCCTGCCTTCCAGCTCATCATTTTGCTTTCGGAATTCTTTTCGGCATTGGGTTGCTGAACGTATTTCTAGCGAGGCGTTGTCAGATTAACGTCATGTGCCATGGACGTCGTGCCCCAAACGCCGCCTCCCAAACCTTGTCCTCCTCCTCCTCCTCCGCCTCCTCCTCCTCCTCCTCCTCCTCCTCCTCCACATGGCCCTTTGACGCGTTTGTGGCTTCAGGGGTTTGTGAACTGTTTGAGACATGTGAGATGTGTGCCCAGGCTGCAAGCATCCTCCAGCGAGCCGGCAGCAGGGTGTCACAGGGAACGAAGGGTTCATAAGAGACCCCATCACCATACACTACATCCCAATCCCTGACTGCCACCGCTTCCCCGCAGCCTGGGGGGGGGAGGGGCCAAAGTTCAGGCAGCAGACACTAGAAGAGGGGTGGTAGTCGTGCTACATGCTGCTGCAGACCCTACATCCCAAACCCTTGCCAAGCCTGCAAAGCGCAGCAGCGGAACCCAGGCAGCCAGTCAGCACAGCCTCACCCTTGTTGTCAGCCCCTGCTGGCAACATCAGCCCAACAGACCCTAAACCCCCCAAAACCCTAAACTCCCTTGTGAACCGACGAGCCCCCGACATCGCCCCGCGATGCGGATTCGCCCTAGCTGTGCAGGAAAGAAAAAGCAAAGAAAAGTTTAGGGTTTTGGGTTTAGGGTTTAAGCCCAAGCCCCAGGAAGGACAGCCGCGTGCAGCGCTTGGTCGCAGAGCCAGGGCAAGTGACGAGCCAGGAGGCTGAACGACCAAGCAGTTGTTCTATATTTAGGGTTCAGGGTATAGGGTGAGTAGTCCTGTTGCAAGGGAGACCTTCTCACAAGAACATCCTGTTTCCTCAAAAAAGCGGGTACCTCATGATAAGCTGGCTACTGGGGTACGAAGTCAAGGAATGTGTGGAGAATCCACTATTCGTTTAAGAACCCCAGAAAATGAAAGATAATCATTCCGAAATTACGCTTATAAGGAAGAATATACTTCACACTTTTGGCGGGGTTCTTAAGCAAATGGTGGTAGCGGGTTTACCGCTTGAAGCCTGGGGGGTCGCAAGCTCCCCGATGCTGTACCTGCCAAGCTCCTTCTATACCATTTGCTTAAGAACCCCCCTCCCCCCCACCTTATAAGGGCCATGGCTTATAAGGGCCATGGCGGGATATCATTTTCATTTTTTTTTGTTCGGGGGGGGGGGGGGGTGGGTTCTTAAGCCAATAGTAGATGTGCGACCGATGTGCAGCATGTCGGCAAAGGAACACATCGGTCTTAGACTTTTGCCAGCAGATTGAAGTGAACCCGCATCGTGCATCACCCGTTCCGGCTGACGCGTAGGATTTGAGTTGTGGGTACGATGCCTACCGGGGAGCCACACAAAGACCGCCGGCCTCTTCTACCCGTAGCCACATGGCTTTGTGCCAAACCTCCGCGACCTGTCGAGGCAGCAGGCAGCCAGCCTGCAATTGCTTCAGAACCAGTCCAGTGGTGGTGGCTCGTCGGCTGATTCCCTAAACCCTAAACCCCGCCCTAAAGGTAGGCTGCTGACATCTTGGGTGTTTGGGGATCTTAGCTCTAATTCGAGTTTTTTTTCGCTTTGCGTAGACGGGAGGTAATGCCTTGGTCCGTGACCATGATAGACATGCCAACTGCCAGGAGGGTGCCGTACCTTGCAGTAGGGCTGCAATCCTACAGCCGTGGTCAGCAGACAGCTGAATCTCAATCTCTGGCTGCCAGGTTTGGCGACACGTGAACCCTAAGCCCTAAATATTTTCTGCGTTCTCTTTAAAGGCACGGATTTGTCTTTTCTTCGATGACAACCATTTCCGGAATGACTCCCTGCAATGTGGCGCCTGAGTGTCAGCTAGGCGGATGGCAAAAGAATACCCTTACTTCCGGAACCCTGAACCCTGAACCCTGAACCCTAAACCCTAAACCCTAAACCCTAAACCCTAAACCCTAACCCTAAACCCTAAACCCAAATCCTGCATTGCCAGCCAGGCATTGGATCGCATTTGTGGTAGTTGTCACCCTGGGAGCCTTGTGGCCTGGCTATTTCTAGGTCAGGGCTTCTGAAATTCGGGTCATACCCTTGGTAGCCCAGTGGTACCCTTTTCCCTTTTTTGGGGTTCGAGGTTCCATTATAAAAGGAACCAACCCAAAAAAGGGTGCCCTTATTATGATATGGCTCCTGGGCTACTAAGTACCTTCTGGTGGTCCTTCTGATAGGGTAAGCCCGTGCATGATTGGTCCTTTTGAGGCCTTGTTCTGCACCGGCCTCATTAGTGCTCACAGGGTGTATAAGGGCCACGGCAGCCGACAACACTGGGCGGGAGTCTGCGGGGTGAGGGTCTGAGAAGCATGTCAGGGAGCTGCACGCTGAAAGGAATGACATGGTAGCCCTACTGGTAGACTGGTAGGCCTTTTGGGGACATTGTTTACAATTTCCCGTATTTGGGGTGAAGAGGATCACATTCAGGATTCTTTTTCAGATGGCTGTAATAGGGCTCCTTGTGGCTGCTAGTCAGCACCCCTTTCCACGTAGAGCAAATAGAAGTCCGGTCGAGTCAGAGGTGCTCTCGTAACTGTGGGCTAGGTGTGGGGAGCACTCAATTACTTTTGGAGGTTTAGGGTACTTACAGCAGGTTCTGGGGTGGTGATGACTCAGCATTACAGGCCTTCATCCCACGCACGAACAAGGGGGATTTCGAAGGAAGGCCCTAAAACCCGAAATGCTGCTGCAGTCGCAGTGGCCGGTTTGAAGGAGGAAGCCCTGCTAGATGGAAACAAAGCACACTGCCAGTGTGGCGAATCCTAGTATGGATATAAGTTATAAGTAGGGCAGAAGTACTTGCAACTGGCATGAGCCTCCAAGTAGCATGCCAGGATAAATTCGCTGCCCAGCTCTCTCATGGAGAGGCCTTCGGCGACAGTGCGGGAATGCTTTTTGGGGTTTAGGGTTTAAGGTTTAGGGGGTTGCCCTGAGAGTTTGGGAGAGCGGTATTGCTCAGTGCTGTGGGCAGCCCATGTCGGCCTAGTACACTGGCGCTCCGATATTGTTATGCATTTTGGGTCCCACATGCGAGAGGGCCTTTTGGGCTTCTAGTAGAGGGGTTAGCGACTTTGTCATAGTGGGGTTACATTTTTTAGGGTACTTAAGCCCGATAAGGAATGAACTTTGGGTTTTTAGTATTATCCGAACCATGAACTAGGAGAGGTTAAATCATAGTATGGCGCAGCTCTCAGTCCATCCGGCTGCCACAAAGTGCTGCCGCTAGCAGTCTTTGGGCTGTTGACTCAACCCTGGAAAACTGGGGAGACCCTTGGGACATTGTATATTTTCCCTTACTGGGTTTAAGAGGATCATATTCAGGAATATGTTCAGAGTGTTTTGAGGGCTACTATGTGCTTTAGAACCCCCCCAAAAAACAGAAACAACAATCCCTAGATTCCCCTTATAAGGAAGAACACTTTTGGTTTTTTGGCGGGGGTTCCTTAAGCAACGGGTAGAGGGCCATCCTAGAAAAGGCCCCTCGAACCTTCCATGGCGCCCAGCCATAGACCGATGCAGGCTTCTTCCATCCTGGGCATCGACCAGCACCGGGGCTTAATACAGGGGCCTTAGTAAATAGAATAGGGTTTTGGGGGGTTATTGTGGTATCACGATATAGGAACCATGACGGAATACTATCAGTAGTTCTCCCGAGACCGTAGACGGTTTACCCGAACTCCTAAACCCCGAAACTCTAAAATCTAAACCAAGCAACAACACCCTCAACCCGAAACCCTTTGCCCTAAACCCCAAACCCTCAACCCTCAACCCTCAACCCTCAACCCTAAACCCTAAACCCTAACCCTAAACCCTAAACCCTAAACCCTAAACCCTAAACCCTAAACCCTAAACCCTAAACCCTAAACCCTAAACCCTATCCTTGCCCACTCTCTAGGTGACAAGGCCGGGAGCCACGACTCCATCCAAGAGGGTGCTGTGGGCCAGAGGCCTTTGGGGCTTGGGCTGAGGTTTTCGGGTTTCGGGTTTAGGGTTTAGGGTTTCCTTTTCGTGACCCTGACAAAGCCTCATACCCATAAACCCTATCCCTCAAACCCTGGAACCCATTAACCTACATACCTTTCACCCTCAACTCGATACACCCTTTTTTCCCTAAACGCTGTAAGCCCCGAAGCCCTGAACACTAGGTTTGGATTTGGGTCGAGGGGCTTGTAGACCTTAGCATACGTGGAGGCTCACGGGAAATTACTCACAGTGCAATTTATCGCCCAAATTCTGAACACCTTCTGTGACTTCTTGGGGCTGAAATACTTTACCTGTCATTGTTGTTAGAAGTACCCTGAGCCTCCCAGTTGCGTTTGGGCTTGCATGGCCTGCAGTTCATACTCCGATATTTACAGGATTCTAGCAGCATCAAACACACAAAGAACAACACTTTCCACGCTCAACTTGCATAGGCAAGACCACAGAATGCAGCCAGGAAGAGGGAACAGCCCATGTCCAAAGATTAGCCCTAAGCCCCATACAACCGTAAACTAGGGGATTCCCTTCGGGGATCATCTGTTAAAATTGGAACGATACAGAGAAGATTGGCATGGCCCTTGCGCAAGGATGACACGCACAAGTCGAGAAGCCCCCTAAGCCCTAAACCCTAAACCCTAAACCCTAAACCCTAAACCCTAAACCCTAAACCCTAAAAAGGGCCGGGGACTGATGAGCAGAGCCGAGATGCGCAGCCGAAGCCCGAACAGAATCCTTGCCTGCTTCAGCGGGCGCGAGAGTCTGAAACTAGGGTCATGCCTGTTCCCTGGTTCCACACTAAGGGTTTAGGGTTTAGGGTTTAGGGTTTAGGGTTTAGGGTTAAGAACCATTAAGCTTACTGTTGCTTAGCAGGGAATGAGTATATATATATATATATCCTTGGAGTAGATAGGGTACCTCATTCCCCCGTTCCCTCCTAACCAACAGTAAGTAAAGTCGACAGCGGCAGGTCGGCTGACTTGCTTCTCGAGAACAGCCACCTCCTCGACCCCAGCACCGATCCAGCCCCCCGGAAGGGGTTTAGAAGTTGTGGGTTTACGGGTTAGGGTTTCGGGTTTACGGTTTAGGGTTTAGGGTTTAGGCCAAGCCCGGATGCAAAAGGGTTTAGGGTTTAGGGTTTAGGGTCGGTGACCTGCTAGGCACTGAAAAAAGCATGGCAACAGTACTCCCTCAAGCAACCCTGTCAGCAAACAGCATACATGCTGCCCTGCCGAATTCCGGTGACGCTTGGGAGCTCATGATCCTTTGTACCTATTTTGTAAATAACAGGTTGGTTCATGGTATCGCCGGGCAGCAGCTCCTATGCAAAACCAGCTAGTAGCCCCACGCCAAACTGCAAAGGTCATGTGTATTTCGGGAAGACGAACTATTTCTTGAAAGGCATTTTTCTTCTCAGGCTTGCATCGCATGCCAAGAGATGTGCAATGACTTGTTGAATGAATTGCCGACAAAAAGTCTCTGGGTAAACAGGGGTTACAGAACCCTAAACTCCACACCCTTCACCTTCATTTTCAAGTTCGATGTGGAGTTCCGGGCTTGTTCTAGGTCGCAGGCAAGATATGGCAGCTGGCAAGTACGCAGAGCGGCCATGCAATCCCGGATTGTTCCATCACGCGACACGCAGCCCGAATCCTAACTAAGCCCGTTTAATTTTACATTCGTAGTAGATCAGGAGCCTGCTGAGAGCCTCTTGGGGCTGCTACCCCTCAGCTACCCGGCGGCAGTTAGGGTTTAGGGCTTAGGGTTAGGGTTTAGGGTTTAGGGTGTAGGGTTAATGCGCAGCGCAGCAATCCCAGCCCTACAAAAAAGGGTTTAGGGGTTAGGGGTTTGAGGGTACAGGGTTTCGTGGAGCTTCGCCCTTGATCGAGTTGCCAGTCGAAAGCGAGGTGACGATGTGGCCGTGTGCCGCGATGGTGTAGATGCTCAGCCCGTGACGTGCCTTGGCAGGCAGCAGGTGTCATGCATGTACCCAGACCTCTTGCGAGCTAGACTCTAGACCCCAAACACGCGCCCGAAACCCTAAACTCCAAACTCCCCTAATCCTCATTGAATCCTCATCCAGAATACTAAAACCACCACTCTCCGGTTTTGGGCTTGGGAGGCAGCAATGTAAACAGAGAAGACGTTACTGAAATACATGTTAGTCAACAATGATAGAAAAATGCTACCTGTAAATGCGATCTATGACACATGTATGAACATGAGAAAGAGGAAAAAAGGCAAAACAAACTGCGCATCTGCCGTACACAATTTAGTGAAAGCGCTATGTGCTGTCTTCTAGAAATCATAGTGAATAAACCATAATACACATCATTTGCCAAGGTCTTAAACCTGGAACATCATGCAAATGATACATGCGAATTGCTAATTGCAACCATGGCAGCAATCATAATTCGCCCCTCTTAGTGCATATCAAGACAATAATACGCTTACGAAAACGCTAAAGAACAAATGAGGAGTGAAAGCAAGTAGGGGCAATGAGTAGAGTTATAGGGGGCACAGGCCCTAAACCCTAAACCCTAAGGGCATTCCCAAAGTTGCTATCCTAACGTGGCCGGACCTGTAGCAGCAGCATCACAGGTATGCCCAGCTCCGGCAGCAGCTGGAGGCGACAAGGGGCGCCCCTAACCCTAAACCCTAAACCCTAGACCCCAAGCGGATACTCTGGGTCTGGGTTCAAAAGGGCTGTCCCTGTCGTGGGGGATGAGGCGAGTTCAGGGTGATGTTGGTCTCGAGTTGAAGTGGTGGGCCGTCTTTGTTCGAGGGTTTTTAGGGTAGGGTTTAGGGTTTGGCAACAACAACAGGAGTCCGGATGCAGAAAGGCTTATATAGGGTTTAGGGTTTCGAACTAGCCTGCCGGCTTTTGAGCTTTTAGCTCATCGCCTCCCCTTTCCCCGGTCTGCCCAGACTCCAGATCGTGGCCAGGGGGGGGAGCTAAGAAAAGAACACGTGGGGGGTTTCCGCAATATAGACCCCCATATAGTAGGATCCCCTTACTCTGAGGACCCCGATAAGGTACCCCCCCCCCAAAGTCGGAAACCCCCCACGTGCCTTGAGACTGCTAAGATGCCAAGACCGCAAAGCTTCCGAGCAGCTGCCTCAAGCAATGCCACGCACCCTCCTAACCCTTATTGTCAGACCTTAGTAGCTGAACGAGTGCACTTTACACTTTTTTGGGGATGCTATAATCCCCTATACAACTGAGATCTCCTACTTCCTCTTAACAGGCTCATGAAGCCTAAGCTTATAATCCCCCAGTCCAACCAGAATGTCAGACAGGATCCTGCCTTTGCATCCTTCCTGCGCCCGAGTGACCGTGTTGCGCTGGTCCTGGAGAACGGATCCTTGGCGTGCACCTCGCAGTCGTTTTTGCTTGACCTCAACACTGCATCCTTTCCACCAAGTGGCCCTAATTCCTACACCTTGAACCCAAAAACCTGGCATGAAACTTGATTGCGGCTCGTGCTGACCCTCATATGAGCGACCACTTTTATTACGTTGCAGGAGGCTTCTTGTGACGGAGATAAAAACCCACGTTCATGACTAAAACCTCGCAAAGCGATAGGCCCCCCCCCAAAAGCGATACCCTCAATTTTGAATCTAGAAGTCGTTCCATGATTTCGTGGTTGGGTCTTATTCCAGAGCTATACTCAAAGCGATACCCCTACGATACCCATTTGGCCACCCGAAGAGCTGGGCAAAGGCCCTGGCCCAGGTTGAGGGTTCGAAGTTTAGGACTTGGATTTCCGATTCGAGCAGCGAGAGCTCCAGCTCCTGGAAAAGAGCACTCTCACTCCTTAGTCTATAGGTCCTAAAGAAAGGAAACGGGTTTAGGAATTCAGGTGTATTTAGGGGAGGGTTCCAGGTTTAGGATCTCATAAGCAGTAAAGCGATAGGTTTTCGTAGTAGCATTGAGCCAAAGTCCCATAAAGCGATAAGGCCACCCCCCCCAAAAGCGATACCCCACGAATTTTAAATTAGCATTTACATAAGATTTTTTGCGGCTGCTCATATGGAATGATGAGGCAAAGACATGGCGATGTGCTTGCTGGCAGTGCCTTTTCTCGCATCCAGCTAGACCCCAGTTTCCCCAAAGTACTTCGGCGCGCACGTTTGAAACCGAGCCAAGGCAAAGCTCAACTGGTTCAAAGAGCTCAATGGTTTCCAGGGGTTTGGGGTTAGGGTTAGGGTTGAGGGGTTGAGGGTTCATGGTTTCAAAGGGGTTTAGGGTTGCGGGTTTTGGGTTCGCGTTCCTGGAATTCTAGAATCACAGATGAGCGGCTTTTATTTAGGCGCTTCTTGAGAGTTACTTCAGTACGGACGGGCCGTTTAGGGTTGAGGGTTGTTGTGTTCTTACCAGCGTGATTCTGAGCTGGACTGCTCTAGGGCTGAAAGCCGCGTGCCACGGTGAGCTTGGGGCCACCCTGAACCAAAGCCGACTTTTTTTAAACCCTAAACCCTAAACCCTAAACCCTAAACCCTAAACCTTTCTTGGATCCTAAGCCCTGAACCCTAGACCTACAATAGAGCAGGCTAGGTTAGTAAGAGGATGCTGTCGCCCGTTCAACCCTGCAACTGTAGTGCAGAAACCCTAAACCCTAAACCCTCAGGCTCAAGGTTTAGACCCGGTTGAGCCAAGATTCGGGTTCAGGTCCGCCTAAACCCAACCCTCAGAAGAGAAGCCTTGTACTCAAGGGTGCGAGCTTTTTTTGAGACACATTTTGGGTTTACTGTAGGGGGTAGGGTCCTCCCCCTCCCTCCACTTAGGTATTTTTAGGGTGGGTGGTTTAGGCTCTGTTTTTTTTTTTCGGGTTGAGGTCATGCACCATGCCTGTGCCGTGCCACTGAATCCCACCTTCACGGAGGCCTGCAGCTTGGGGTCAAGGGTACCTCGGATGGCTCGGGTGCTGAAGATTTCGGCTCTGCAAGGTTCTTCTTGCGCAGTTTCGAGAACTGTGGCAGTTGCTTGTATGGTTCAAAGTTGCGTGTGGAGCCGCAGGAGGTTGATGGAGAGACCCCAAACGTGAAAGGCTTGGCACTCCATGAATTTCGGGGTTTGGGGGTTTTCAACTTATCTGTGAGTACTGGGCAGGCGTTCCGTTGCACTGCCTTGTGGAATTTGTCGGACTTCATATTCGGAGGCTTTCTGGGCTCGCGGAGCTCAAGCTAAAACGTTTGCTGGGAGGACCTACGAACTTAATAGGTTTTTGTGTCAGCTGTGGCTCTTCAGATTTTCTGCCGCGCCAAGCACGAATCTTCGAATTGACTTGGGCAACCATGCACTTGAGGACTGAGTTCGGGTTTCGGGTTTAAGGAAGGAAAGTTATTTTGGGGGTATTTAGGGTTCATATTAGCCCTAAACCCTAAACCCTAAACTTCTGATTCCCAGAGACGCCAGCTCGCACATTTCTCCGGGCAGCCCGCGGCACCGGAAGCCTCGAAGAATTCTTTGGGGGGGCCCTACCAAACTGGGCTCAAAACAAAGTTTCAACAGCAGCTGGTTTAGGGTTTAGGTTTAAGGGTTTAGGGGTTTAGGGTTTAGGGAGTCGGATTTCGGGCTTATAGGGTTTACTCCCCTGCACCCGAAACCCAAGAGGCGGAGCTTGCGCAGAGCTTCGAACAGCTCCCTGGCAGTCAGACAGAGGGATTGGGGTTTGCAGGAGCCTCAATAAACAACCGAGATAACCCCCTGCAAGAAATCCCAACATATATAGATATTCTGCGGCTAGAGGTTGTGTTATGTCGTTTCGCCCTCAGAACTAGGTGCCCTCAGAAGCACATACTATTCCCTACACAAATGGCATACTGTCCTTAAACTGGCCACGATGGTGGCCACTAGCGACGCCCTGCTTTGGCTTCGGGCTACATACGCGCGCAATAGCATGGTGTTTCGGAGTCGGCTGTGATACAACCCCCGATTTCCGAGTAATGTACACCACCCAAGGCCCTAACGCCTACTCAGCCCGAAGCCCTAAATCCTATGTACTCATCCATCATATACGCCACCTAAAATTCCTGAAATTGCCTTCGCATACAGCAGGCCCCCGAAAGCAAACAGGCTGCGAGTGACGGTCGTGCTCACGGGAGCCGGGAGTTGCGGGGACGCGGCGCTCCTCGGATGGGTTTCAGGGGGCTCTTAGGGTGTAGGGTCTAGGGTCTATAGGGTCTAGGGTCTAGGGTCTAGGGTCTAGGGTCTAGGGTTTAGGGTTTAGGGTTTAGGGTTTAGGGTTTAGGGTCTAGGGTCTAGGGTTTAGGGTTTAGGGTTTAGGGTTTAGGGTTTAGGGTTTAGAGCAACTTCCACCTCCGGGCCGACCGCCCAAGCTCGGATGCAAAAAGGGTTTAGAGTTAGAGTGGGTTTAGGCTTCAATGGTTTAGGGTTGATAGGGGTTTGGGGAGTACTAAGCTTAGGCCTCAGGAGTTTAGGGTTCATAGGGTTTTAGGGAGTACTAAACTTAGGCCTCAGGAGTTTAGGGTTAGAGGGGTTTGGGAGTACTAAACTAAGGCCTCCGGAGTTTAGGGTTAGAGGGGTCTGGGGACTATAAAACCTAAGCCCTAAACCAGGAGATCTGGTCTTGACGGCAGGGCCGGGGAAGAGTTGTGAGCTTCTTGGAAAAGAGCGCAATATCCCTTGATCTTCTTGGAGATCGTACCGTATATCCCCTATATAGTCCGAAGTGTTTCGTTTCAGGTTTAGGGACTCTGGCTCGGGTGTGGAGGGCTTACGTCAGGAGGATCTATAGGACACAATGAAAAACACTCGTTTTTCTCTGCTGATTTGTAACATGAAATCATCTCCTGCAGATTCTCCTGTCGACTTTAAGACGTGCCCAACCTTTCGATTGTGCAGATGATCCGAGTATAGCAGCATATACGTATGTTCTGTGCTTGGGCCCAAACTATCCATTCAAATTCTAAGCTCTTATCCCTTGAAACCTCAACCCCTGTATTTCTTTTCGGGCAGGATCTCCATCAATCGAAGTGGACATTAGATCAGCTATTCAGGCGGCAAACAAACACAACGACAAATCCTAAAGCAACCGCCATCAAACCCCCAAAACACCTAAACCCTAAACCTGCTCAGCTCTGCCCCCAAGCCCCAAGCACCAAACCCTAAGCCTTGAGCCCTAAACCCTGAACCCTAATTAACCCTAACCCTGAACCCTAAACCCTAAACCCTAAATCCTAAACCCTAAACCCTAAACCCTAAACCCTAAACCCTAAACCCTAAACCCTAAACCCTAAGCCCAGGCACAAGGCAGCAGCGCAGCTCCAGCTCCGGGTGCTGACGCTCGAGAAGGCCTTGGAGTCGCCCCTTGCATCTTCCGTCAGAGATAGTGGGGTTACCCGAAGCGTTTAGGGTTTAGGGTTTAGGGTTTAGGGTTTGGGGTTTAGGGTCTTGGGTTTAAGGTTCAGGGTTTAGTTTTTGTTTTTGTTGGGGCGGGGGGGAGGGGGATCTATAGTGACGATTGTAAGACTTTTTGGGGGGTATAGAAAGGAATACCCCCCCCCCCCCTGTGCTTTAGGGCCATTCTTTGGAGGTTCCTGCGCACCCCAAAAGAACTGGAATGCAACTACCATCATGCTTGGGATATCAGTACTCGTGAGTTTCTAAACACTCTGCGTTTAGCCATCTCTGTCATTTTGTGAGCTCCTGTGTGAGACTCATGTTCTACGACCGAGGGTTGCATCCGAGGGCACCATTATGGTGAGTTTGTTGGTACTTCTGACTTGAAGGCACAAGCTTGAGAATGTGGGTTCAGAGTGACCAGGGGTGAAGGATGGTTTCGGGTTCAACTGCGTTGTTTTTTGCAAGTTGGTGACTTAAGTACTCGTAACTTCTTGTCCCTTTGTTCACTCTTTTATATGGGATGATGGTACCTTGTCCCTGATCATTCCCTAATCCTCCATTAAGAAGCTCCTTGTTAAAGCTGTCTGACGCCTCACCGGCCCATGTGCGCTGCCCAACTCCATCCAACTCCCTTGCGCCCCATTCCCAGGGAGCCAGGAACAAACGATTTTCTCAGGCATGTCCCAAACAAGATGGGGGTCCTCATGCATCAAATTGTGGCATTCTCGAGGTTGCAACCGTGAGAAAGAAAGCATCGAGGGGAGTATGAGGGAGCGCCAGCTTGCCTAACCCCCTCTTTGGAGCCCCTCCTCCCTTGCGCACATTGTCATACCTTGGGATGTTCCCCGTTATACTAACAGTCCTCAGTAGGAATTAGGCTAGGGGATACTACAATCCCTATTCAGACTGTTAGTATAAGGGTGAACATCCCAAGTTACAACACAAGCAACATGAAGCAGCGGCTTTCTTTGGGAAGGTCAGTCGGTCCAGTAGCTCCACAGCGACTCGGCAAAAATCTTCGGGTGCGCGGGTGATGTGCTTGGGGTTTCGGTCTTGGGGGGGCTCAGGGTTTTCGGGTTTCGGCTTCGGGGTTCAGGAAATAGGGACAGGGATTTAAGGATTTTGGTGGGGGTTCTCTCTGTCTGTCTCTCTCTCTCTCTGGGTTTTAGGGTTTAGGGTTTAGGGTTTAGGGTTTGTTTTCTGTCTTGTTTTTTTGAGGTGGATGGGTGCCAGGCATCTTCACTCCCCCGCCCTCAGGCGCCCCCCCCAAAACCCCAAGAAATCCCAAAACCCACGCAAAGCAATAGGGGTTCACAAGGGGTTTAGGGTTTAGGGTTTAGGGTTTAGGGATAGGGTTTAGGGATTAGGGTTTAGGGTTTAGGGTTTAGGGTACCGAAGCCAGGCGTCGCCTCAGCTGTGCCTCAGCGGCCCCCAGCCGCCTCTGGAAGATGTGGAGGGCAGAGGGCTGGGTGCCCGCGCCGAGGCTCTTGGGTTTGAGGTTTAGGGTTTAGGGTTTAGGGTTTAGGGTTTAGGGTTTAGGGTTTAGGGTTTAGGGTAGGGATTGTAATAGGGGGTTTAGGGTTGTATTAGGGGGTACAAAAATCTCCCATTAAGGACTGTTAGTATAAGGGGGAACGTCCCAAGCCATTGGTCGTATCATGTCAGTAGCATGTCGAGTAGATCCAGTACGCAGTCCTTTAACCTGAACCCTATATGAACTCGAAGCCCTTTCTTTGTGGAGGGTGGATTTGAGGAACCCCTACAATGCCTGAATCTCAAAGGCCGACCCAAGGACACTGGAGGCTAGGGGATACTCCCCCTAAACTCCTAAACCCTAAACCCTAAAAACTCTAAGCCCTAAACCCAAAGCCCTAATTTCCTGTTTTGGTTTCGCATCCTTGTGCGGTGTCGCAAGAAGGTTGGGCCGGCCCCGGAGATTGTTTTTGTGTTTTTCGTGGCGGGGTTGGTGGGTTGAAAGTTCAAAGCTAAGTAGAAAGTAGCCCTGGCAAGAAGACAGCGTAGTGCAAGGATGACCTGGACAGTCCAAGGCCAACTTTCAGTGCATCTCGGTTCGTGTTCCTTCTGAATCGTTTAGGGTTTAGGGTTCAGGGTTCAGGGTTTAGGGATACATTTCTTCGCACCAGGCTCCGAGCCCGGACCCTGAGCGCACGGTGCTTCTGCTGAAGACCTCCGGAACGACCTCGCGAGGGAAGGTGCCGAGACGGTGATTTTGTTGTATGTTCAGCACGTTATAGCATGTTTATCATGATAGTATGCATCTTACAATATTTGGTGTGATTATCATGGCTAGCCGTGTAGAATCGCAAATCCTGCATGCTAAGTGTATCATTCTGTCACGACGAAGATCGCTGCTGCTTGGGATGTTCCCCCTCATACTAACAGTCCTTAAACGGAATTATTGTACCCTCTATTCTAATCCCTATTAAAGGACTGTTAGGATAAGGGGGAAACATCCCAAGCTGCGGAGCTTCGGCTTTGCTCACGTAGAGGAGCGCACAGGCTGCTGGGAGGGTTCGGGTGCGTTCAGGGCTTCGGACCCTGGGGTGAGATGCTGGCACTTCACAGAGTCCAGATTTAAAGAAAATAATAATAATATAATAAAAAACAAACGCAATAATTATAAACAATAGTAATAATAATCACAACAAAAATCAAAGCAATTCGGGGGAGACTGAGAAACATCTGGCTCTGAACCTGGTGCCCCTTGCAGCATTCGTGTTCATTTGCCACACGAGGTGGTGCCTTTTTCACTACGCCGGCTGCCACCTGGTGCAGAGGGTGCAGAGTTGTGGTGGTTCTGGCTTCACCATCCGGGTCGTTCTCAGGAATTTCTGGGTCATGCTTTGGTATCGGAAAGCCGGACCCTGCACTAGAACACAGCTCACACGGCTTATCGGCAGTTTTATCGAACGGAAATATGCGAAGCCATGGACCCCTAATCCTCACTTGGAGTTGGCACCCCCGAAAAAAGTGCACAGGAGTCCAAGTTCTGAGAAATGTGCAGTACCAGACCTCCTCCCACATGTACTACAGAAAGGGGGGCGGGCTTTCCCAAACCCTACGCACAGTCAGATCTATATGTTCCAACAGAACACTTGAAGCCTCGCCTGGATCGAGCCGTGTGCAAGTTGCTAAGTCCAAGCCCGGATGGTGCGATAGACCCTACACTAAACGCGACCGAAGCCCTAAACCCTACACCCAAAACCTTGAAGTGCGTGCAGTGAGCGATTAAACCCTAAATCCGAGACGGAGGAGATTTCTCTTTCGAGCCTAGAGAACCTCCCTGCAATGTGGATTCGCCCCAGCTGTGCAGGAGGGAAAACAACCCTACATCCCAAACCGCGTGCCCCTTAAGGTTTCATCATTTCCTTTGGACATTCCTATACTGTCAGATCAGCTGGTGAATTGGGATGTCGCCCGATAGTTTTTAGCGCTGCTGGCGAGTTGGTCCCGATGATGCTCTGGTTCACAGTGCAGTCGCGCTCAGTTGCTCAGATGCCAGCGACAGCACCGAAGGAACTTAACCCTAAGCCACCAGTCCCGTAAACCCCGAACCGTTGTGGCATGCTTCCCAAGCCCAGGTCTTTGGCTGCTCGGCTCAACGCGCGTGGCCTGGAGCTTGCGCCTGGCGACGTGTGCCGCTTTCTTAGACTCTAAGAACCCATTCAGAGTAAGGGGCTTGATGATAACCTCCCAAATCTAGGTATGCCTTTGGGACATTGTATGTTTCTCTATTTGGGTTTAAGAGGGTCATGTTCAGGAATAATTTTCAGATGGTGTTTGAGGGCCATCCTAAGGGGTTGGCTTCTTGGGCTTATAGGGCTTAGGACTTAAGAGGGTTCAGCAGTTAGGGTTTGTCGGGTTTGTGGCTTGGAACTATGCTTGGCTTTGCTGACGCAAGCGGTTTAAGGGTTTATGGTTTATGGGCTTTATCAGGGTCTGGGTTCAAAAAAGGTTTGGGTTTGGGGTTTAGGGCCTAGAAGTCGTGGTGCTGGTGAAGCTGGCTGCTGGCAAACAAACCTTTCCTCAGCTGTAAACCCAAACCCTCGACCCCACACAAAACTTGCTCGGCAAAAGCCTCCATCTGCCAACCCAGGTCTGAGCATGATGCCGCTGTACCACATAGCTGGAATTTCTGTCGCTCGCATCAGTTTGGGGGTTACGGGAGATGGTTTGAGGGCCCAGGGCGCAGGAGAGGATCTGAAACTGAAGGCTGAACACTGCAGCAACGCCGAAAACCCGAAGCTTGCAGATGCTGCCCAAATCGACGGATTCGATGTCTCGACAGCCCAGTGGGCTTTGGATTGTAGGGTTCTGGTAACTTCGCTGAATGATCGTTTTGGGCTCGTCCGGGGCCCCTGTTCTAATGAAGGCGTCCCTTTAGTTGGGGCCTAGAATCTTTTGTCGCTCAAGAAAGTCTAGGGCCGTCCTTGTGGCTTGGAATATGCAGCTGGCCTGAACCAAAAACCTCACTCAGACCTCTGCAAGACCGATCGCATAGCGCGGCGATCAATCCCGTGGTTAGAGTATTGCGGGCTTGTGGGCGGGCCGGGGAGCGGTGGGCTATTTCAGGGTTTAGGGTGTAGGGTTTAGGGTTGACGCCTGTGTAGATTGTCAGCTCTCTACCTTGGTTTTGCTTCTCACAGGTACCCTCCAAACCCTGAAACTTTGTTCTCAATGCCTGACACTCCAGAGCGACCGGCCACTCATATGTCATCGTGAATAAATTCTACATCCAGCCAGAAACTAGGACCCAGAGCAAGAGTAGGCCCTTATTACCTTTTCTGGGTTTAAGTTGTCTGATAAGCCCCTTTCACCCAAAAAGGGCACCCGTTTTTTCTTCCTGGGTTACTCATGGGTCTAAGAACTTAGTAGCAGAGTAGGTACCCTCCAACCTTTTTGGGGGGCATTCAAACCCCTATCTATTCCGAAGGTGAACTTTTTTGTTCCCCGAGGATACTGGGTCACTGGGTCACTAGGGGAAACCCGAGTTTCATCATTCATTTCGGATTCTCTCAGGGTAGTTACATGGTCCCGTAGTCTGGGTCTTGAACAGGGGACCCAGTATCTACCCCATACATACCCTATAAACTGCAGGGGCACATACTTCAGAACCCTGTAAACGAGGTGAGGGACATATTATGGGACCATGTAACTGCCCTAAGCGATTCTCAGGTTGGAACCATGGGCCCTTAGTATGGTCCCTTACCCTTGTGTTTGGGATTGTATATATATATATATATCGATATAGATATAGATGTATATATATATATACACATAGTGCATATAAGGTTTCTACTTCGGATCCCAAGATTCAAGGGGGTAAGATCGTACCCCGAAGGATGTATCCAAGAGGTTGCCCTCATGTACTATACTCCCAATACGGGCCTTACATTGCCTAGATGATTCTTAAACAAGTGGTCCCCAAACCCAAGGGTACAACCTTAGGGGTCAGAGGTAGAGTCCCCATGAGCCCTAGTGTCTTCATGAACCACGGATTCTTTCAGGGTAGTTTCATGGGCCCTTAATATGGTCCCTTACCTTCTTTAAAGGTTCTGATGTGTAAGCCCTGGACCCTTGGGTTTTATGGGGTATATAACGGGCCCCCGTTTAAGGGCCCATATTCAGGGATCATGTAACTACCCTAAGAGAGATTCTGCCCTAAACCCTAAACCCTCAACCCTAAACCCTAAATAAACCCTAAACCCTAAACCCTTGGTGTGAGGTAAACTTCCTGGCTTCGATGTCTGCTGGTGCGACCATCCTGTTTTACTCTGGCCAGTTCGAGGTGCCGCTTGGCAGCGGCAGGGCAAACAAGCTAAACCCTCAGCCCGAAACCCTAAACCCTAAGCCCTAAACCCTAAAACCCTAAACCCTAAACCCCAAACCCCAAACCCCAAACCCCAAACCCCAAACCCCAAACCCTAAACCCCAACCCTGAAGCCCAAAATGCCAAAGCCCCAAAAGCACCCCAAACCTCGGGCATCCTCGGGCCAAGGTCCAAAAGCCCGCCAAAGCTGGCCCTGTGGTTTGTGAATGTGTTGGGCTCTCGCTACCCTTGAACCTAAAATAGGGTTTACGGTTTAGGGTTTAAGTGTTTAAGGGTTTAAGGGTTTAAGGGTTTAAGGGTTTAAGGGTTTAAGGGTTTAGGGGTCTAAGGGTTTAAGGGTTTAAGGGTTTAGGGGTTTAGGGGTTTAGGGGTTTAGGGGTTTAGTGTCTAGGGTTTAGGGTTCAAGTTTTCTCGGGTGGAGTAGGGGGCCCTGCAGAGATTGAATGTCCATGAAGATAGGCTTCTGTCGTAGGAATGGCTCATAGAGCTTCGCAGTTCTTGTCCCAGTTATCTACTGACAGCCCTTACAAACTACCCTAAACCAGAGACCCTAAACCCTAGACCCTTAAGCCCTGAAACTTAGCCTCTCAAGACCTAATCCATAGACCCTTAAAACATCCCTCCTCAAGCCCCAAAAACAGCAAAGGCCCTAGAAGAACGGGGCCCAAAAAAAGAGAGAGAACGGTAAGCCCTATAAACCCTAAACCCTAAACTACCCTAAACCCTAGGGGCTTGGGGTTTTGGCTTTGGGTCCCATAATTATGCCCTATACCCAGGTAGCGTACTTGGGGGCTGGGGCTGCCTTCGTCCACTCATTTCAGGACGCGCTTCGTCGCGGAGCTCGAGAGGGAGGGTCACCTCAGGCCAGGCGCACTTAGAGCTCACATCGCCCTCGACATCCAAGTGTTACACAGGTCCTCAAAATAAGGGCACTCGGGTGCTTGTGGGCAACATGGCTGCCCAAACCTGCTTTTGCCTTGGAAGTCATCGTCGGTCCGGCTGGGTGTGCTGAAAGGTTCGGATTTTTGCAGGCGTGCGTCTTGCATGAAACCAGGGAGATCTTGTCCTGAAGGCTGCACCTGTCGAGGTGTCAGGGGCCTGGGCAAGTCGGCGAGTCCTGGCCGACGAAAACGAAACCGCAGTTGGAGGTTTTCTTAGAACAGGAAACACTCCGGACTCCAGGCCCCAGTCCCTTTTACTGGGTTCTTCGTTGGGATACGTAGTTTGTTGATTTAGTTTGATTGTGGTATGTTAAGAACTCTATTTTCGATGGGGGTATGCGTGGTTCCATAGCATGGTTTTCATCCTTTGGGTCTTGGGTTGGGGTCTTTCGGTTCCTTGAAGTTTGAGGTATGGGTTGGGTGCTAGGGGGTGGTGCATGCGGGACCAGGGAAGCAGTCCAAGCGCGGCTCAGATTTTCGGGCTTACAAAGTTAAGGAGTGACCTCCCTAAACCTTAAACCCTAAACCCAAAACGGCCCTAAACCCTAAACCCTAGGGTTTTTTCTGCTTTGGGCCTTCTGGGCCTCTTCCAGAAGCCCGGCGCAGGCCCAGTTGGTACTTTGCTGTGCCCGCTGTCCATGAAGCGGTCTTGCGCCATGTCGCCGAGCTAGGCCGCGCGCCATAGAACTTAGGGCTTAGGGTTTAGGGTTTAGGGTTTAGGGGTGCTTCGAGTTTACGACTAGAGGGCGGGTTACACGTTAATCTCAGCCCTAGACGCTGGCAGGCCTATGCACTCCGAATCCCCACTACAAGCTTGCAACAACCCTCCAGCTGAAGCCCTCAAGCCCTTGCCTACAGCCTACTTAGCCTAGACAAGGCAGACCCTCTGCCCGAATTTCTAGCACAACGTCATGGTCTGCGAGGGGTGGAATCCTGCGTCCACCCAGACCTATAGGCACCAAACCCCCCTAAACCGTCCCGGAGCTGCTTCGTCAGCTCTGATGTTCCGTCAATCAGGGGCGGACTGCCGAATGCCCGATACTCTGAACCGAGATGGCCTATGACGTCTTTCATGCCCCATGAATCTACAATAAATGCCCTCTTCAAGGCATTCTGGGGCATGGTAGCCCATCTAACAACCCAAACCTGAAGACCCAAGGTTGCCTGCCATCCTCTCGGGCTTTCGGGTTTAGGGCTGAGGGTTCAGGGTTCAGGGTTTAGGGTTTAGGGTTTAGGGTTTAGGGTTTAGGGAGAATTGCATGGGGGAGCTTCTACCCGAGCGAACATTCTTTTTCTCAGAGGCAAACAAGAACTGCGACTGCAATCGAGCAGACGGAGTGACTACAACCTCATGTCCTAGAAGTTTACCCTAAGCCCTGAACTCTATTTTGATTCGAGGTCGCCCTGTCCAGCATCGGCTGTACCTCGGCCTGGGTCTATGATTCGCTGCGCCGTTCTTGGTGCAGGTGTTCAGAACCTTTGGGGCGCAACACACAGGTTTCCGGGAGAAGGGTTTTGGACCGGGTTTGGCTAGCTGGCTGAAGTTCTTGCTGCTGCATGTGGGGGGGTTTTGCCATAAAAAGGGGCCCCCAATAGAGATCCCAAAATAGTAGGACCCCTTAAGAAGGACCCCCAATAAGGTACCCCTAATATCGTAAACCCCCCCCATTTGCTTACAATTCCACATCAGCTCGGTTCACGAAGGAGGCCCGTGGAGGCAACGCTCATTTTTGGGAATGAGGGTGTCGTGTTTGGGGTTTGGGGTTTAGGGTTTAGGGAAGCGGTCTTGACCCACATGTTCCAAAGTGAGCCATTCAGCCCCATAGTCCATGCAGTTGAAAACTGTACCCCGTCGGTTGAATTCAGGTCTCAAGAGTGACCCTAAACCCTAAACCCTAAACCCTAAACCCTAAACCCTTAAACCCCCCTCCAGCACTCAGAGCACCCCAGGAAGCTGATCCGCTCTGCTGGGGCTGCCTTGGCGCAGCAGAGTGGGCAGAAGCTGATCGTGCCCCTGCTTAAATCATGCCGTTGGGGTTCCCCAAGCCCTTAAGTTGAGGGTTTAGGGTTTAGGGTTTAGGGTTTAGGGTGTTAAACCCTAAACCCTAAACCCTGAGCTTCCGTCGGATGCTTCCCCGGAGCCCAGGCGGTTTCTGCACGAATTTCCCTGCGTGCCACTTAAGCCACTAAATGTAAAGGGCATGGAGGCCTATACACGTGACGCCCACCTCAATAATTCCCTTTGCTGGGTTAGGGCTTTCGTGAGGAAACGGCTTCGAGGCGCTCAGATTTTCTTCTAGAAGGCGGCCGTGCAGGATAACAGAGTCGACACGGACGACACTCAGGGTTGGAGCGGGAAACTTTACAACTCATGGGTTCCCAATCCCTGTAAAACCCCTCGAAATTTTAGAATCCATACATGGGGCCCAAGCCGTTTACAACCCTATACTTGTCTCCATAGTGCTTCAATGTCTGGCCTTGTGGGTGTCGTAGAGTTTGCACAATCAGGAGGCGTTCCACTGTGCCGTGACCCCCGCCTATGGCATGACAGAGGAGCCGGCGGTTACCTAAGAATCCCAAAAGGCGTCTTTATATCCCTAAACACTATAAAGCCGTAAACAGGAGTTATGACCCCAAAACAAGGTCGGTTTTGAGGGGTTCTTTAACCTCAAAGTGGCAGGCTGCTCCCTGAAAGTACGTCGAGGGAGTTCAGCTGTCAGGGCCTTCCTATCAGCCTAGCAAAGAGCCCCTTTTGGGGGTTCTCCCAGGCCACCTACAAAATACCCTAAACCCTAAACCCTACCCCTAAACCCTAAACCCTAAACCCTAAACCCTAAACCCTAAACCCTAAACCCTACAAAAACAAAGAAAAAACAGCTTTTGGGGTTCTTGGGTTCGGCCCTCTAAAGCTGCAAGCTTCAAAGCCAGCGTGAGGAAGGCGAAGCTTTTTGGGGTGCATTCGTTACATTATGCAGCTACAGATGTCTGTGTGCGTAATTATAGAGTATGTATATAGATCTCGGAAAGATATCTGGATATTTGCTTTTATTTGATAAATGCATATACTTATATAAAGAGAGAGCAAAAAAAATATATATATATATATATTGTATACAGTGTATATATGTATAAAGTAAAGTGCGTTGTGAGGACAGGTGGGGGTGTCGGTAGTTTTGCGGACATCCCTGCAGTGGCGCGTTCCCAGATCTCTGGGAGAGCCTCTTGCTTTGCCAGGCGCTGGAGATCACGTGCCCGCCTGCAAACTACGACTTCTCCAAACCGTGTTCCGTGGGCCCCAGCATCAGTGCCGGGCCTGGTTACATACATACGAAGCCCAACACTTGGGATGTTCCCCCTTATACGAACAGTCCTAAAAATGGTTTGAGTACCCCCCCGATTTCAGTCCCCATGAAGGACTGCTAGTAAAAGGGGAACAGCCCAACCCAACACCCTAGACTGAGGGTGGCAAAAAAGCAAGCCCTCAAGTTACTGTAGGTACACCTACCTCAGATGGGCTGCTGGTTTGGGGGTGTCTCGGGCGTTAGGGTCCATAGTGCCCACACGGGTATCAATAGTTCAATGGCGTCCCTTTTTCCCGCTTGTCTTTAGGGATGAGTTTCAGGGCCAAGCGCCTGGCGTCTCGAAAATTCGAGGATAGGGCATGCGCAACAAGATCTAGACCAAGCCCCAACATTTCACAATGAGCTTCGTAAGGGGCATCGTACAATTAAGCCCACAACCCTGCATGGATGTAAAAGGGGTGTGCGACATGTTGTGGCTGAGCTTGAAATTGGTGTGTGGCTCCTATATATTTCTGCATGTAGTACCATCTCCTACTTACATGTCCTGGGCTGGGGTATTTCTTCTCCAGGACGCTTTCTAAAATGGCATGGCGGCCTCTATACATGTCACGTCCGCAGGCTTTGTGGCTGCAGGAGTTCAGCCACAAGCGAGTCGTTTGACTGAATGCGGCAATCTGAATTCAAGCGTTGCGTGCGTTGCGAAGATCAACCTGTTCGAGGAGAGGTGGGCACCCTAAACCCTGAACCCTAAACCCTAAACCCTAAACCCTAAACCCTAAACCCTAAACCCTAAACCCTAACCCTAAACTGCTTCTAGGACTTAACGTGCAGCCTCGGCCATGGAGACAGAAGAGACTGCAGCGGCGCTTGTAGGATTTGGCCTCAGCTGCTTGCTGCTCTTGAGGCTTATCAGCCGCTTTGCTGCAAGATTAGGGTTTAGGGTTTAGGGTTTAGGGTTTAGGGTCTAGGGTTTCCTGCAAGATCGATCAAAGAGTCTTTACGTTGATAGGGTTTAGGGCAGGATGCACTGATTCTAGAGTATACGGTCGAGGCATGAGACCCCAAAGCAAGATTCCCAGTCCGCACTGTCGTGATCAGTCGTCAACCTCTTCTCAGTAGTTGGGCTTGAAGTGAATCATGTCTGTTCTTTATTTTTTTGGTGGGGGTCTCTGTCATGGTACATTCCCAAACCCGTACAGGCTACGAAGCCGGGTCCATAGTTTACCTCAAGTCACTTTGCTGTGACCCTGGGCTCGGGGAGGTCTTTTTGCGCCGGGGCTTTTCTTTTTTTTAGTTCCTACCATGGGGTAGGACTATATGCTTAGTAGTAGACTAGCTAACCTTTAACCTTTTTGGGTTTATATATTCCCCTTTTATTCCCAAAGGTTAACCTTTAAAACCCCTAGGTACTGGACAACTAAGGAGAGCTTAAGCACCAAAACGAGGGGCTGGTTTTTGGGGTCTACCTTATGAGTTAGGGTTTGGGGTTTCGAGTTTTTCCTTGCCGGCTAACTACGAGTACTGTAAGGAGCTTTCTAAGTCGGACTTGCAAACGAGTAGGCCTCGCATTTTCAGCCCGAACTAAACTCTAAACCCGCAGCCTGCACAAAAAGGTTGGTTTGGGGTTCTGAAGGCAAGTAGCACCAAAGTTTGGATGACGCCAAGACTCCCCCACGGCCCCTGATCCCAGGTCTGGTCTTGTTGCTTGGTGCTGGACCTGGATGCTTTTGCAGAGTTCCGGGATAACCCATAAACCCTAAATTGTGGTTTAACTTTGGGAGGTTCCCCATGAAACTAGCATTCCTGAATACGGGTTGTAGTACCCCCTATTATCATCCCCATATGAGGACTGTAAGTATAAGGGGGAACATCCCAACCCTAAGCCCCTAAATGGTTTTAGGGGTTTTAGGGGTTTTAGGGGCTTTAGGGGCTTTAGGGGTTTTAGGGGCTCACAAACTTGAGCTACCAGCATGGATGGGCTATTGGGCCTTGTACTCCCCCTAACCAACCCAAAAAGAGCCTTTTTTAGGGGTTATAGGGTAGAATAGCCCATGTAGGTAGTGCTTGTAACCTGCTTCAGGGACCTCCCTAAGCTTCCCAGCTCTTACACAACACAACAGGGTCGCACGGGCGCAATCCAGGGTTGATCATTCGAATAACCCAAAACCCTAAACCCTAAACCCGATACCCTAAACCCTAAACCCTGTAGTGCCGGGGACCCCGTGCGCGAGTGCGAGAGCCCCAGAAGCGGACGGAAATGATCCTGGCCTGCCGAGAAACCACGAGCATCGTTTGCTAGGCAGGCCTTTTGGGACACCTTATAGGGGTTTAGGGTTTAGGGTTTAGGGTAAGAGGGTCATATTCAGGAATAGTTTTCAGATGGTTTCAAGGGCCATCCTAGCCGATTGCAGGGTTCTAGGGGGGGGTTCAAGGGGGCATGTAAACCCAAGCTTCCCGAATGCTCCCCACTACTCCCGAAGGTTCCCCCCCATGAACCCCCCCTCCCTTAAGAACCCTAGGGTTTAGGGTTTAGGGTTTAGGGTTTAGGGTTTAGGGTTTAGGGTTTAGGGTTAAGCAAGTCCAAGAGGAGACAGGGTTGCTTAGGAAATGTGACATTCGACCAGCCATGTGCTGAGCAAGAGGTTTGGGTTTAGGGTTTAGGGTTTAGGGTTTAGGGTTTAGGGTTTAGGGTTTAGGGTTTAGGGTTTAGGGTTTAGGGTTTAGGGTTAGGGGTTAGGGGTTAGGGTTTAGGGTTTAGGGTTTAGGGTTTAGGGTTTAGGGTTTAGGGCGCGCCCCTTCCCAGCAGGTCACAGTCCAGCCTGGCTTCAATCAAAAAAATCGGGTTCAGGGCTTATAAGGTTCAGGGTTCACAAGGTTCTGAGTTTACAAGGTTCTGGATTTACAAGGTTCAGGGTGTATAAGGTTCAGGGTTTATCAGGTTCAGGGCAGTTTGAGGTCCCGATTGAAGAATCCGCCTCTTCGAGGTTCCGTGTCTCGGTCCGGGGCGGAGCCAGTTTCCTGAAACGGAAGGTGCGATCTCTTCGCGCCGGAAAGGATCCTCGGCGCTAGTCTAGGGTTTAGGGTTTAGAGTGTTTAGAGGGTTTAGAGGGTTTAGAGGGTTTAGAGGGTTTAGAGGGTTTAGAGGGTTTAGAGGGTTTAGACCTTTTTGCGCATTTTGTGGTTCAAGGTTCTCTTAGAAAGTAACCGAAAACAAGAATGGGTTCAAGGTTCCCTTAGAAAGTAACCAAAACAAAAAAGGGTACCCTGTTTGGAATAGTGTTGCTGGGCCACCAAGTTGCGCACTTACGTCAGACCAGGTGGAAGGGTCTTCTGAGGTCATTCTATAGGGCCAGTTCATCCAGGCTACTGGGGTTTACTTTAACAGATAGTATAATGTAGTATTTCAATATAGGACAGTCGCATACCGGACTCCAAACAGTGAGAGACTACATGTGGACACCTCAGAGCATTCCAATGGATCAAGAGCAAGCCGAAAAGACACCAAAAGCGCAAAAGCTCCAAAGTGACGAGAGTTCCGCATATCGCGCAATCACCAGACGTCCAAAAGCGTCGACGGCTTCGAGGACGGCGAGTGCGGCCGCATCGGCCCTCTTTTTCTTCACGTAGGAACCCCTTTATAAAGTAGTGTTGACGCACGGCTTGGGGAAATTACTGCAATAACCTCACAAACATACTTTTACTCACAACAAAATATAACAAGAACACAATAGATGTACGACCACAAAAAAATGCTTCATTTGTGGGGCCTACACGACGGGGCCTAAACCCTAAACTCTAAAGCTCTCCGAAACGTTTTCCTTGGACTCCCGAAACGCGCGATCGGGCATCGACGCTGTGTCGGGGGACGAAAGGGTCTAGGGTGAGTATAGGGTTTAGGGTCTATATATAGGGTTTAGGGTCTAAAGGGTTTAGGGCTAAGGCAGCTCGAAATCGAAATAAGCGGGTGTTGATCTTAGTAAGGAAGCAGATGGTTCGACTTGAAGAAAGACAAAGAGATACTCTACAAAAAAGCAGGTCCTACAAGCCTACAATTGAAGCTTCACTCGCCCCTAGCCCCCTAGTAGACAACACAAGCTCCAAAACCGAGAAGGAAGAGGAAACGCATTCAAGCCTTCTGGTAGAATGTTTAGGTGGACGACAGCTTGAACATGTAGCTATAATGTTGGGGGCCACAGTCTTGTTTTTGTTCGTGGATTCCGAGCGTTAGAACCGCTGTCGCGAGATGCATGGGGCTTCGAGAATCCGCTGTTTGAACGGTTTCCAGGATGGGCTAGTCGACCCTATACTGTAACCCTTAAAAAGGGGCCTTTATAGGGCTGTTAATGGGGGGGGTTATAGGGGCTAAACAACGCGCCGTTATAGACTTTATAGGGCTGTTTTTGGGGGTTACAGGGCCTAGTAGTCCCATCCTGTTTCAAGGGAATGCTATCCCTAAACCCTAAACCCTAAACCCCAAAGGTTTCGTTACGAGCTGCCCGGTCCAGGAGGCGCCGCAGCAGCCAGAGGGGGGAGGTCCTGAGCAGGAGCGGCTCCATGGTGAGCTCCTGAAGGTGCCAGGGATTTAAAGAGGGAAAGCAAAAAAAAATATATATATATATATATATATAGATATATGCATATATATATATACATATATATATAGAGGGTTTAGGGTTTAGGGATAGTATTCCTTATGGTCCCTTTATAGTCATACTATAGTTATCGTCAACACCCATTCTAATCATTAAGGCCCCAATGTTAGATGGCGGGTTTTGGGTTTACAGCGGGTTTTTGCTTTGGGAGAAGTTTAAGTTTCCCTTTTTTCCTCCTTATTATGAGGGAGCCTAGTCGTAAAATAATTTTCAAAGGGCTTAAAGCACAACTCAGATAGGTTATGGGGTAGGCTTGAGCTGGTACACCTGAAGATAGGCAAAACATGTCGCCAGCACACCCTCGTGAACAACTTCGTAGGCCCCTGAAATAGTGCAAAGGCTGCTTGCACATTGCTTGATGCAGCCACCGCTTAGGGTTTGCTTTGCACAGCAGAACTGCGTGGTGGGCAACACTTGCAAGACCCCGAACATTGCAAGCAGCCGTTAGTTGCCTTAGCCAAACGACCCTCAACGTAGCCTACGATGAAGTCGGCCAAACAAAAGTTGGGTACCCAAGCCGACAGCCTAAACATCATCTCGCGTCTGGAGGTACGTCATTTGATGGCCCACGGCTTGCTCTCGATTTATGCAGCCTTATGCAGCCTCATGGTCACAGCAAACCACGCGAACGTGTCTTTGAAGCTTCGGCTTTCTGGGGGGGGGGGTGTTGAGATCTAGGGTTTTTGTCAAACGGGCTTTCAGGGGCCCAGAGGGGGTCTGCTAGGCGGGTGGCAAAAAACCCCCTAAACCCTACATGGGCCTAAAAGCTTTTGGGCCAGGTACTTGCAGCATTCCCGGCCTTAAAGCGGAGCGCTCGGTGCGAGAGTGACCGAGGAATGGGCCACAACTCTACCTCACCAATCAAGGCCTGGGTTGAGGGTTTACGTCCTAAAGGTTTAGGGTTTTAGGGTTCTAGGGTTTTAGGGTTCTAGGGTTCTAGGGTTTTAGGGATTCTAGGGTTTTAGGGTTTTAGGATTTTCGGGTTTTAGGGTTTTAGGGTTTTAGGGTTCTGGGGTTCTAGGGTTTAGGGTTCAGGGTCTGGGGTTTCAAGGCTGAGGGCTAACGGGGGAGCGGCGAGTGCGACGGAGAGAGGGAGAGAGGGAGAAAGGGAGAGAGGGAGAGAGGGAGAGAGGGAGAGAGGGAGGTTGGGAGGCCAAATTCAGCAACAGAACCGGGCATCACCGGAGGTCTGTCGTCGGGGGGTGGGGGGTGGGTGGGGGGTGGGGGGTGGGGGTGGGGGGTGGGGGGTGGGGGGCGGGGGGTGGGGGTGGGGGGTGGGGGGTGGGGGGTGAGGGGGGGGCGACCCCCAAACCCACTGAGAAGAAGAACAAGAAGAAAGACATGCCGCGTGCAAGCTATGTGCAGATACAGACATACGCTCAGGAAATGTAGAAACAGATGTGAGAACAAACAGCGGTAGAATCATGTGTCGTGCTTTGAACCATTCTGAACCCTAAACCCTACTCCCTTTAAATGGCCATGAGTCAGACTGTCAGACCGAATCCTTGCCTGCCTTGTGCGAGTGTGAGAGCCGAAAGTTTAGGGTTTAGGGTTTAGGGTTTAGGGTTTAGGGTTTAGGGTTTAGGGTTTAGGGTTTAGGGTTGCATCCTAAACCCCGTACCAGTCTGCTTGAAGGCTCTTGGCTCTTCATTGCCGCCTTGGCCGTCCTGAGCTTATATGCATTTCTGCCTCGAAGCATGCTGAAGGTGTCGACCCTGACTCTGGGATGCAGCGATTATAGTATAACGCATGGCATGTTTGTATGTCTGTGTGATTTTTTGTTACGACTATTAATATCATGTACTAATATAGTATCTTACTCGTGTACTCTTGCACGTTTTCAGGGTTTGGGGTGAACGTCTCTCCTGTGGCGCATCGGATTGTCTGGAAAGAGCGCGGCAACTGAAGGGCTAGGGAACGTTGGCTTCGCGGGCTTTCGGGGCTTGTGTTTGTATAGTAGCGCAAGACCCAGAGTAGGCTCCCGTTGTTCAGGGTTTAGGTTCCCTTACCTGAGCCCCAAACCAAAATGGGCATCCCTTTTGTTCCCAGGTTAATCTTGGGTCGAGTGGCTATGAGCCATACAGCATCTAGCTCTAAACCACAAACCCTAAACCCTAGACCCTAGACCCTAAACCCTAAACCCTAGCTAGGCTTCCTGAAAACTTAGCAGCTGGGATGCTGTGTAGGCTGTTCATGTCTCAGCCTCTGGCGCCCTCATGCCACTTCATAAGGCATCCTACAGTGCAAGGTATATACTACGAGTTGCATAAGATCTTCCCCACGAAATGTTCTTCCTCATAAGGGCAATAGCAAGGCACTAGGGAAAAACAAGGGCAATACAGGGACCATTTTTCTTGAGCTTTTGGAGGGTTCTGAAGCAAATAGTAGTATAGCCAATCAGACGCGCAGCGAAGCAGCAGTGGCACGTAGAGTGTGCTGAAAGCAGGGATCTACATGCGAACGAGCAGCAGAAGAAGCTATGCTCGTGTAAGGCTCAGTTCAACGCCCCTCTTCGCCCGAAACCCTCAACCCGTGAATCCTAAGCGCAGCCTCTCCTATCTGCCATCTAAATTTGGGTTTTTGGGGTACCCCCCCATACTAGTTGGCGACGCGCGCACAGGGCGCCTGGTCGTCCAGCCTGTTCAGGGGGGGGGGGGGGGGGTGTTGGGGCGGGGCCGTGTGATTTCAGGGCCTTGACGTACTGTAAAACGCATGGGATTGCGTCAAAACGAATTAGCTTGCACTAACTTGCACTGCCCCTGTTGGTGCCTGAAATCCTGTTAAGACCTACTTTTTCTAACCACATTCAGGACGCCAAGTTAGCCAGGCGTACTACGCGCGCGTGACCGAGTTACTAGTTATCTTGGGGGTCTTTGGGGGGGGCAGTGGGGGGTTGGCCCTATGTCTAGATGTCGACTAGATTCTATAAGTCCATGATATGGAGCAGGACAGACGTTGCAACAGCCCAAGGAACGCCTGGTTCGCCTTCTTCGTGATCTTCTGTTTGTGTTTTGCTGCTCCGGGGACTTTACCAGCTTTTCGCATTCAAGATTCCCTGATCCTTGCCGTGGTCTTCCGGCTTCCTGTGACCGTGGTGGCAACGCGGACGCTGTGGGCTGCTTGCCAGCAGGACATAGCATTGGGAGAGCAGGGCAGTTAGTACAGTCGCCTAGCCTGAATGTAGCCCTAAACCCTACATGATCACCAATACGATCTTCTCGCATTCTGGCCCTGTCATGATGAAAGCCCCCTGGCCCTGGTTGTGCACAGCCCCAGAGTGTCGAGTGTCCCTGGAGTGCCCTGCCCAGTCCCAAAGTGAGCTCCTCGCAGATTCCTTGCCTGCAGGGTGGGGATGTGCGAAGTACAGTATGTGCCATTTTTTCTAGGAGGGGGGGGGGGGGGTGTATAGGTTTTGGCGTTTAGTAAGTCTTGGCTGAGCCACGCAACCTGATCCAGGTCGCACTGGGCAATGTTCCCGTATCTGTGCTGATCCTTGGCTGGACAACTGTGGCTACATGCTCCGTATACTAACGGTCCTCAAGAAGGATTAGACTACCCCTTCTATAATCCCTATTCAGGGCTGTTAGTATTAGGGGGAACATCCCAACCCTAAACCCTAAACCCCTTATGACCAAGGATCGTTTGGCGGTTCGGATCAAGTCCCGCCGCGCAAGCGGCAGGCAACTCCCTCCCTGTGTGCCAGGGCAGCCAGGGAGGGTTTAAGGGTGCATTCAGTTTAGGGTTTAGGGTTTAGGGTTTAGGGTTTAGGGTTTAGGGTTTAGGGTTTAGGGTTTAGGATTCCGGGCTCAGTGGCTGTGCCCGGTCGCTTGGGGCCTCGTACTTCCAGTGGTCCCAACGATGCCTCATAATTCTACGACCGAAGTTTCTCCAGCCTGAAGCATGGCTATGAGACCTACTCCTAGCCTTGCAGCACTCTCTGCGCAAGTTGAATGTTCGTCACTTGGGGGTTTAGGGCGTTTGGTGTCGGATTTGGCAAAGTTTTAGGTGAGGTTTTGGTTGGTTGCGGCTGCACGCTGTTCTGGGATTGTGAGACAAGGGCTTGTATGGTGGGGATTGGGAGCGCCGAGGTATCAAGGCCTTGACGGCGACGTGTGGTCGCTCACGGCATGTTGTTCTTTGCTAACCCGACGATCAAGCCAAAAATCACCGCATGCCCACCCTAAACCCTAAACCCTAAACCTGAGGGGATGAGTCTAGCTTGCTTGTGAGGTTCGATGGACAGCCCTCGTGAAATACAGCAGACAGCTCAAAGATAGCCTCAAGAACGGAGTCTTGGGTTTTCCATTAGCTACCGAAGAGACTTGTAGTAAGCATAACCTGCAAAGAAGTAGCGTTGAGGCTCATAGCATCGACCCGAAACCCTAAACCCTAGACCCTACACCCTAATCCCTAAACCCTAAACCCTAAACCCGCACACAAAGGATCTTTGTCATGGCGCTTGAAGCGGCAATCTGCACTCTTGCAGCGTGCATCTCCTCCGGAATGAGCTTCCAGCCTTGATATGATGGGGTCTTTTGCCCACAAGGGGGTTTAGGGGTTAGGGGTTTAGGGTTTAGGGTTTCTAGGGACTCACGCAAGCCTGCTGCAAAAGGGTTTCTAGGTTTGGGGTTTGTTCAGGACACGCTGACCGCGTGGGGGTGCAGAGCAGGACCCTCTTTAAAGTCGAATCGTTCCCGGGATCCGGAATGTTTTTTTCAGAACTTAGGCCTTGTTTCGAAGATAGTTTAAATCGATGTCCTTGCCTCTTAGCTTTAAGGCCGGGCCTCTGAATCTTAAAGGCAAATCTTCTTTCCAAAAACCCGACATCTCAACTGACACGAAATCACGAATTCCCTCTTTAAAAAAGAACCGTATAGACAAAATATAGAAATTTTCGCTTCATCACTCCGGCAAAGGGGTGGTCCATGATCCAGCACAACCTCTCATAGTAGGCACTGCTTCGAGAGCCGCTTTAATGTGCTTAAATTCCGATGGATCCCTTTTGAATTTATGTAATTTCCTCCGTCTTTTATTCATATACAACCCCCGGACCGTTTAAACAGGGCGAAAACCAGCTTGGACTTCTGGGGGGCGGGGGGGGGGGGGGGGGTGGGCACACACTAAACAGGGTTTAACAGTAATTTCTTGTATTACTATATGTTATATCACTGTTAGAGTATCTTTATTTCAAGCTAGCTGTAATTCTGAGGCTTTACTGTAGTCAAAATGGCCGGCACGTCAAGACCAACTGCCAACCTTGGGATATTCCCCCTTATACTGGCAGCCCTTAACAGGGATTATAATAGGGGGGTACTCTAATCCCCATTAAGGACTGTGTTGGTATAAGCGGCAACATCCCAACTTATATACCCTATCTAGCCCAAAGCCCATACATCAGAGCCCTAAGGGACCCTTTTCGGGGCCCATGTAAACCCCCCCAAGGGAACATCCCAAAGCCAACCTGTAGCCAGAGTCACAATACATAGGGTTCATTTAGGGGCTACTTAGGTAAAGGGTCCCTTGTTGGGGGTCCCTCCTTATACCTGACTTAGCCAATAGTTGAACTTTAAACTTTTTGGGTTTCCTTCTTTAGTAGCTTTTTTTCCCTTGGCTATTGGAGAAGTAAGATACCCCTTAAGAACCCCCGTCAGAGTCCCAGTCCCTGAGGTGAGCTGATGCGCCAACGGGCATCCTTACGATGTGAGAACAACAAGACTCTTGGGCGGGTCAGTGCCAAGCCCTAAACCCTAAACCCTAAACCCTAAACCCTAAACCCTAAACCCAGAGTGGTCAGCGAGGCAGGTGGCAAGAGCAAAAAACCTAAACCGCTTGCACCCCCCCCTACATCCTGAGGACTCCAAAAGTTCATACCAGCAAGAGTTGCGAAGGCCTGTGTCAGTAGAATGCTCGACACTTCACCCCCGGGGCAAGTCATGCTTGTGGTTCCCTCAGCCAATGGTCTCCTTCAGGAAGTATCTGTTCCTCGTAATAAAAAGTTGGAGGGGGAGCCTTCGACAGATGCTGGTTTCCGAAAAGGGGGAGGGGGGGGTACCTTATTGGGGTCCTTAGTATAAGTGGCAATCGTACTATTTCGGGGGTGTTTTAGGGGTCCCCTGTTTTTTGTAAGCCCCTAGATGATGGTCGCAACTGATGCTTATTGTGGTCTGACCCTGGAGGGGAGTATAGAAACTCTAACGAGTACCCGAGAATTTTGAGAGGATGGAAGGAGAGCCGACAACTGTGGGCATGGCGGCCCCCAAAGTCGGTGGTTCAGCAACGGTATGCCTAAGGATCTCTTCTGACAACTCAGCCATCAGCGCGCTCTTGCGGCTCATGAGCGATGCCGTGATTGAGCTGGATCAGGCCGTCCGACCAGTTTTGAGTTTAGGATTCAATTCCGGGGAGATGTACCTTACGTACTTGCTAGGTAGGTACCAGGCCCCTGGTTCTAGGTACATGGTTATAGGAAGAGCGCAGGATCTGCGGATGATCCGCCACTCACCGGAACTCAGCGCGATGCTGTTGCAACTCGTCAGCTGAGGGTTTTGCAAGCGGTTCGGGAGGTTTAGGGTGTAGGGTGCATCGAGTATCGAGATCTTGAATTCTGGAGCCCAGAAAATGAAAAAAGTTGCATGATGTGGGGGGGGGGGGGTGTTAGGGGTTTTGGGGTTGAGCATTTAGCTGTTGAGCTCTCCCCTGGCCTCGCCCTCCGGGGACAAAAACGGGGGCTTCGGAAATTTCTAGGGGGGCCTGGGGGCTTCAGATGTAGGATGAATTAGGGGGTTGGGCGCTTGAGATGATGTAGGGGCAGTTGAGATGAAGACAGCCATGCACAAGGTTTAAGGGCTAAGCTATAGTGGTTTCGGCCAACTCGAGGGTTTTTTTTGTGTTGGACTTTAGGGTCATGGGGTTTGAGGAGTTCAGAGTGGCTTACCGGGCTTAAATATGCCTGTGGGTTTAGGGTTCACCGGAGCTTTAGAATAGTTTTGGAATCATAACCTGGGAGGAAGGTAGGTGTAGGGTGCTGATGGCAGGGGTTTAGCGTGTCGAGGAGTCTGTGACTCAGGGTCTCAGCCACTGGCCATTTAGAAACTTATAGGACTTCTGCCATGATTCAACTTCGGTATGTTTGCTCAAACCCCTTGCAGCCTTCTGCTTGCAAGCTGTGCTGCCTACATGCTGATGCTGCTTGCAACGTGAAGGTTGTAATCAGGGTGGCATCAAGTTCTTTCACAACTGTCACAGCGAAGGATTCAGCTGACAAATGACCTCGGGTTTAGGGTTTAGGGTTTAGGGTTTAGGGTTTAGGGTTTAGGGTTTAGGGTTTAGGGTTTAGGGTTGCCTTAAGGGAACAACATCTCCTTATGTCCACCCTTATCCCCTGGCGCGCCCGTAAGCCTCGAAAGCCTCGAAGAACATGACGTTGGAATCCTCTGAGGCGAGATCGACCCGGCGCTTCAACCGAGGGCTTGGACGCTAACCTTGGATTGGGCCTGTGGGGGCATTAGGTCTTACGGTTTGGGAACCAAAAAAAAACGCGTGTGCCACGCAAGCCCGGTGCAAGCAGGGTTTGAAGTCCTTGAGGCGCGATTGTTGTCATGTCTTGGGGGAGATGCTCGCACCGATTTCTGCAGAATGTAGAGTAGGGCTTTGCCAAAGGAACACAAGTCTCTCCGGTCTAGTGTTTCTGTAGAAGCCAGCATATGACCACCGCAAAGACCACGCCTACAGGCGCCCTGAGTTACTAGACCTCGAGACCCCCCCCCCCCCCCCCCCCCCCCAACAACAAAACAGCGTGTCCTCAAGTGTCCTGTTCACTTGATACCTCTTTCACATTTGGACACCTGAGCCATACAGCTGTGCTCCCAAGGACGGAGTAGCGATCACATGAACCTAAACCCTAAACCCTGAACCCATCTCGCCCTGACTCGCGAACTCTCACAGTCTGCTTCATGGAGAAACACGAAGACTCCAAGACCCTAAACCGAATCCTTACCTGCCTTTCACGAGCGTGAGAGCCGAAACCCCAAACCGGAAACCCCAAACCGCATGACTAGAGATCTAACCCACACCGCTCACTGCCCCACTACTTGGAGGTTCATGAGTACTTCTATGTGGGTCTGTGGGTTTTGGGTCTAGGGTTTAGGGTTTGCGAGGATAGGCGGGCGTCTGGCAGGCAGTCAACAAGTCCAGCTTCAAAAAGGTTTAAGCCTGCAGCAGCAAAGGGTTAAGGCTTAGGTTAGGTTTAGGGTTTACAAGTATCCGAAATCAGGTTATGAGGAATCGTATCCTTGAATGCTTTGCAACCCTATTCTAAGTACCCCCAAAAGCAAACCCTAAACAAGTGGCGATACCAAGGCTTTCACCGACTTCATCCATGCGGCAGACGCGGCCAGGGCTGCCGAACTCTTGCTCAACCCAATTTGCGCGACTAGTCTGATCTAGAGCTCTCTTACGTTTAGGGTTGAGGGTTCAGGGCGGTGGCCTAACACAAGGCTCCCTATTGTCATGTGAACCCTAAAGCTGCTCTCCTGTGCTTTACATGGAAATCCCGCCATGTTTGGGGTTTGGGGGCCTGAGTCACAGATGCCACTGCCAACCGCCAAACTCTCGACCCTAATCCGAAATCAAATAGCCATGGACAGAAGTTCATGACATTGTCGACTCAAGTTCTCAAGCACAGCGTTGCAGCAACCCTAAACCCCGAACTCCCCAAAGACCTAAGCAACCCTAAACCCTGAACTCCCTCAACCCTAAGCTCCCCAAAGCCCTAAACCCTAAACCCTAAACCCCAAACCCCAAACCTCCTCGAGCCTTATCAGAGATCAGGTCGGCACTGGCGCCCACGCGTTTCACACGCGCCTGGTGGATACTTTCTCCAACAAGGCGCCTCAAGCACTTTTTTCGGGTTGAGCTTTTTTTGCAGTGTAGGGTTTAGGGTTTTTAGGGTTTAGGGTTTAGGGTTTAGGGTTTAGGGTTTAGGGTTTAGGGGGATTCGAAGCTAGGGCCTGTATGATTTGTTTTGTAGGGAGTTTCTTTTGTCGGCGGGCGGGGGGGGGGGGGTTTGAAGTCTGGGGTTTAGGGTTCACGGTGCTGGAGAAAAGGGTCTGGGGTTTGGGGCGTCGTGCTGAGTGGCGAGAATGCTACTTGCCGGTTCCAGGGCTGCATGACTTAGTAGTAGAGTAGCTAACCTTTAACCTTTTTTGGGTTTATATATTCCCCTTATATTCCCAAAGGTTAACCTTTAAAACCCCTAGGTACTGGACAACTAAGATGAAGAGAGCCGAGGTGCAGATCTGAATCGTTTGCTTGCGGCATTCCCTGGCCTAGACCAAAAGCTTTCTGGTTCTGTGTAGGGAATGAGGGCGGTGATATAGGGCAGGCACCTCATTCCCCCATTCCCTACAAAGAACCCGGGCGAAAGGGCTTAGCCCAATGAGGTTGACTACTCTTTGCTTAAAAAACATCATGACCCCTATTTACCTTATAAGGAAGAATATGTTTTTATTATAGGTGACGGGGTACTAAAGTCCCTATTGAAATCTGTTAGTATAAGGGGAGGGAACATCTCAAGATTCAAGGCTTAAAGTAAAGTCGGCTTTAAGGGTTTTCGGTTTGAGGGCTCAATCTTTCGACCTCGTGCTAGCTCCCGGCCTTTGCAAACTCTACTTTGATTTGTATAGGTTGGGATGTTCCCCCTTATACTAACAGTCCTTAATAGGGATTACTAGATTACAGTACCGCCACATGATAATCCCTATTAAGGACTCTTAGTATAAGTGGTAGCATCCCAATACGTAGGCCACGTGTTTTGATTCTAGCCGTCGCTCTTTGAGTCCTTGTGTGTGGGCCGGCATCCTTGTTCCAACGAGTCTATAAACCCTATAAACCCCATCAACCCTACAAACACTACAAACCCTAAAAACCCTAAACTCGCGAGTCCAAGTTGTGTTGGGTCGTGTTCAAGAAACCCTAAACCCTAAACCCTAAACCCTAAACCCTAAACCCTCAAGAGGTCTGCGTTGAGATCTTCGCAGTGATGACGGAGACTTCGGAGGGAGAAGTTCGCCATCTGCAGCCTGGCAGGATTCCTAGGACCCAAGAGCAGGCGATCGTTTTCCTAGGGTTTAGGGTTTAGGTTTTAGGGTTTAGGGTTTAGGGTTTAGGGCAGGGCCTGATTTTTCGAGGGTTTAGGGCCCTGGTTTAGATCGAAGTTGGCCGATACCATTTGAGGCTGGGGCTACGGGATTTCACGGACTCGCCATCCCTGTCTGGCGAGCGAGCCACCGACGCCATGGACCCGTTCTTAGGGTTTAGAGTGTGTGCCGGGGGTTCAGGGTTTAGGGGCTTAAGGGTTTAGGGGTTTAGGGGGAACAGCCTATAATGCTCACTTGAACGTAGAGTACCCCCCCTGCACAGTGGTACAGGTAGCCTCCTGAAGGACCAGATTTAGAAATATCATAGGCGTAGGGCCCAAGTGTACCTTTGGATATCTACTACTGCATAGTGGGTGCCCAGCCTGACTTAGCTAGTACGGGATTCCACGCTTCCGGTCTGGAGTGGCAAAGTAGGGCCTTCTTTCGCACATCTTTCCCTCCGAAGAGGCTCTTGTTAATTACTCAAAAACTTGTCCGTTCTTGCCATTGGGCCTTAGAGGGCCCGCCGACGTATCGATCGAAAGTTGCCGATATCGCATGTCGAACACGGGTCGAAGGGCAGTTTTAGTGGGGCAAAAGAGAGGAATATGGCAAAGACGCACATTCTCGCGGATTTTATCGGGAAGCGACCAACAACTTGAGCCTTTAATGGTTTCAATCTTTCGCTCGCAGTTATGGGGTTTGGGGCTTCGGGTTATAGGCATATGGGGGTTTCCGAAATTAGGAGTACCTTATTGAGGCCCCTTTTTATACGGGAATCTTACTATTTGGGGGTCTATTTTCGGGGTTCCCCTTTTTCGTAACCCTATACCCTAAACCGCAGAAGCATTGAGGCGTGCAGGGCGTTGCATTCTCGAATTGCGCAGGAAGCGACGGTGTGCGGCTCGATGTCCGTGGCGAGCTTTTCGGGTGGCTTTGGCGGTTTAGGGTGTAGAGGTTAGGGCTTAGGGTTGAGTAAACCCTAAACCCTAAACCCCAAACCCTAAACCCTAAACCCTAAACCCAATTGAGGGTTTAGGGTTTAGGGTCTTAGGCGTCAGATGCCTCCAGGCTTGATGGAAAAGAGTTTATAATCTTAAGAACCTAAAAACCTTTATGCTTGCGGGTTGCCTATAATGCTGCCATAGGCTTCAGTATCTTGCTAGAACCTGAGCAAGAAAGGTTGTGAGTCTTCGTGGGAGCTGTTGGTTCTTGAGGTAGGATTTGCAGGGTTTAGGGAGGTGCCACACTCGCACCAGCAACCATGTCAAAATAAGGGCACACTTGTTTGCGCTGGCTACTTTAGAAGGGAACCCAGAACCAAAAAAACAGGGAAAAGGGTACCACTGGGCTTCTAAGGGTTTCGGGGCAACGAAGCTGGAAAGGGTCGGGGCGTGGCGATGTTGTTCCTTTGCAGGGTTGGGATGTTCCCCGTTATACTAACAGTCCTTACTCGGGATTTTTGTACCACCAATTACTGTTAGCATTAGGGGTAACATCCCAAGTGCCGGGTCTTGGGCCATGTGAGCCGTAATTCCAGTCGGCCACATTGTTTCTCGGACAGCCCACGGCAAACCTGACAGGCCTTTCGTCATTTAGGCAGCTGTACTAAACCACAACCTTTGGCGCCTCACCCTGAACCCTATAAACCCTAAACCCCCAAAGTTCCGTCTCATTGGCCCTGCTAGGGGCCATAGGCTTGGAAGCAATGCGACTTTCCTTTGCTGGCTGCAGGTTTCGGACTTCGACAACAGGGTTGTAGAAAAGATGCCCCGCAATAATGCTACCAAGAACCCTTAAAGCCAACAAGAGCCGCCCCCCCAGAACCCACAACCCACAACCCAGAACCCTAAACCCTAAACCCTAAACCCTAAACCCTAAACCCTAAACCCTAAACCCTAAACCCTAAACCCTAAACCCTAAACCCTAAACCCAACTTCAAGGTGAGGAGAAGCTCAGCTGCTCCGATGTCATCTCCCCGACACAGAGTTGGGCGCCAGAGGACGGGCTAGTGAAGCCGGCTTGTGGTATCAAGGGACTAAAGGAGGGACCCTTAGGGTTTAGGGTTTAGGGTTTAGGGTTTAGGGTTCAGGGTTCAGGGTTTAGGGTTTAGGGACCCTTGTAAGGGAGCTTAGGGGTTATTTAGGGGTTATTCCCCTCGTGGTAGCACATATAATATAAGATAAGCATGCAATAGAGAAGAAGATAATTTTCATTAGCATACTCGAAAAGTAGAAGCAGTATGGTATATTACAGCAAAGCAGAGTAGAGTAGAGTGAGTGGGGAGGAGTAGATCATAAAGACATCGGGTGTGTTGTTCCTCGGCTGGAGAGGCAATAATGGTTAAGGGTTCAGGTTTGGGGTTTAGGGTTTAGGGTTTAGGGTTTAGGGTTTAGGGTTCAGGGTTTAGGGTTTAGGGTGGTTGCGCTCTGAACTTGCAGGGTGCGCGCGACAAGTTCTCCGGGTGTCGCTTTGACGTCAATTGCCTGGCGGGGATCCGGAAGAGGGAGGGGGAAGGCATTAAAAGGACAACTTTTTGGATCCACATTTGGGAAGTTTACGAAAATAGGGGGACTCGCAAAATGAACCCCCCCCAAATAGTAGGATCCACTAAAAGTAAGGACCCCAAGAAGGTACCCCTAATTTCGCAAACCACCATGGGGAGAGTGACAACAGCGGTGGACGGCTGAAGCGCCAAGAGCCACGCAACGAGCCACTGCTGCGTCGCTGCCACAAGCGTGGGTGCAAAACCCTGAGCCAAAAGACAACGACCCAAAGGCTCCACTGCAGTTCCTTTTTGGGTTAGTTTTTGGGGATTCTAGTATACGGCCCCAAAAAGGCCATGTAGTAGTAGAGTAGGTACAGTAACCTTCAAGCTTTTAGGGGTAGTAGAATCCCCTGAAAAAACCCAAAGGTTAACCTAAGAAGGTACTACATGGGAGTCTTAAACCCTAAACCCTAAACCCTGGAGCCCGCAGAGGAGTGGTCGAGAGCCACCCCCGTCAAGAAGCAGGCCTTCTTAGATCTGGATATGGAGGCTCCCCTTGGTTTGGTTATGGGATTTCGAATTTGGAATTTAGGGTTTTAGGCATAGCCTACAACTTGCTGAATGAACCCCGAACAATATGACAGTGTTCTTCCTTATTAAGGGTAATGTAGGGATTGTTATCTGTTATTATTTTGGGGTTCTTAAGCAAATAGTAGTAGCCCTTCTCAGCTTTGGGATCTGCCAGACACGAGCCCACTTTCATGCATCAAGGTGAAAGTCATCGCCAGTGCCTCACCCTCGGTGAGCTTCGCCGCTGGCCTGTCCCTTGATGACTTTTTCCCATCTCCGCACACCACGCAGCTCATGCAGCAGGCGGGCCGCACACCCTAAACCGGCCCATGTTCATTGGAAGATCCGGCTGCTACTCTGAGTTCCCAACCCCGGAATTTTGCAGCGGTGCGCGTCTTGGGCGGGCAGATGTCGAGTAACACTGGTGTTCACAACGTTTCCGAAACTTCTTGCTGAGGGGTTTCCTCATCTGCCTCTGCTGACGCATGCCGTTAAATTCTCGTGATGGAGTACTTTTCAAGTCTTGGCCGAGGTCCTTTCCCGAAACCCTATAAACCCTGTAAACCCTATAAACCCTATAAACCCTATAAACCCTATAAGCCCTATAAACCCTATAAACCCTATAAGCCCTATAAGCCCTATAAACCCTATAAGCCCTATAAGCCCTATAAACCCTATAAACCCTATGAACCCTATAGAACCCTATAGAACCCTATAGAACCCTATAAACCTGATCAACCCTAAACGCGCAAGTCGTGGGGCTCTCCAGGGCTCCCAGAGCCACAGCGTCAGAGCGCAGGTCTGCGACGAAGCACAGCGCGGCCTCGAAAGTGATGGTAGCATCCCGAACAAGGCAGGGCGGGATTTAGGGTTTAGGGTTTAGGGTTTAGGGTTTAGGGTTTGGGGTTTAGCTTTATAGGGTTTGGAGTTGGGTGGGAGTGATATGCTTCAGGTCGGATTCCGTTTACGCGCCCTTTCTTGCTTTTGCCCGAAGGCTTGGTCTCAATGCGGGATCTTGGTTGGGTGGGATTTCAGGCAGGGGTTTAGGGCTTAGGGTTCGAGACGGGAGTCTGGCTTGCCTTCAGTCCAGTGGCAATGGTTTCACATTCAATAACTCTCCAAGATTCCTTCGATCCTTGGATGGGAAGCAACCCTGTGCAACGCAAGATGCATGCAACTTCCGGGCCAGGGCAGCGCCACAGCAGGAAGAGATGAAAAACAACTCGAGAAACTGCTTTTAAGAACTCGCAGTCCTTAAACACATTCCATCGTAGCTGCAACGCCTTGGGTACCGGGTGTGGTCCCATGCAGGTTTTCAACTTCGAAGACCTTCCGGTTCGGTGGACATCGTCCAAGTACGGCAGCCTCGTCGGGGCGTTTCAAGTGGTTCGCACACGATTTGGTGGCTTAGGACGCGCGAGGGCGGTAGTGGGTAGCCGAATGACCTTAACCCTAAACCCTAAACCCTAAACCCTAAATCCTTATCCCTAAACCCTAAACCCCCTGTGCAAGCTGTGGGTTACATGGTCTCACATCGTAAGGCTACGGGTCTTCACAATTCTTATGGTTTCCAGGTTGTTGCAAAAAGTGGCTACTTTGAGGTTGCAAGTGGAGTTGCCAGTGGCCTCAATAAGTTAAGGTTATAACCAATTACCCCACGTAAATGTACCCATGAACGTGCAAACAAGGCGTCGGCGTCACACATGCAGGTTGACGTGCAGCATCGGGCGTTAAGCACGCTTGGATGCGCGTACTCCAACTGATTTGAGTGAGTGATATCCTCTCTTAGCACAGCTTCAACAAGCCTTAACTTAAAACCCTGAACCGTGAACTAAACCCTACATCCTAAACCCTAAACCCTAGATTTATACAAGGCAGGTGGCAATGAACAAAGGTTAATTAGCACTCGATGTATTCTTTCAGCCTTGAATACGTTAAGCCCCAAGACCTCCCCCCCTGCACAAGCTTCAATCGGTTCAGGGTTTAGGGTTTAGGGTTTAGGGCTTATGCCTAAGATGCAGGTTTTTTTGTGGACATCCTCTAGAAGACCTTCAGGGCAGCGATTTCAATTTCTGGCTCGTTTTTCTGCCGGCAGGCATCCAGTCTGGCTTCAAGAGGCCTAATGTAGGGGCGTATATAAATAATCAGAACAGGGTTTTGGGGTCATTATTGTATAAATATAAGGGGACCATAAGGGACCATCAGCAAACTTAAATCATTAGAACAGGGTTTTGGGGATCATTATCGTATATTTACATGGCGACCATAAGGGAATATTACTAAACCCTAAAACCCTAAACCCTAAACCCTAACGGGTTTTAAGCCTCAGCCGCAAGCTCAAGTCCAGGAGTCCTCCTTGCCTTCGAGGACCCGGATTGGTCGCAGCTCCACACAAACTCCCGGGCATCCGGCAAACCGGCGCAGTAGCTGGGCAAGAGATGTTTACCTAAGGGTTTAGGGTTTCGGGTTTAGGGTTTAGGGTTTAGGGTTGGGCAAGAGATTGCTAGTTACTAGGTAGGCCTTTGGGACATTCTACATTTCCCCTTATTCTGTTTAAGAGGATCATGTTCAGGAATAGTTTGCAGAGGGTTTTAAGGGCCATCCTAGATTATCAGGAAAGCTCAGGAAGCAGGAGGGTGAAGGGTTTTGAGTTTTTGGGATGTTTGGGGTTTGGGTTTTTTTGTTCAATCCACGTTTGCCTGAAGCACCTCTAGCATCCTCACAGACAAGACCCCAAATGCACCAGGACCTCCAATACAATTACCCATCATCAGTCGCCCCCTGTAGCACAGTAGCTACTAGGTAAGATTTTTGGGGGGTGCCCTTTTGGGGGGAAGGACCCCCATGAATACCTACAACACTCTTCCAAAAGTCCTAAAGCCTGCGTATCCCATCCCGTGCACAGCTTGCGTTTTACGTCCCTAGGCATGAGGGCCTTTCAGGGGCTGAAGTTTTCAGCACGGGGAATGTCATGTAAGCTCGGTAGAGTCTACCCAAAGGCTCCTATTTAGTACCTTTTTGGGGTGGTATACTAGAATCCCCCATGCCCTATGACTAACCCCAAAAGGAACTGTAACTACATTGGAGCCTTTGGGTAACAGGGCCTTGGTGTGTTGAGGGCTTCTCTGCTCACTTGTGAGTGTGGGCGGCTTTTTGGTCTAGGGTTTTGGCTGCGGTTTTTGCACATGTGTTGGGATCTTCCCTCTTGTACTAGCAGTCCTTCGTAGGATTATGATAAGGGGTACTATAATCTCCATTGAAGGCCGTTTAGTTTAGGGTACTATAGTCCCTATTAAGGACTGTTAGTTTAAGGGGAAAATCCCAAGACATGTGTCAAATGTAAGCGCAGCCCAACACAGCAGCTGCAGCAGCCCTAAGCCGGCTATGCATCCATGCCCCTCAAGCTGTACGTTGTTTTTGTTTGGTGCTGGGTGGAAGATTATATGGGAATACTTCATACTTTTTGACGTTTAGAGACAGCTACCAATATTGACTTTCCCCTTCTAACCCCAATACTGGTATAGTTTCACTCACCTATAAACGTTCTAATGAACAAGACCTCCCCCCCCCCCCCCCCCCCCCCCCCCCCCCCCCCAAATATTTGCATTCATTATCTGCATGGCCACGTAGTTGCAAACCCCGACACATTGGGCTGACCTGTCGAGTCATTTTCTGCTGAGTTTTGTGGCAATGTGTCGTGTATGTCCGAGTGTGGTCCGCGAGGCAGGTGGCCAAAAAAAACCGAGACGACTTGAGAGGCGAAAAAAGGCCACCACCTCTGCCCTGATTAGATGCAGTTCCGTTTTGTTGGGTTACATAGGTTTCTTAGGATATACGTACTAGTTTAGGGTTTGGGGTTAAGGGTTTCGGGTACCCTGAACCCTAAAGCCGAAACTCAGACCATCAAGGGTCCAAGGAACCGTGCGAGCCCTATAAGCTACCCGCGTCAGTCCTTCGAATGGGGCCTTTTTTTGTTTGTATATATATATATACACACCCTTAACCCTAAACCCGATTATATCCATATCAGATGATCTTCCATCACGGTGTCCCAGGTCCAGGGCCTTGAAGAAGCATCGGTCATCGACGCCTGCTGGCTTTGTCATATGGTGGGGGGTTTAGGGTTTAGGGTTTAGGGTTTAGGGTTTAGGGTTTGGGGTTTGGGGTTTAGGGTTTAGGGTTTCGGGTGCGGGCTTCTTGAATGCTACGACTGCCACACCCAAGGCCCGGTCAATCTCATGATCTTTGAGTGTAGATTGCAGTCGCATCTTGCAGGGTTCCTTTGCCTCATCCAGGACTATATGCTTATTTTGTATACACACAAAAAATAAATAAATAAAAAAAAATATATATATATATATATACATGCAACTGTTCGTAGAACAGAACCCCCTAAACCCACACCCTATAGAGTTTGGGTTTAGGGGTTTCTGGTCTAGGAACAGTTGCAGGTGAGCTTTCCCGTAGAACCCCTTATTGCGGCAGTATGTAAGATATCCCTACCTGGGGAACTCCCCTCCCGAAACAATCGCTGCAGGGATGACATAGGAGGGACCCTTAAACCCTAAACTCGGGACCCCTAAACCAGAAACCCTAAGCCCTGAGCCCTAAACCCTAAACCCTAAACCCTAAACCCTAAACCCTAAACCCTAAACCCTAAACCCTAAACCCTAAACCCTAAACCCTAAACCCTAAACCCTAACCCCTAACCCTAAACCCTAAACCCTAAACCCTAAACCCTAAACCCTAAAACCTAAAACCTAAACCCTAAACCCTAAACCCTTGCGGTTCGTTCGGCCAGCTACGCGGGAGAAAACAACAAATGCCTAAACCCAAACCCGGGTCTCCTTGTCAGTTCGAGGGCTTCCCAAAACACTTACTGTTGGTTAGCCACGAATCAAAAAATTAGGGCCTTATTTGCACACGTGAAGGGATTGCAGAGGGTACTTCCTTCCCCCATTCCCTACTCACCAACAGTAAGAAACATGCAGGCATGCAGCGGGAACGCCAGGACGCAGCCAACAGAATACCCGAACGCCACTGTGAGGCTTGATGTCGCCATGTGGTTATATAAGCGCTTAGGCCGTGGAGTTCTTTCAAGAGCTTGCTCGTTGTACACGTATGTGTATGTATATACATATATACCTATATACAATACTACATATATGTACATTGTACATTCACAAAGAACACTTCCGAATGATATGTGCATGTTTTTGTGCAGTTGTTCATTTTTTGTTTAGATTTTTTTGTTTTGTGGTTGCTGACTCCATCGGCAGCGAACCAGCACTTGGCTTTGCCAACCGGATTGTATATCGTCGCGAAGACTCAGCGCACATGGTGGTCCCAGCACATTTTCCATTTAATTGTTGCGGCGCCATCTGTTGACTGAATGTACATTGTCTTCTTTCAGACAACCCCCGAAACCCCTTCCTGGCTTATGGTTCAGGATTCTTCCCTAAACCGTAAACCTTGAAAATTCGGAACATCCCTATTCGGCTTTGCCTATGCTCATATTTTAATCCTTGCCAGCTTTGTCCTCCTCGTTGAAAGCAACCTGTTCAGAATCCCTGCCTGTGATGACTATGCTGTGCCAGCGTTCCTCTCGGACGAGATTCCACGCCTTTGCAGACTTACCAGGTCTGATTAGGGAATTGTGGGGAATATCGATACCTTATGTTTCACGCATACAACCTTTTGAGGGCTGTGGGCAAGCTGATCCCAAATTTCCCTGTGAAAGAACCGGTAAGCTGACTGCGAACAGTGCCAAGCGCAGGATTTTGCTGCCCACAGGGCTGGCCGGGTTGAGTTGCAAGAAGAGTTTGCAGTAGCCTGAGCAAGACTACACACACATGTATGTATTTGTGTATATATATGTATATGTATATATGCACATACACGCACACACACACATGCATACATACAGACATGCATACATGCATACATACATACATACATACATACACACATACACGCATACATATACATACATATATACATACATATGAATGCATACACGCGCACATGCTACTTCTGGCACTCCATTGGTCTTGAAGCACTGGTAGTGTTCAAGGCTATAATTCTGTTCTTATATGATAAGAATAATTGGTGCCCCCAAAAAAAGCAACGGCAGGCAAGGTAAATGAAGCATCGATTTGAACTCTTCAGCTCCTCATAGGGGAGCCTGATCTTTCGCACCAGTACTTCGGACCCTTCCAGAGTGGAGAACGGCCTGCCAAGCTAAAGCAAAGTTCGATGAGCCCTAGTAAAACCACAGAAAGATCTTCGAAAGGCCAGAACCCTATGGGCCCAGGCGAGTACCTTCGGGCATCTGTGAGGGGGAAGATCAGGGGGCCCCACTAAGGGGCGGGTGCGGGGGTAGATCCCTGAAGAAGGGGGCTAAGGAATGCAGCTCACAACTGGGTCCTTCTGGGTCCTTGTTGGGAATAACTTTACGTTTTTGTCCTAGTAAATTACCAATGCGGAATAAACAAATATCACTGTAAATGTATCCTCAACAAGGAAGCAGAAAGCTCCAAGCCCTTTAGGGTCAAGCTGCTGTCACTAGCAGGGCTCCAAAATGATTCCCCCCGCGGTGCCTGCATGGGTGGACTTTCCAACCGCCACCCTTTTCCACTCCTGCAAACTCCGCAAGGGCACCGACAGCAATTGACATGGCTCAGAGTCTTGCTTTTATAGGAGCTGAAGGACTCCGAGTATCTTTTTTTCAAGACCGGCGGCCTTTGACAGTAATCTATAATCAGCGATGAGCCTCTCGTCGATCGTAGGTCAGCTTACCCTTGGAATTTTCCTCTTCTAACAATGATCCCTATTAAGGACTGTTAGTATAAGGGGGAACATCCCAAGCTTACCCCCTTCAAGACGATCTCTGCAATTTGCTCACCGGTCAGAGTGTCGATCTTTTTGAAGCTGTCAGCTCTCTGGCACTCGGCTTATTGCTCGCGCTGGGCCCGAACACCGCAGGAGTCGCATGTGCATGCGGCCCACGGCCCCTTTCTACAGCCTACTAAGGCACCTTCGCCAACGGTATGGTTTAGGGTTTAGGGTTTAGAGTGGCACCAACTCCGGGCGAAGTGGCAAGCCTGTTGGTCTCCACAGAAAAGCACAGGGTTCGACCGGAACAATACTCAAAAAATTAGGAGGGGTCTATCACTTCCAGTATTGGGCTGGGTTTCCGGTGGGTCGGGCAAAGAAAGATACTACACCCTGGGCCCTTCCAGGCACAGCGCCCAATCCCCAAACCGCATGGGCTTGGCGGGTTGAGGGTTGAGGGTCAGTCCAGTTTCAACAAGGGCTTAGGTTGGGATGCTCTCCCTTATACTAGTAACCCTTATCGTAATCCCTATTAAGGACTGTTTGTATCAGGGGGAACATCCCCAGGTTTAGGGTTTAACTGCAAGGTGGTACTTCGGGAAGGATTGGATCTGCATGAGCAGGGCCCGCAGGGTAGTTCACATGCTCCCTTGCTCGGTTGAATTGGTTTAGGGTTTAGGGTTTAGGGTTTAGGGTTTAGGGTTTAGGGTTTAGGGTTTAGGGTTTAGGGTTTAGGGTTTAGGGTTTAGGGTTTAAGGTTTAGGGTTTAGGGTTGGATCCCCAGACCCCCACCTCTGAGTTTTTTAGGCTTCGATGCCGACCGCAGACCGGCTCCTGGCACGGCCCCCCAAATCCCAAACCCCGAACCAGAGACAGAGCCCAAACCGTGAATACTCTAAACCCTGAACCCCAAACCCCACACTCTAAACCCAAAACCCAAAACCCCAAACCCTAAACAAGCCAGTCCCTCAGCTCAGGGTCAGGGTTCAGGGTTCCTGCACAATGTCGGTTTAGGACACACCCCTAAACCCTCAACCCTAAACCCTGAACCCTAAGCCCCCTCTGTGACAGCAGGCTACTCGACCTGAGTCTGCCTAAACCGTAAGTTCTCGAGCCTTCTGAACCCAGACCCGAAGAAGCTTGCAGGAAGGGATTGAGGGGTTCAGGGGCCCTTTTGCAGCAGTCTTGGAAGGGTGGGCCCCTAAACCCTAAGCCCTAAACCCTAATCTTCCATGTTTGGCAATTCCAATTTGGGCCTGGGGCCGCAAACAAACCTGGAAGTTCCCAGGGAACCACAAACCCTAAACCTTGGGATGTTCCCCCTTATACTAACAGTCTTAATGGGGATTATAGTACCCCTATTATAATCCCTATGAAGGACTGTTAGTATCAGCCCAACCTAAACCCCAAGTCCTGCATTAAGTGGGCTATGAGTACACATGAACCTTCAAGCGGCCGGTCCGTGTGGTTTAGGGATGTTTCGGGTCTATCCAATGTTTGATCTTCGATCGGTTCTTGGGGGCTAGAGCCTTGGGGAGGCTCCTAAAATTGGGAGGGGGGGTGGGGAGTGTGGTTCTTATACCAGGGATCAGAGCAGCCTGGAGCACGCTGCAGGTTCGGATGCTGTGGCCGCTTGACATGCTCAAGATGGAGTCGCAGGGGTAGATGTGGGCCAGCTGAGTCTCACGGGATCCAACAGAATGGGCACCGACGATGTAGTGCTCATGCTGGTGGGTGCGACCCTCGTCTGCCTGATGTTGCTGCGGCTCATCGTTCTGGTCTTCTTCCACGCTCCGGCCATTTGTCGAACATTGAGGCGCTGGCTGACACAGCTGCTGCTGCCTCTGAACCCACGGAAGAAAAGTGCAGAGGAGCTCCGTTTGGCGGACGAGATTCAGAGAGTACGCCTCGCCCTCTCACACCGTGCGCTGGCTCTGTATGCTACTCTTTCTTGGGTCATCATGGCTGCTTAGTAGACCACTGGTACTGTACCCTTTCCCTTTTATTTGGTTATGGGTTCCCTTGTGAAATAACCAACCCAAAAAGGGTGCCCTTATCATACCATGGTTACTGGTAAACCAAGGCTGCAGCCGTGGTCAACATCTTCCTGGAGAGCCCGAGACTGGGACTCTGTTAACGGGCGTAGAAGTATAGGCCTTACCACTTGAGGCCCCTTAATGGCACAAGTCAGGATTCAATGCTAAGCGGCTTAGTGTCTGTTGCTGCATGAACCGCCCTCCACCCATGCCCTCCCCCAGATTGTGAAGGCAAATCCCCAAACTCCACGAACCTAAGGCGATACCTCAACATGGAGGCGACCTGGCTATTCCTGGCACTGATGGCAACTCTGACACTGGGTAGGCTTTTGGGATGCTTTATTTTGTCCCTTATTTGGGGTCAAGAGGAGTCCTAAACCCTAAACCCCAAACCCCCAAACCCCAAACCCTAAACCCTAAACCCTAAACCTAAGCCCCTAAGCCCCTGAGCCCCTAAACCCTAAACCCTACACCGTTTTATGGGCCATCCTAGGACGGTCTATGCCTTCCTGCCTTGGACGCTCTGCCGCCACACGCTGACGCTGGGCTACGTTGTGGGGCAGCGAGAAGCTAAAAGCTGAGATGTTCCCCCTTAATGTTGGACCCTCTTTAGTGTGTTGGGCCCCCCCCCCCCCCCCCCCCTGAACAGTTGAGGCGTGGATGGGAGCCTGATTACACGGCCGCAGGGGCTTATATGATTTCAATAGGGAGGAGTTTAGATAGGTTTAAAGGGGCAGCGATGCCCGGTTATCTTTTTTAAAGGCGCCACGTGGAATTTTCTTACGGCGCCCGGACGGTTTGACTTTAAAGGAGACCCCGCAAACAGTCAGGGGGTCCTGAATAATTTGGCTAACAGTCCTTAATGGGGATTCTAGTACCCCCCCCGCCCCCCTATTATAGTACCTAGTAAGGACTGTTAGACTGTTAGTATAAGGGGGGAACATCCCAAGCTAAAATTTTAAAAGGGTAGAGGATGCAGAGCCAAAGGAGCAGGAGTCTTTAGAGTTCGTAAGCTACGATCGGATATGTAAGTTTCGGCAGGGGGGTGGGAACTGGCGCAAAAATCTGCAGTAGCAGTTGGGGGCTTCTGCACCCGGAACCTCAGTAGGGCTTAGAGGCATGAAGAAGCTGCACCAAAAAATCCTCACATGGGCTATCCGCTGCAGCCCAAGGGACTTTTGGTATGCATTGTTCACACTGGTCACCCTCCTCTATGCATCGCCGTGGTGTGCCTTGGCAAGAAGACGGCCACCCGTCCGTTGAAGAGCACCCTTGACCCTTGACCCTTGACCCTTGACCCTTGACCCTTGACCCTTGACCCTTGACCCTTGACCCTTGACCCTTGACCCTTGACCCTTGACCCTTGAGCATGACATGGCTTATCAAATAGTACTTCTACGAAAATAGGGGGGCAATATAGATCCCCAAATAGTAGAACCTCCTTAGAAACAGGATCCCAATAAGGCCCCCTTATTCCGGAAATCTCTTCTGGCTCTGCCATGCAGCATCAGCTGGTGGCTTGCAACATGCTGGGGCATTCGGTTCCAGTTCCTTTTTCAATTTCAGAACGTGTGCCGTGTGCAATGCTTGTTCTCTCACGCGTATGGCTACGGTCCGCCAGGCACACCTGTTGCGCGGAGCTTCGACGCGCTTCTGCTGTGCATTTTTGTGCGTCTCCCTTCGCCACTAGCCTGAAAGTTCGGGGACATGAGGGGGTGGGTGAGGTTTAGGGTTTAGGGTTTCGGGCTTAGGGTTGAGTTTAGGGTTTAGCAAACCTCAGACTAAACCCGAGTCCGGACTGAGAATGACATGGTGGCAGGGTGAGAGTAGGAACTCAAGCAATGCTCTCGAGCCCCTCGAACTAGTGGTGGAGACCCCAAACCCTAAAGTTGTCAGCCTTGCAGGCACCAACCAAAACCTTAAACCCTGTGTGAGAGCCGAAACCCTAAACCCTATAACCTAAACCCAAAACCCCTAGCCCTAGACCCCAAACCCTACTCCGCTACAGTGCGTAGCCATGAACCTGAAGGAGTTAATCTCCCAAGTCCGCTTGGGAATGCTGTTTCTAGTGGCTTTAGGAGTTAGGGTTTCGGGTTTAAGACGTAGGGTTTAGGGTTCAGAAGGTTTATGCAAGATGTGTTTAGTAATAGGCCCTGCGCAATGTTCCTCAGATACGTTCCATGAACCCAGTATTGTGTGATTCAGGAATTGGGTTCCCTGTATTCCTGTATATTAACAAAAATATATTTCTACATATATATAAATACTTATGTACATATACACACCTTTTAGGGGCGATATAGTGTACCAAGTTCTCAAATCCATACAAAGAACCTCGAAGGTTTAGGTGTTGAGGAGTGAAACTACAAGCTAGTGGAAGGCTCGCATCGGCGTTCATGCTTCTGTTGCCACAAACTCCTTTCAGATGTCTGATTTTCTTACCCATGCCCTGAATGAACGCCTTCAGAGCCCAAGACTTTGTTGTACGTCACCGAAGAACTCTGTAAGAGTTGGAGCCTAGCAAAAATTGTAGGAGTTTTTTTTTTGTTGGGGGGGGGGGGGATAGCCTAAACCCTAAACCTGATTCTGGGGGGCTCACGAATGGATCAGGTCAATTATGGCCACCAGAACCCTCTGGGCTTCCCAGATGCATTTCGTCAGGCGGTTTAGGTTTTAAGGTTTAGGGTTGAGGGGTATCTAGCCAATTCACTAAATTATGGACCCTTCTCGGCGTGCCCTAAATGTGGTGCTTAATAGTATCATCGAAACCCCATCGGAATCCAAAAAAAGACCAAACTCTTAGAGAACTGCTCATCTGGACGCCGTGGAATGTGACATGTCACCCTTAACCCCCATACATGTTTCAGCACAAAGCTTGCAACGCGCAATTGCGAGAGTCTCAAAGCTTCTACCGTATGCCGCAGACCGCACTGCTAGGTTTTGTCAAGTGGTTGTTGGAGTGTTGCCGTTTGCCCAGTTTCCATTTTTACGCTGCCCGTCAGAACTCCATTAAATTTATACGAGGTACGTTTGCAGGAAGCATGCTTCAGGACCATCGGCACAGGGCTTGTTTTCTCCACTCTCGGTGTGTTGTTGACTCAGCTGATGGGGCGTGAGGGTTATCGGGAGGGTGTGCAAGAATGCTGGCAAAGCTTGCAGGTCGTTGTGGGCAACTCGCTCGTTTCCCTGCTGATCATCTTGAGGCGTCTTGGCCAGAACTAGGGACTGGGTTACCTTAAGAGCTCAAATGCTACCTCTTTTTATCTTCGGTCACCCAAGACTCCATTAAAGGGGCTTCTACGAAGTGTTAGAGCAAAAAGCCTGCAAAAAAAGGTAGGGTCCCTTGTTGAACCCCCATCGAACATTCCATCATGTGTTTCTGGGGAAGAGCCTAGAAAGGTAGGCTGTGGGGTTCTGAATACAGGGGGCTATTCAATCAACGTGGGTATCTCTTGTAGTTTCTGAATTATTTCGAGGGCTTGGCGGACGATGCTGGTGGTTCATGAGGCTCAGGTATCAAAGGCCAAGGTACGTTGCTAGTGTCAACCGGGCCCAGGGGGGATGTTCTTTGTCTCCTTTAAAGGGGAACCGGTTTCTGAGGTTTGCTTATTCAGGGCTAACGTTGTCACCTGCTGCCATCCCCATTGCGTCTAGATGTTAGGGTGCCATCTGCTTTCTTAGTCTGCCCAGGCACTGACCTTGAACCGCAAAGCCCTCCCCCCCCCCCCCCCCCAGCCTGTTCTCACATCCCGTTGCACTGGGGCTCGGGGCAGACCGAGACCACCCAATGAATCCCAAACTCCTCATCTCAGCTTCTAAGCCCCATAAACCCTGAGTGGGTCAGCTGGTGGGTGGCAATCCTAAACCCCAAATCCACCCTAAAACCCTAAACCCTAAACCCTAAACCCTAAACCCTAAACCCTAAACCCTAAACCCTAAACCCTAAACCCTAAACCCTAAACCCTAAACCCTGAACCCTGAACCCTGAACCCTGAACCCTGAACCCTGAACCCTAACCCCCCCCCCCCGGCGTTTGGAGGTCTCACCGGCTAAGGATCAAGGGATTCTACCGATCCCTGCGGTTGCATGCAGGGGGTTTGGAGACCTAGAGGCGCCACATAGGGTTTAGGGTTTGGGGTTTAGGGTTTGGGGTTTAGGGTTTAGGGTTTAGGGTTTAGGGTTTAGGGTTTAGGGTTTAGGGTTTAGGGTTTTAGGGTTTTAGGGTTTTAGGGTTTTAGGGTTTAGGTGCAGCCTGGAGGGTAGGAGCTTCAGACCATTCGCATCCCTTGGCAGGAACAGCATCGACCCTGGTGGAGAGTCCGAACTCGATGCTGGGCTGCGATCATTTCGGGAGGTTCCAAGGTAGACCTTCTAGGACGCAGAGTAGCACCCTTATTCAGGGTTTAGGGTTTAGCAAAAGGGTTTAGGGTTTAGGGCACTTTTTCCGGGTTTGAGTTCCCTTGTAAGCCACATTAAGCCAAAGCGGGCACACTTTCTTATTCCTGGCTCGAGGCCTGAAAAAAACCTTCGTAGTAGAGCATGTGAACTTTAGCCTTTTTGGGGGGTATTGTCATCTCTTTAGAATCCCCAAAGGCGAACCTTCAGTTGCCCAAAAAAAGCTGGACAACTAGGAACCACCCGAAGCCCTGCTATACTTGGTTGGACCTTCCAAGTTACACATGACTTTTGGGCATGTTCCCACTTATACTAAGAGTCCTTAATAGGGATTATAACAACCCCTATGTTCCCCCTTATACTAAGAGTCCTTAATAGGGATTATAACAACCCCCTATTGTAATCCGCATGAAGGACGGCTAGGATAAGGGGGCACATCCCAACATGACTCGTCTTTGTGCCTTTGCTCATGAGGGGCCTATGGGCCATCTGCCTGTGCTTTGATAGGGCCTGGAGGCTTGAGGGACCATAGGCTGTTAGGCTTGGGCCGAATTATGCTTCGCTTCCCTATTCGTTGGTTCTTCTTTTCGTGCCGGCCCTAGATTCTAACCCGTATTCTCTGCATCAGGCATGAATTGGACATCCGCGGTTTCGCCAGCTAGACGCAGAGGCGTAGAGTTTGTACGAGCCCTACATTGTAGGATATCATTGCTATATCTTGAATTAAGGGATAGAGTTCGTATAGTAAGAGGGCTAAACCCTAAACCCTAAACCCTAAACCCTAAACCCTAAACCCTAAACCCCAAACCCTACAAAAGCCGTAAGCCCTCAAGCCAGAGAGCCCTGAATTGCACCTCAGGAGGGGAACAGCTTCGCGATCTCCTTGGTCATCGGGATTGAATTCTCGAGCTCCATGGGCCGCAGCTCTAAGAAAGATGATACTTAGACTTAGGGTTTAGGGCTTAGAGGGTAGGGTTTAGGGTTTAGGGTTTAGGGTTTGGGGTTTGGGGTTTAGGGTTTAGGGTTTAGGGTTCAGGGTTTAGGGTTTAGGGTTTAGGGTTTAGGGCACTAGTAAGGAGTGTACGTATAAGGGGGGACATCCCAAGGTGTGTTCGAGAGGGTTCATGTTTAGGAAGATGTTTCCAGAGGGTCTTAAAGGCCAGCCTAGTTTGGAATCCAACCTACTTGGGTCTAGATTCGTCTGAAAATTTGAGACTTCCTGTGGACCGTACCTAGCAGATCCCCACTCCCCCCAAACAAAGCCCCAAATCGACAGCCTAAAGAAGCGCCTCTTTTCGTTTACTTCTGCCACCCCTCCCATTGCGTTTGTAGGGATTCAGGTTCATCTTTCAAGTGGCTGAACGGATTAGAGTCTGAGAGGCACCGGGTCCGCAAAGAAGCCGCGCAACTTGCTTTAGAGCCAGGGTGGAAGTTCTTCCGTCTGAAATCGAAGGAGAGCTCTGAAGCCTTGTCAACCACGAATCCCGAAAGCATACTTCGTTCTTGTTATTTACGGCACGTAAACTTTCGTTACCCGAAGAGGGTTAGAAAGCAGATGATGTACAGTAATTAATTACCCTTATCCTGGCAGCTTGATTGAGGTTCCTTGACACACGAGCCCAGAAACAAAGACTCTCCTGTTTTACAGCAGTCGCAACAACCCCTTTCAAAGTTGTAAGTTGTAGGTATAGTTTTGTATCCCGAAGCCCTTAGCCCTCGCCGTGAACCTCCATAAGCCCTAAACCCTAAACCCTAAACCCTAAACCCTAAACCCTAAACCCTAAACCCTAAACCCTAAACCCTAAACCCTAAACCCTAAACCCTAAACCCTAACCCTCACCCATGAGCTCAGGCTTCTTCCTGGCTGTGGTCTTTGCTGCAGCCTTGACTGGCCCTGGGCTTGGAATTCATCTTCAGCTCAGGGGACGGGTGGGTGAATGTGGGGGATATTGTGGTTGGGGCTTTGGGTTGAGGCCCTAACCCTAAACCCTAAACCCTAAACCCTAAACCCTAAACCCTAAACCCTAAACCCCCCCCCCCCCCCACACTGGAGGTTGGATGTGGCAACGCGCGGAGTTGGGGCGTGAGAACAGCAAAATCTCCTCAGACTTGTCCGCGGTCTCCATGCTGCTCAGGTGCGGTTTACATACGTTTAGGGTTTAGGGTTTAGGGTTTAGGGTTTAGGGTTTAGGGTTTAGGGTTTAGGGTACCACAGGGGCCTTAATAATTAGAACAGGATTTTGGTGTGATGTTCTGGTATCATCATAGAAGGGCCATAAGGGAATCCTTTTATACTATTCGTCATTATCCTGGCCCCTATAGTAGGGTTGTTAGGGATTCCGCGCCGCCAAAAGCTCTAAGCCAGAAGCAAACCAACCCTTTCGTCTCCAGAATGGGAGCATGTCTTCCCTGGCAGAAATTCGACCTCGCACCCCCCCACCCCCCCCACAGCATCGAAGAGGATTCGAGCTGGAGGGTTTAGGGTCAGTTTGGGGTTTGGGGTGTCGGGCCTTTCAGTCGACCAGACTGTTTAGCTCAGCCCTAAGCCCTAAAGCCTGAACCCTAAACCCTAAATCCTAAACCCTAAACCCTAAACCCTATCTGCGCAGGCTCATGAGCGATGCTGTGGTCGAGCTGGACCAGGATCGGATACCTCCCGAATTCACTCAGCCCTTTTGATCTCCGACACAAAAAAGAGCACCGAAACAACCCCCCCCTCCCCGAGCTAGGGTTTAGGGTTTAGGGTTTAGGGTTTCGGGTTTAGGGTTTAGGGTTTAGGGTTTAGGTTTAGGGCTCAGAGAGGACCGTCTACAGAACAATATTTGTTCTTAAATGTAGCCCAATATGTACCCTTGGTGAACTCCGGAACCCTAGATCCCGGCCTATAACCGTGGACCCTAAACCGGTTTAGCACGACATGTGTACCTCATGTTCCCTTCTCTCTGGTGCAGCGGGGTTTCTCAAGTCTTAGTCCAGCAAAAGCTGAGATGCATCGAAGAATTATACAAGTTTCCTCCATAGGTCACGAGAAGACCTTGAAGGCTTTAGGGTAAGGATTGAAGTAGGATGCCCCTCCGCCTAGCAAGCGTGAATTTGCAGGTGGTATGGGTTGATATCACTATAACCGCAGTTGCCTAGAGCAGCAACAGCTGTTGTAGAACTACCGCAATTTTAGTGTAGGCTTTAGGATGGCCCTCCTTCAAAATCCTGACGAGGACCTCCGGCTCCAGCGGCACTCGCCGGAACTGAGCGCGATGCTCCTGCGCGACCGTCCCGGGTCCTCCCTGGAAGGGGTCCGCTTCACGGAGCCTCCTGGCGTTTACTTCTAGGGACTGGGTAAGTAGCCTTTATTATTTTTTGCTTAAGGTTAACTTTTTTTGGGCTGGGGCATTCAGCCCCTAATTTGTGGCTGTACAGGCTTAATAGGGAACTGTAAGTCGTGGGCTGGCTTTGTCGCGAAGCCACTGGACCTAAACGCCTGAGAAGTGGCCTCTGAAAATCCGGATCAACCGATAGGGTTTGATGGAAATGATGGGTAGTCTGTTTTTGGCACCTTAAATGTTTTTTGTAGGATATGAATAAAGCCCCGTGTAGAATTCTTAGGCCGCGTACAATCTTAAGTAGATTTCTTTGGGTACAACACAACAGTCCCTTCTTAAGAGCCTGAACCCCCAAGCCAAGAAACGCACGGGAGTTGCAGGATGCAGTTGCACAGGAATGGCAAGGAGCTCCAGGGATACCCTAAACCCTTAGCCCTCAACCCTAAACCCTAAACCCTAAACCCTAAACCCTAAACCCCCCACTCCGGCCCCGAGGTTCGTCTATGGCTCAGAGGCTGCAAGGGCCGCCGAGCTCTTGCAGAACCCGGCCTGTGTCTTGGTAGCCCACTGGTACCCTTTTCCCTTGTTTGTTGGAAGCCCGAAACCCTAAACCCTAAACCCCTAAACCCCTAAACCCCTAATTAAACCCCTAACCCCAGACCCTAAGTCAGCTAGGCGGGTGGCGCAGAAAAGAAACCCTAAGCCCTATGTTCTTTCTAAAGTAGCCAGCTCAAACAAAAGGGTGCCCTTATTATGATGTGCTTGCTGGGCTACCAAGGTGTGCTGTCGACTGGCTGGGGCCCCAATTTCGTTTTGGAAGCTCAGACAACTCGGTGGGATGAGCGAGTCCAGCTACATGATCAGCTTCGCTACTCCCCTTCCCTAGCAGTAGGAGTCCCAAGCCGAAAGCCGTAAACAACTCCAAACCTTTGTACACCTTCCTTAGTAGAAGAGTAGGTGACCTTTAGCCCTTTCGGGGGTAGTTTAAGCCAACACATAAAAACCTTCAGTTGCCCTAGGATGCTAGACAACGAGGCCTGGCCTTGGGATGTGTTCCCCCTCATACGAACAGTCCTTAACAAAGAATTCTAGCACCCCCCCTATCATAGAATCCCTATTCCGGAGCTGTTTTAGTAAAAGGGAGGAACAGCACAAGCGCCCCAACCCCAAGGCCCGAAACTTCCATTAAGGGACTCAAGGATGGACCCTTGTAAAGGGGCCGTAGGGGTGAGTTGGGGGTTAGGGGCTACTTAGGTATAAAGGGACTATATCAGGTATATGTATCTGTATAAGATGAAGGGCCCTGGGGTAGGGACCCGAAACCCTAAACCCGAAACCCTAAACCCTAAACCCTAAACCCACTCGGTTAGTTCCGACAAGGCCAGGGTACGTCGGCGCATGCCTTCCACACCCGCCTGGTCGACGCTTGGGCATGCTCCGGCAGAAGGGGTTCCTAAACCCCTAACCCTAAACCCCTAAACCCCTAACCCTAAACCCTAAACCCTAAGCCCTACACCCTAAACCCTATATGTTGGGAAGCAACCCCCCCCCCCCCTCCCCCCATGAGGGCTCTGAGCGAAGCTGGGCGCGGAGCTGTGTCGAACTAGTCGAAGACCGACTCCCCTGAGGACACCTTCACCAACAAAGTTTGCATTGAAGTGTTCCACGTCCAGGCCATGGCCGGGGGCTTCCCAGACCGGTTTGGGGCTTAGGGTTTAGGGTTTAGGGTTCCCTGGGAGGATCCCAAAAGTTGAATCCCCAAACAGTACCATATACCACAATTGGGTCATTCTTGGGACCCTTAAGGGGATCTACTTTTTGGATCCTCCCAGGGGTCTGAGTTTTAAGTTTTAGTCAGGGGTTGGAGGGTTTAGGTTTGTTAGGCCAAGCCCTAGACTTCAAACCCCAAACCCCTAAACCCTAAACCCTCAGCAGTCCTAGGTGAAAAGGGTTTATGTTTAGGTCGTTCCAGCTTGGTACTATCAGCATGATGGGAGCTTGGGATGCTTTCCCGTATACGAACAGTCCTTCAGAAGGATTCTAGTACCCCCCCCCCCCCCTCTCCCTCGAAATAAGAACCCCCAAGAAGGGCCTGTTAGTATAGGGGGGAACCTCCCAAGGTACCCTGAACCCCAAACCCTAAACCCTGAACCCTAAACCCTAAACCCTAAACCCTAAACCCTAAATGCTGAGGCCCTCGAAGTGTGAGTTCGAAGGTCTTCCTGCTTGGTCTCCTAAGGATGGTTTACGGGATGTAAGGGGGGAACCCGTGGAAGGGACTTTTAATCTTTAGGGTTTGGGGTTTAGGGTTTAGGGTTTAGGGTTGCCCCTATAGATACACCTTATATAGTCCATATACATCTAAGTAGCCCTTTTGCATGTCCCCTTTTGCATGTCCCCTAAGGTCCCTTATTAGGGCCCCTCCTTTAGTCAATGCGAAGGTGTCCCCTTCTTGTTGAAGGGTTCTAGGGTTAGGGACTAAGGGTAAGGGGGCCTACTATCTGCGATTTGTGTTTTAACACCTGGTTGTAGCGTAGTTTTTTGGGTTGGCTGAAGCGTTTGCAGTGGCCGACGTAGGTTCTAAGCTCCGATGGAGAAGTGCGCCATCTGCTTCTCGTCCTGAACTTCCCCCCCCCCAAAAAAAAAAAAAAACAAAACGGTTTGGGGTTTGGGGTCTAGGGAGGCCAAAAGTTCTGAGAAGCCCTTGATTGGAAGGGTTCAAGGCTTTCTTTCGAGAATCTGCGCCGCGTACAGGTGGCCACTTGCTTGGAGAGCTTGAAAGATCCAATCCCAAACCTCGAAAATGCTGGGAGCCTGCAGCTTTCAGTAGCTTAAGAACCCCAAAAAAACACAGATGACAATCCCTGCAATGTTGGACAAAAAGTGTGCGGGCCCCCTCCCCTCCCCGTCCCTGAGCAGACGAAGCTGGTTGTTGCTTTCTTAACAACGGTCCACGGGCTTTATGTGATTTTATCTGAGAGGAGTTCATATGAGTTTAAAAGGGACAGTGAGGCCCGGCAAATGCTTCTAAAGGGGGTCCCCACGAAATTGTCTTACAACACCGGGACTACTGGGGAACATCCCAACCACTTCGGGTGTCCCGAAGGCCAACTTGACTGTATACCCCTACTAAACCGCGCCCACGCGTCCAGCAGGGGTCTTAATTACACAGGTTGGCATGGTGTGGGGAGTGTGTTGTTGATGATGGTTTCGGGGCTAACTTCGGGCGGGTTTAGGGGTTTAAGGGTTTAGGGTTTAGGTCCGGTTTAGGTTAGTTTCCCAGTCCGTGCACAAAAGGTTTAGTTTACCCAACGCATTGCTTGCGGGATATGTAAAAACCAAAAATGGCTTTTAGCTCGTTAACTACATACCTAAGTTTGACCCCAAGAAGCCTTCTCCCCCCTCCCTTGGGCAACTCTTGTGCTGTCGGTTGCTGGGAGAGAGGGATGTTAAGCAACTCCCACCGGCGGTCTTTCACATTTCACAGCGTGGGCGAACGACGAAACCCTAAACCCTCAACCCTAAACCCTAAACCGTTTACTGTATTTGAGCGCGCGAGCAGGTGGGTGAACGTGTGTGCCTGTGGCAGCCTTGCTTGACTAGGGTCGTATGCCTTAGTGAGCTTTGAGACGCAGAACACCACAGCCGAAGGACAGCACGTCGCCCTAAACCTTATAGAGGTTTTATAATATGTATATATATATTATTTATTTATTTATTTATTTATTTATTTATTTATTTATTCATATTTACATATATGCATATGTCTATGTACATATCTAGATAGATTTTCAGCTATGCATATTACTCTATGCTTCCTTAGGTCGGAAGAGGCGCAAGTAAAGAAGGAAGGAAGGGGGCACTCCTGGCTGCCCTTGAATCCAAAGGCTTGGCCTGAGGGACTTCACAGACTCGGCTTCTTTGTCGCTGGGCTTTTGCATGGTATCTGGGAATGGGGTTTAGGGTTTAGGGTTTAGGGTTTAGGGTTTAGGGTTTGGGGTTTGGGGTTTAGGGTTTAGGGTTTAGGTTCAGGGTTTAGGGTTTGAGGAGAACAGAAGGGCAGTAGGGAGTTGAGGGACAGGGTTCTATCGGCCCTTGCGGATCTGAGAGATCCGGGTTTAGATGTCTTGAGGCCACTTTCTGGATTGTTGTTGTTGGTGCAGTTGGTACAGCCTGTGTAACCTGAGATGGGTACGTAGTGCGAATTGTAATGTCAAGTTTGGGTTTTCATCCCTGACTCTCCCTCCTTTTGTGCATGTTGGGCGGGGCATGAGCTGGATGTGTTGCTCGCTCAGGTTCCCGACATAAATATATGCGATATGCGACTTTGTCGAGGTTGCGAGAAGTCTGTAAGGTAAGTGGCAAGACTGTACATCAGGGTTTTCGTTCGACATCTTCAAGGGCATCAAATCTTGGGTTGTGCTACGCCACACCAGTTATAAGTGCTACACTGGTAATGAGTGCTCGGTAGCTTCAAGCGTTTCTGGGGGGGGTGTTTCCTGGACACTGGACAACAAAGGGTCAAGGGATTCAGACTCGTACCCCTAAGCATGTACCCCTACTAAGAGGTTCCCTTAACATACTCCTAGTATGGCCCGTATGTCCTGGGTAGAGGATTCTTCAAACAGGGCCCCCCCAAACCCAAGGGTACAGCCTTAGGGGTCCAAGCCTGTGATCTGGTGACCATGAGGTCGGGAGAGCGTGCTACGGATGCCATGGATCAGTCATTGCCCAGCCCGATGAGTCCTGCCCCTTGTCACAAGCGCCAGCGCGGGGTTTTTAGGGTTTAGGGTTTAGGGTTTAGGGTTTAGGGTTTAGGGTTTAGGGTTTAGGGTTTAGGGTTTAGGGTTTGGGTGGGGAGGGGGGGCGGGGGGGGGGGGGGAACAGAAGTTGGTTGCCTCAGTAGTAGAGTAGGTAACCGTTACCCTTTTTCGGGTACTGGAATCCCAATAAAATCCCAAAGGTTAACCTTGCATTCCCCCGAGGTTACTGGACAACTAAGTTGCTGTGTGGTGTTGCTGACGTTGTTGCTTCGCTGTTGTCAGGCGCTTGGGTGCTTCCGAACGCCTGACGCCCCACCTCCCATCGAACACTACCTGAAGAAACCTCTTGGTGCGTAGATGTATACTTAGTAGTAGAGTAGCTAACCTTTAACCTTTTTGGGTTAAACAAAAATCCCCTTATATTCCCAAAGGTTAACCTTTAAAACCCCTAGGTACTGGACAACTAAGTACATATGGAAACACCGGTCATGGTAGCGAAGTTTGTTCCTAAACCCAACACACTCCGCTGTAGCAATGTGAACCCTAAACCCTCAACCCGCAACCCTAAACCCTAAACCCTAAACCCTAAACCCTAAACCCTAAACCCTAAACCCTAAACCCTAAACCCTAAACCCTAAACCCTAAACCCTAAACCCTAGCAATGTGAACCCTAAACGCTCCACTGTAGCAAGTTCCTTCGCAGCAACCCAGAAAGAGCCGAGGCGAGCTTGGATCAGAGTCCTGTTGCCTCCCACTTGCTTCCTGAAGTCATGGAAGGCTGGCCAAGCCAGACTCTTGGTAGCTTGGGTTTAGGGTTTAGGGTTCAGGGTTTAGGGTTCAGGGTTTAGGGTTCAGGGTTCAGGGCCTTCAAAATGAGACAGGCCTGACGAATCTCTCTCTCTCTCTCTCCTCTCTCCTCTCTCTCTCTCTCTCTCTCTCTCTCTCTCTCTCTCTCTCTCTCTCAGAGACCTTCGAAAACGTGAAGCCTGTGAGGGATAGTGCTCGTGGCCACCCCGTGAAAGTGCGAAAGTGAGGGCGCCAAACCCTAAACCCTAAATCCTAAGGACGAGCAGCAGCTGGAGGCCCCAGGAGGAGCCCCCCAGGGGCCGGCAAGCATTCCTGGAGGTGGATATGGAAGTCAAGGCATTCGAGCTGTCTTGTTTAGGGTTTGGGGTTTAGGGTTTGGGGTTTAGGGTTTAGGGTTTAGGGTTCAGGGTGCAGCCCTAAACCCGAAACCCCCGCCAACCTCCGAGCTCTTGCTTCGTGGAGAAGACGCAAAGTGTCAGCTAGGGGGTGCTGACAATCTCTTGCCTGACTCTACACTCAAGAATATGCTTTTTAGTTTAGCATGTACACTAAACCCTAAACCCTTAACGGGTTTACGATTTTGTTTGTATCAACCCCGAAAGGTTATCAAAAGGCTTTAGTAGAAATATCTGTGTTGGCATGCTTCTAACGCGGTGTTGTAGTGTCCCTAAACCCTAAACCCTAAACCCGCCTTTGTTTCTGTTTCAGACCCAGGGGGGACAGAGGCGGGGTTCCTGAAAGCAAGCCCATGTACACCTAATGGATGCCCAGTAGTGCCCTGATTCCTTTTTTTTTTTTTTTTTTTTTTGGGGGGGGGGGGGGGGGGGGGGGGGTAGGCTCCCTTATGAGCCACTTTCAGCAGAAGAAGGGCACCCTTTTTCATCCTAGGTTTCTGGGCAACCTAGACCTTGGGAAAGAGCAAACTCGCCTCTAACACACCACCCGGTGCCGGTAGCAGTTGCCATGATAAAGGTTTAGGGTTTAGGGTTTAGGGTTTAATTAGGGTTGAGGCCTTCTTACCACGCAAGAGAGCCTTAAAACCTTCAAATGCTGTAAACCTTGAGAAGCCGAAGTGCTACAATTAAGCCTGACAACCCTAAACCCTGAACCCTAAACCCTGAACCCTAAACCCTAAACCCTAAACCCTAAACCGTCACAGCAGGTGGTCCACAGCGCTTCTGCCTCAGTCGCCTTCTTGGCGGGATCGGCGTTGACAGACTCTTCATCCCGAGGGGAGGTGATTGGAATTTAGGGTTTGGGAAGAAGGGCTTATCAGGACCGTTTTTTTGGGTAACAATCATATGAAAACCAACTTGAAATAGCCAGCTGCTAATTTGCAACATATGAACCCGTAACAGCCTGTTGCTCCTAAGTTGAAACCTTTTCTTGAGAAGGGTCTGTGAAGAGATCACCTGCTAAAGCCTTCCAGGCCATTTTTCAAACGCAAACACAAAGAGAAAGCCAAGCTTCGCTGGTCTTTCGGTTCGAAGTGCTTTCGACCCTAAGCTAGAAGCCCTAAACCCAACACCCTACACCCTACACCCTAAACCCTAGACCCTAAACCCTAAACCCTAAACCCTAAGGCACGCAACTTCTTCCTGACCACCAAAAAAATATGTGAGCTCGAAGGGTCTGAATCGTGATGACTTGTTGCAGTCACGAACTCGCCTAGGAAACTCCTCAAAGCCATTCTATAACAAGAAAGTGAGATGTGCTCATAAGTAGACTTACATCATTAAGACCTTTCGACTGGCCTTAACTTGGGTGAGAGTCTTCATAGCTTGGCAGCCCAGTGGTACCCATTTATCGTTTTGTTGGTGCAAGGTTACCCTTATCCAGTAACCTACCCCAAAAAGGATGCCCTTGTTGTAACATTCCTGGGTTACCCCCTAACCCGAAACCCTAAATTACCCTGAGCCCAGATTGTACCTCGCCTGGCCTGTCCGAGTGTGAGCGATGAAGCCCCAAGCCCTCAAACCCTAAACCCTAAACCCTAAACCCTCAACCCTAAACCCAAGGACTTCTTCACAGCACCCCACACCGTGCAGCTGCTACAGCGGATCTGCGACGAAGCGCAGCGGGGGCTGGACCAGGAGGGCACCCTGCCGCAGAAGGTGGGAAGGGGGTTTCGGGTTTAGGGTTTAGGGTGATATGGTTGCATAGAACAGTTTGCGTGATGTTTTTGCGTGATGTGACTTCTAAGAAGTTGCGTGTTTGCCGGCAGCCTCCAAAGTCCGATGCTCAAAAGGGCCTCTCTGAGCCTCTTGAGGACCTCTTGAGAAGGAATTTTTTTCTACCTATACGAAGGGGGTTGAGAAGGCTCAAGCCTCTTGAAAGCCTCTTGAGGACCTCTTGAAAATTAGTTTATTCTGCCTATATGAAGGGGGTTGAGAAGGCTCAAAGCCTTTCTGCGACTCTTGGGAGCCTCTTGAGGACCTCTTGTCGGTCGCCAAGACTTGCTCAGAAACGACCCGCATCATGCGGGGTGTAGAAACAACCTCTAACTGCTCAGGGCAATCTAAAACTCCAGTCTCACCTAAACCCTCGGCCTTAAACCCTGAACCTTGAGAGTTCTTAAGAGCCTGGGCATAATGACGATCTCGCTGTGGATCCCTGACCTACAGGAACTCCCAGCAAATTTTGCAGCCGGTTTAGGGCTTTTGGGCTTAGGGTTCCTAAATCTCCTTAGCCCCAAAAGCCCGACAGAATCCTTGTAAACGCAAAAGGCTTCATATACCGAACTCTGTGATGCAAAGCTCGTGTCCCCGCGAAGCTTGCTTCGTCGTTCGTTTGCTGAACCCCACTTTTGGTAGGTTGTAAGAGGGTTCGGGGTTTAGGATGGTTTAGGGGCTTAGGGTTCAGCGGAATCCTATAAGGGGTGTTGCAACCACAGGCTACAAAAAGTAGGTGTGGAGTTCTTAGGTCAAAGTATCTGCCAGGGTGTAGGGGGACCCTTTTCTGTGTTGTCCAAGCACCACTTGGACGGGAACAACGAAAGCAAGGCTTCCCGCATGATTTCTGGTTTGGGGGTGCCTGCTTGTTTCGGCAAATCGTCCGACATGGAGGTCTCGAGAGACGTACCAAGCCGAGCTACACCCCCTCCCGCCCAACCCCCAATATGGCTTCCCCACCGCTGAATATATAGGTGCAGACTTAGAGGAAGCTGAAAGCAGTAACCAAGCGAAATACCAAAACACCATCACATATTGTGCATTTTAATCTTTATCCAGACGCTGCTGAAAATCTTGACATTTTCACAGATTTAGACATCATGTCCAACACAGAAAAATCCTGTAGCTGACAGAACGACTGAAAGTTCCTCACACGTTGTTTTTGAATTGTCCATCACTCTTGCATCAGTGATATGGGGGGGGGGCTTGGGATATTAGGGGTACCTTATTCGTGTCCTGATTATAAGGGCATCCTACTATTTGGGGCTCCATATGAGGGGTCCATTTTTTTCGTGAACTTCACAACTTTTGCCTTGAAAAGAAGAGCATAGCTTTACTTGGTGGCCGACTTGGCTAGCTGTGACTCTAGTACCAGTCGTGATGGGTTTAAGGTTTAGGGTGTAATTAGGGTTTTTGGGATGTTGCTTGCAACAATCGTGGTGGTTGGTACACTGGGAATCAATGCGTGCAATATGAAAACGGTAAATGCCCATGGAAAAGCATCATGAATAAGTGTGATTTTGTTGATGAATCAAATAACCCCAACCCCTAAACCCTAAACCCCAAACCCCAAACCCTAAACCCTAAACTGGGAATGTTTTTGACACATATGTTCATCACTCTCGTTCTCATTTAGTGAATCGTCACTTGTTTAGGGAACTCCCAAGCCCTATAAGGGTTTAGGTTTTAGGGTTAGGGTTTGGCGTTTAGGGCCTGAAACTAACAGTCCTTAATTAGGGATTAGAGTACCACCCCCCCCCCCCCTAGTAGAATCCCTATTAAGGACTGCTGGTATACGGGGGAACATCCCAACCCCAACCCTGAACCGACCATGTTGCCCGAAACCCTAAACCCGACTATGTGTTGGCATGGCAGGTCTTCAACTACCAGGATTTGCCGGTGCGCTGGAGCGCAGGTCGGCCCAAAGCAAAGTGTCCGCGGACGTAGAGCACCTAAAGGGTTTAGAGGGTTTAGAGGGTTTAGAGGGTTAGAGGGTTTAGGGGGTTTAGAGGGTTTAGAGGGTTTAGAGGGCTTGGGTTTAGGGTTACTAGCAGGGTTTATACCCCAAACCATCCTTTCGTTAGCCAAAATTGGCTCAAGGCGAATCGAATATACGCGCTGCGTACCATCTAGTCCCCACACGCAGGAGTCCCAGCCACCCCAAATTGGCTCATGCCCTAATACCCCTCAGCTCCAGAAGGCACCTTCAATTCTGAGAATAGCCTAACCTACCCTAACTTTAGGGTTTAGGGTTTAGAGTTTGGGTACCCTACCCTGGCGAACCCTGTCGGCCTTAAAAGCTGTTTTCGCCTGAGCCCATGGCCGACGCTGTGGGTTCCCTCCTGAAAGGAGGCCCTTTGTGAAAGCCACGTCCCTGAGCTCCATTTTGGCTACCTCACAGCCCTCGAGCAATATAGGGGTCGGAAGAGTTATAGTATTCCCTTATGGCCCCTTGGTAGTTGTACTAGAATAGCCCCCAAAACCCGATTCGAATTCTTCAGGCCCCTAGATTGGGGGAGGGAGGTCCCTACCCCCGCCTCAACGGCTGATGACAAGCTTGAGGGGCATCCTCGAAGTTTGGGGAGTTCCGCGTCGCGAGCCTGACCCAGCAGTTTGCCGTCAGGGTTGGCCCGAGTCGGCGGACACCGTCGCGATCAAGAATCTTCCCTGTCGCGCCCGGGCGCAGGAAGTTCTGTCCGCAGTGCTTGCGCTGGGCTTCACGGAGAGCGATCTTCTTTACCTGCATCTTCCCGCAAAGGAGGGCCGGACCAATTGCTTCCTCGGCTACTGCTTCATCGCATTTCGGAGTGTGGCTTTGGCAAGGCAGTTCTGGGAGAAGTCGTCGAACCTTCGGTTTCCTGATCGGGCAACCCACAAGGTCCCTCATGTCGAAGCAGCCAGAGGTTCAGTGAATCCCAGTCGTGCTTCATCCATGCACGGGGAGGTGCTCTGGTTCGCACATGAAGACCGTGAAGCAACAGGAGCCGAGGAGGTCGACGTCCTCACGAGTCAGGATGAGCCTGTAGCCGGGTCTCCCCAATGCTCGGAGGCGAATGATCTCTGTGGAGCTGAGGAGCCTCGTCGTTCAAAGGTCCATCAGATCCCTGAGAAAGCCACCCAGTTCCAGTGAGCAGATGAGATTTAGGGTTCAGGGTTTGGGGTTTAGGGTTTATGGGTCAAAAGGTTGAGGGTTCAGGGTCTCACTCTCCTGGGTCTTGAACCCAAGTCGGCTGGTTTGCCCAGCAGCCGCAGAGGTCCACTCTTTGAAATCGACCCCTCAGCCGCTGGAAGCAGCTGGGGGTTTCGTGTTTAGGGTTTAGGGTTTATTATAGGGGTCGGAAGAATTACTAATAGCATTCCCTCATGGTCCCTAGTGACCCCCGGAACCCTGTTCCAATTATTTGGGCCCCGTACCTTTAGAGTGGGGACTTCAGCCTTTCCTTAGTAGTAGAGTAGCTAACCTTTAACCTTTTTGGGTTAATATATTCCCCTTATATTCCCAAAGGTTAACCTTTAAAACCCCTAGGTACTGGACAACTAAGTTTCAATCGCCGGACGTAGGAGTTGCGGATGTGGTTCCAGCGAGCCACATCGAATGCGCACACAGCACTTGGTTGGTCCCTAAAAATGTCCCCAAAGCCTAAACCCTAAACCCTAAACGGGTGCGAAAAAACTAAACCCTACACCCTACACCCTAAACCCTAATCGGAGACCGGAGGCGTGTTTTGGGCCATGCAAAAGTTTGCATATATATACACATACGTAATAATCGTGTACATATACAGAACACCGGGGCCAGCCAAGTCTTTATGGGCAACTGCTCAGAGGCAGCAGTCCGTTTGCTAAGAGCTGCTTCAAGGGTTTAGGGTTTAGGGTTTAGGGTTTAGGGTTTAGGGCATCAGGTTTCAGGTCTTGGGGGTAAGGTGTAGGAGCATTAAACCCCTGCGCCCCAAAACCCCCAAACCTTATAGGGGACCCTAAACCCTAGACCCTAAAATCCTAAACCCAAAGAGGGGGGTTTAGGGTTTAGGGTTCAGGGTTTAGGGTTTAGGGTTTAGGGCTCGTGTTTGGTTTTGTTGCTTGAAGTTCTGAAGCCTTTTGAGAACGTTGCCTCGCATCACGTGGAAGGCTCCTCGAGACTCCAGGCCTCCGTCCCATCACCGGGTTCAGGGTTTAGGTTTACAGGGTTTAGGGTTTAGGATTACAGGGTACCCAAAGCCTAAGATTCCCAAGTGATGAAGGCCCAGGTAGAGGAGCTTAATTTCACCTTCTGCGAGGCTTCGTAGTGACATTTCGTTTTGAGGCTCCGCCCTATACTGGCCTGACTCTGGATTGATCCCTCAACCCTATAAACCCCAAACCCTTATGCAAGTCTTTGTTTTCATTGTGTCCTGGGTGGCGAGATGTCTCTGCTGCAGTGCTGGTAGAGTCCCGCAGTGTTTGCGTGCGTTCTGGCCGGGCGGCAAAAAGCGCTTTCCTCGTGGGGTTAATCATGGTTTGGGGTTTAGGGCTTAGGGAATCCCCGGCCGACCGCCCAGGCCTGGATGCAAAAGGGTTTAGGGCTAGGTTGTGTTCTGGGCTTGCTTAGGTTTAGGGTTTATAGGGTTTATAGGCTCTATAGGGTTTGTAGGGTTTATAGCGTTTATAGGATTTATAGGATTTATAGGGTTTAGGATTTAGGTTTAGGGTGTGGCCCTCGGATCATGCGAAACCCTAAACTAAACCTATGCGCGCTTATCTATCACCCATTGGGTTTGAAACATCGAAAGCCCCCAAAACCCCAGACCCCCTTTTCAGGGTGTGGACACTTGCTAATGGGACTTAATGTTTGCGCCGGCAGTATCTAGGCCTCCCCAGACAATTGCACCATGTTCGGACACCCTCTATAAACGGGAAGAGGGTTGAAGGCTTATAGGTTTGAAGTTACCATGCCCTTCTTCTTTTGAGCCCCTGGCTGGGCGACTAATCCGGGTAACCCAAAGCCCCAAACCATAAACCCTACCCATATACTAAAGTGCCTTCGGGCAGCTGGTCGGGCTACTCCTTGGAAACTTGCTTGGGGGGGGGCTTGTTTCGTAAACAAAGTCTAAACGGAATGTACAGACAGGCCGGCTCCAGAAAACTATTGAATCTGAAGCTGTGCTCTTGCCGGGCCTTGCAGCCGAAGGTCGCCAGGTCTTCTTAATGATCACTCCTTTTTGGTTTTGAGTGAGTGCATGGCCCCGGGGCGCACTCCGACCCACGGAAACGTTCCCTCCCGCCATCTCTTCCCCCTCCGCTGGCGTCATTGCGGAGATCCGGCAAGAGTTCGGCGCTCTGAGCCCATCTGGGAAAAATGCCACCCGAACAACCATGGGCCCGCCCCCCCCCCCCCCCCCCCCCCCCCCCAACCTAAACCCTAAACCCTAAACCCTTTTAAATCTGGGTATCTGTTTTCTAGTATATGTTTTCTGTGCAACCGGCGAGTGAGGTAGATGGGGAATGTCAGCACAGAACCGTTATAGTAGGCAAACATGTAGTGTCAGATGGAACGAGAATGGTCAATGAACTGTCCTCGCAGCACGAGATGCCACCTCCACATGGTTCGTTGACCTACACTATTAATTTATCGCGTTTGGAGCTGCGCTTGAGTGGGAATCTGGCGGATTGTCATGGTGAGAACCTTCCAACCGAGTCCTTGCCTGCCTTGTGCGAGCGCGAGAGCCTAAACCCTAAACCCTAAACCCTAAACCCTAAACTCTAAACCCTAAACCCACGCACCTTTTTGATTTTGCTGCTTTCCCCTGCCAGGATAAGAAGAGCACGAACTTCGCAGCATTGCGGGTCGCCCAAATCAATAGGGCTACCTCAGGATGCTCCCCCTGAAACTAAGAGTCCTCAGTAGGGACTATAGTCTATATCCCCCTTGGGAATCATTTTTTTATTTTTGTTCATATAAAACCCAAGAGGATATAAAACATGATTTTCTATTAAGGTTCTAAGGGGAATAGAGTAATAAGGGGTACTAGAATCCCGATGAAGGACTGGTAGTATAGGGGGTAACATTTCAAGGGCTACCGCAGAATAGCGGCCAATGTTCTTAAAATCGGAGGCAACAGTATAATCAGGCCTTCGAACAGTCCACGGCCGACCACACGAGATTGCGCGAGGTGATTTCATGAGGGTTAGGGTTTTAGTGTTTAGGGATGTTGGTACGCTGAAGCAGGTTAGACACTCGAAACATCGAGCCTGAGCTACCCGACAGAAGCTCGATGCAAGACTCCCAAAAAATGACTTTCAGCACCTGTCTTGGAAACGGAAACTGGAAGTGGGTTTAGGGTTTAGAGTCTGGGCCCTGCATGGCGCGTGGCGGCTTATTGGATTGTTATCCAGTGGGGGAGGGTGGCGAAAGTTAGGGGCTCTCTTGTAATGAGAGTTCAGATATGTAGAGTCCCAGGTAGTTCTAACTGGAACCCCGTTTTTTGGGGTTACTTACAACCCCACGTATATGTACCCCTAAACCCTAAACCCTAAACCCTAAGTTCCTGCAGGCCATTATGGCACCATCCATGGGACCTTCCAGGTGGTCCAGAGCAGATTCGGACGAATCGGCACCTTGGTTCATTGTGATTCTTGTTGTTTAGGGTCTAGGGTTTAGGGTTTAGGGTTTAGGGTTTAGGGTTTAGGGTTTAGGGTTTAGGGTTTAGGGTTTAGGGTTTAGGGTTTAGGGTTTAGGGTTTAGGTTCTTTGCTATTGTTGCCAGGTTTGACTTGTGTCTTTTTAATGTGTGTAAATTGTTCTCAGAGCTGGACAATCCTGAAAGGCCCCGAACACACCCCCGAACCCGGGTTCCGAGCCCTTCTACCCTAAACCCTAAACCCTAAACCCTAAACCCTAAATCGAACATTTCTTGTTCTCATTTTCTTCTTGGGTGGGTGTGGTGCCCTTAACATCTCAAACCTTGAACATCCGCGCCCCTGACTCCACCATGGTGTAACAGAAAAGGGGGAGGGGGGGGGGGGGGGGGGGGAGGAACCCTAAACTCTAAACTCTAAACCCTAAACCCTGAGCCCTAAACCCTAAACCCTAAACCCTGGCTTGTTTGCTTTGTGCGGTGTTGTGTGGGGAGGTGCTTGGGCTTTGGATTGCATTCGGAATTTCGGCGTGGGACTGGAGAGGTGCTTCTGCGTTTTTGGCGTGTGGGTTTAGGGTTTAGGGTTTAGTAGGCGGGTTGAGATGGTGTGACAGCATAGGGTGGGGGGGGGGTATAGGATGGGAGGTCTGGGGTCAGCCTCTGCTTTTCAGCCCTAAACCCATCGAGGCGTGTGGCAAGAAGAAACCCCTAAGTCCTAGACCCAAACCTGTTGAATCCCTGAAACCCTGAAACCCTGAAACCCTGAAACCCTGAAACCCTGAAACCCTGAAACCCTGAAACCCTGAAACCCTGAAAACCCTGAAACCCTAATCAAACCCTAAACCCTAATCAATCCCTAAACCCTAATCAAACCCCTAAACCCCAATCAAACCCTAAACCCTTGAAAGGGGTCGTCATCAGCTTCAGCGAGCCGAACCTGCTCTCACCCATGGGCCGACGTACTTCCAAGTCGTCGGGCCGCTCTTCTGCGCGCCTCGGCGAGGTTGCTGAGCGCCTGTGCGAGAGAAAGAGGGAGAGAGGGAGAGAGAGATAGATGCGTGCAGGAGAGAGAGAGAGAGTTGGTTTAGGGTTTCGGGTTTAGGGTTTAAGGGTTTAAGGTCTAAGGGTCTAAGGGTTTAAGGGTTTAAGGGTTCAAGGGTTTAAGGGTTCAAGGGTTCAAGGGTTCAAGGGTTCAAGGGTTTAAGGGTTCAAGGGTTCAAGGGTTCAAGGGTTCAAGGTTCAGAGTATAAGGGTTTAGTAGGGGGGCACCACTTTTTCCTGTGAGAGAGAGAGAGAGAGAGCTGGGTTTGTTGCCCCGGATACGCCCCTTGAGAAGGGCAGGATTCCACAGGCTTCAGACGCTTCGGGTGTTAGGATGTGCCCCCCCCCTGAGGCCCTGAGCATCCTGAAGGCTTACAAGCCCCTTGCAAGGCGAAGCCCTAGACCCTAAACCCATCTGAACCCTAAACCCTAAACCCTAAACCCTAAACCCTAAACCCCCTAAACCCTATAGGGCTTGAGTTCCCAGAAAAAAAAGTCCTGAGGACGTCGAAGAAACAGCGCAGCTTTGGCACGAGTTCACAGCCAGCTCGCAGCCTGCGGCCAACCCACGCGCGGCTGTGAGGTTAGCTTTGGAGTAGTAGGAGTAGTAGGAGTAATAGGAGAAATAGGAGTAGTAGGAGTAGTAGGAGTAGCAGGAGTACTAGGAGTAGTAGGAGTAGTAGGAGGTTAGCTCAACAGTTTACCCAAAGGCTCCTATGTAGTACCTTTTGGGGTAGTATACTCTAATCCCCTATAACTCACCCAAAAAGGAGCTACATTGGAGCCTTTGGGTAGAGTGTGTACGGCCGACTTTGCCGGCTTGACCTCCTCGATTTCTGCAGGCATGGGATCTCAGGGGGCACCTCAATTCTTTGAAATATGTCTTACTTTGCTGCCGCAAACAGTGGCCGCGAGCGTTGTGTTCATGGCCTGAAGTGAGCCATCTGCTTTCAATCAGTGTGAAGGAAGTCGGGTTAGGTTGCTGCTGAGATGGCTGTGCCTTTCCAGCAGCTCTTCCCCAGCCTTTCCCGCCTTGTTTTTGCGTAGGTAGGTCATGCAAAGGTAGTGTTGCGCAGGCACCATTTTGTTTCACTGCCCTGACAATCAGACAGATGCCCAGATGCCTAGACATGCTCCCCCGCTGGCTAAGGCTGGGTGTAGGGGAGGAGCCATCTCGTTATTGGTTTTAGGATCACAGGGGTTATGAGTCATGTTTGCCATTGCGAAGTTGCAAGTACCTTAGCAAACACCCTAAACCCTAAAGGAAGGCCCTCCCGAGGTATCAGGACATCAGCACCGGCCAGTGGCTGAGGCTTAGCGGCCGAAACCGTTCGAAGAAGAGGTGGCGAACTGACACTTGGCCCCCCCCCCCCCCCAAAGCGACCTTCTACAGGGTTCACGGTTTAGGGTTTAGGGTTTTTTCAACCATTTGAGTATAGAACTATATAACATGGGTTTAGGGTTGCGGTATTGCAGGGTTTACATAGTTTACCTAGAGCGTAATACTTAGTAGAGTAGCTACTGTAACCTTTAACCTTTTTGGGTTAATATATTCCCCTTTTATTCCCAAAGGTTAACCTTTAAAACCCCGAGGTACTGGACAACTAAGAATAGGATTGTTACCTAGGCCTTGGATGTGAGCCACCATGTCACGGAGGTCTGCAAATTAAAGTAGTGGGTGATCGATGGCGTCGGGTTGCGCTGTAGCTGGCTTTGCAACCCTAAACCCTAAACCCTAAACCCTAAACCCTAAACCCTAAACCCTAAACCCTAAACCCTAAACCCCTGCTCTTGAACCCGTTCAAACGAATTCTGGCTCCATTAGGGATTTTGGAAGTGAAATCATCTTAAGGGCGACCCCAAACCCCAAACCCCTGAACCTGAACCTTTAGGGTTTAGGGTCTACGGTTTAGGGTTTAGGGTTTAGGGTTTTAGGGTTTAGGGTTTAGGGTCTAGGGTCTAGGGTTCAGGGTTTAGGGTTTAGGGTACGTAGACATAGGAACCAAGGGACTCGCCTTCGGTTTTTAAGTTGCAACGATTGGTTGAGAGCTGTTTAGGGTTTAGGGTTTAGGGTTAGGGTTTAGGATTTCGTGGTTTACTTCGGGGAGCCTTATGAGGGAACCCTGGGTTGCATACCACCCCTTAAGGGCCCGATAATCTGGAGTTGTTTAGTACAAGAGAGAAATGGGAGATGATCAAAATCCTGCATGAGTACAAGGACCTACAAATTTGCAGATTTAAGGGTGTGTTTACGCCGAAAGGATTTGGGGTTTTTGGTCCCCAAACGAGCACGATGCTTCAAAGGGGGGGGTTCGCGCCAATGTCATGCAGAGCTCACATGCAGAGCTCACCGCCGGAACCCGAAAAGCGGCAAGCCCTACTGCAACCCTTAAAAACCCGACAGAGAGTCTAAACCCTAGACCCTAGATACCCTAAACCCAAAACCCGAAACCCAGACCCTAAGCGATGCCGGGAGCCCTTTTTCTGGACAGAGCTAAGGCTCTCCCCTCTGTAGACCATGCTGCAGCTAGGGCTCAGAGATGTTTGCATGGTACTGGCAAAGGCCGGCAGAACCCTCCAAGTTGGCGAATTCATCGGTTGCACAAGAAACGGCGAGGCATGGGCAGGGAAGCCTCTAGGCTCGAGGATGCTAACTCTGGTATCACACAGGAGTTTCGGAACATAGGGGGTACCTTTTGTTGGGGATGTCCTAAACTAAGGGTTATTGTACTCGTGCGTATGAATTAGGGGGGGGTTCCCCCCTATTTTGGGCTATGCTGATATGGGGTTCACGAAAATGAGGGACCCTTCAAATAGACCCCCCAAATAGTAGGATTCCTCTATATAAGAAGGACCCCTAATCAGGTACCCTAATTTTCGGAAATCACCCTGAACCCGAAACTTAAAGCCCTAAACCCCGATTTTCGGAAACCCCAATCTGACACTACTTTTGACGAGGGGCGGGGGGGGGGGGGCGGGGGGTGTCCTTAACCGTCCGTAGCTTCCGGAACCCTGGACTTGTGGACCACTGGTGCGTGTTTCATGAGGGTTTAGCGTTGCGTAGCTTGTACACTCATTTGCAGGTAGAGTCGGTGTAGGGTTTTGGGTTTAGGGTTTAGGGTTTAGGGTCTTGTTTTGGGTTGCTCAGCTTTGTAGACTGAATTGCCAGTGGCTAGTGGGAGCGTCGTTTCGTTGAAGCCTGCAGAGTTGGTTGGTTGAGCTTTCTACCTGGACTTATAACTGTAGTTCCTTTTTTGGGGTACTTGGTTCTTTAGCTACTGCTATGCTACAGCACGAGAAAAGCATAGGTACCCAAAAGAAGGAAGACGATTAAGGGGCCCAGGTAGGGGTCGGGGCCCGATTCTTCCTGAAGCCCATCTTCAGCAGAGGCGAAGCGCCGAGTTGCAGCACAGTGGAGTTTAGGGTTTAGGGTTTAGGGTTTAGGGTTTAGGGTTCAGGGTTCAGGGTTTAGGGTTTAGGGTTTAGGGTTTAGGGCCGTCATTTATAGATCTACCTTCGACCTTTTAGGTGGTATGGGTTTGGAGACCCTTCATTAAGAGTCCCAAGGTAATATAGGGGCCCTATTCGGATTACATTAACGGAAACCTTTGGGGTACAACCTTAGGGGGTAGTCTTAACCCCTTGAAGAGAGTCCTTGGGTGGGCGGGGGGGGGGGGCTTCGTGCAACCCAAGGTTTCCGTAGCAAAAGACTCCCCAACTACTCCCTAAGCTTCCTAAGCTTCCCTAGAGGTTCGGTAGGTACCTACCCCCCAATGTACCCCCCCGCCTTGAGGATCCTATTATTCATGTGATGGTTGGTGTAACTGGGGTCGACTTGGGTTCGGGAAAACGCTGCCCTCGGCGATTGTGCACCCAAAACCCTTAACCGTTCCAAAAATCGGTTCGAGAAGAGGGAGCTCAAATGCCGCAAATGAGCAAAAAGAAGCGCCACCCTGAACCCGAAACGGATTCGGAGAGCGATCGCGATCCAGAGAATATGCCACGCTGATCAACGCGCCCAAGGAATTCCTACTGAGGTTTAAGGTGTTTGGAAGGTGACCTGTTGTTTTTAGCAAGCTACAAGACATACATTGTTCTTCTGCCTCTAAGGGGCTTGTCTTCCGGGCTTAGGAGGATGCATAGGGCTTTGGATTGAAACTTTCACCCAAAACCGAAACCCCCTAAACCCCCAAACCCTGGTTTAAGCCTCGCTGGTCCAAGGCCGCTGGTTTCTATGGGTTTTCATAGGGTTTGCAGGCTTACTTGGAGGTTCATGGTACTTACTACCCAATTTTAACTGTACTTGTAGCCCTCTGATAGGCTGCTTAAGTAGAGGGTTTGTAGGCTTTAGGGGGTTTCAGGCGTAGGGTTTAGGGTTGAGGGTAGTATGTAGCGTTTTTTTTTTGTTTTTTTTTGGGGGGGGGGGAGGGACCTATTTACAAGGCGAGTTCTTCTTGAATGAGTTCCGCTATAGGAAAGCTGGGCAAGAAACCAGGTTGCCCAAGGCGGCAAGAAACCAGGTTGCCCAAGGCCACCTTGTACCAGACAAAGGTACTCGACGAGCACCATAGTCTGACACCAAAGATTTCTAGAAGAGACCTAAACCCCACACCTTGTCAGGGGTCTAGTGGGAAATGAAGGGTGCGGGCTGGCTGTGTAGGGGGAAAAAAGGATGAATGTCCATCGAGGGGCATCGGCCGATGGTTTAGGATTTAGGGTTTAGGGTTTAGGGTTCGGCAAGTACTCAAAACTTAGCCCTGAAACCCCACACCCTAGTGGCTTTTGGCTTGGGATTTTTGGGGCAGTCTATGGTTTAGATTTGGGATGTTCCCCCTTCTACTAACAGTCCTTAGTAGGAATTATCGTAACCCCTATTATCATCCCTTATAAGGGGGAACATCCCCAAAATCCGATGTTCAGAGGTGCTGAGATCCAGATCATCTCGGGCGAGGTGTGCATTCGTGGCGCGTTAGTCATGGAAGGCCTCCGCTGTCTATCGTACGGAGTTCGGGATCGAGGTGTCCACTCTAGTCTTCCACTCTACCCTAACCCTAGACCCTAAACCCTGAACCCTAAGCCCTAAACCCTAAACCCTAAACCTCTAGTCCACGAAATAATTACAGAACGCTGTGTACGTTTGCGGTTTGTAGAGTTCGCCGACCTTGCACTGAGCACACTCCCTGTTAAGAGCCATGGTTTGGGATCTAGGGTTTTGGGTTTAGGGTTCAGGCCCTCTTATACTAACAGCCCTTAGTAGGGATTCTACTACCCCCCCCCCCCCCCTATTAGAATCCCTTTTTATTATGGGCTCCTATTCGCATCATTAGCTGAGGAGGATTTAGGGTTTTGGGTGCAGGGGCACGTTAGTAAAGTAGTAAGAGACAATGCTATGTAGTGGAGTAGGCAACCTTTAGCCTTTTTTTGGTACTATCACCCCTTCAAAATCCCAAAGGTTAACCTTCAGTTGCCCAAGGGTACTGGACAACTAGGCATGGTAAACCCTAAACCCCTAAAACCCTAAACCCCTAAACCCTAAACCCCACAAACCCCTAAACTTGTTATTCTAACAACCCGAATTCACT